TCCGAAACCCGCGAGTCGGCTCGGAATACATTGTCATATCCAGAGCGAGGTAGGGCATCATTGGGCCCATGGCATAGCAAAGTGGACAATGATAATAATGGGACGTTTGAAAAAAACACCCCCAGCTCGACTCCTCCTACTAGGCGTGACGAGTCATGAGTGCCTTGGCTAGAGCAAGGTGTCATGCGTGTGCATCAACGATCGGGAAGAGGTGTAATCGAGTTATGAGCTGCCAAAGCCGCCCTCTTTCATTAGTATTACGGAGTCAGGTTGCAAAGTACGGTACTCCGTAACCCATACCAATGCATCCAAGGCTATTATTTGGGCAGAAACAACAATGAGCTGTGAAGAAACACGTTGCCTACTCCCTCGTACGCATACGTGGTATAAGCTAGGCATGAACGAGCAAACCCCCAAAGTCACCATTTCGCCCATTCATTACTCGCAACTTGACGCCCGTATTAGGTATACTGGATGGCTGACCACCTGATGGGGTTAAGATAATTCGAGACGTTGACTCCTTAGTAGAATGATTGTCACTGAAGTTGCTAAGCCCCCCCTACTCCGTAAAGGGTAGAAAACATCGAGCCATCATCACCATCACGCATCATCAACATCACTACCCGTACTCATACCGTCACTGGACAACTCACAGTGCAGAAGGTTAACAAACGAACCCTGCTTCAAAAAAGAAGGTTTAGTTGTAGCCAGAAATCGATATCCATTCGATCCAATAAATCCCATCATTTCAAGAAACGCGAACAAACCCAAAAGAAAGCGTCCACTTGCTTATGTGTTGTCGCTCTTTGCATGTGAGTTGGGGGCCGTTTTTTCCAACAGTTTGCCATCGAAAATCCGACCCTGATTGCTTTCGTTCCGACCTGGATCAGGGCTCGGAACGTGGATGCTTTCATAAGCAGAAGCGATTTCATCAGAAAAGTGGTTGACCCAGGAGCAAGGACCTCCTCATCCTCTAATAAACCCTGTTTCCGCAGGGACGCTAAATGATAGCGGTGGGTACAATACGAGTACTGTATTGTAGACTCTATCAAAGCGGTGACCACGGGAGGATCCATTATTTACGTGCGAAGAGAGAGAGAGAGAGAGATGAGTTCCCCCGGTGCGCCACTGATTCAACGGCGTTTCGTTTTTGAAAATCCACCAAAACGCGGCACAAGAAACCAACCCATGTCGTTGTTTTCGCGTGTTTCGTGCCTCGTGCAATTCCTTTATTTTGCGGTGACGGTCAACTCACCCTTGACCGTAATTCCAAGGATCGGCAGTTGCATTGCAGGATTTTGGTGTTGTGTCGCGAAGATCCCTCCTCATGGCGAACTGGGAACACAACGAGAGGGGGGGTTACGAGCACGAGTAAGTGATGATGTGTCTGGCCAGCTGCAGGCCTGCGGACACAGACACAGACCATTTGGGAGGGGGTCTCTGTGATCGTTTGGGGGAACGAAAGCATGAAGATCCAACAGCCCTACGGAGTTATCACGCGTATGTACTCCGTACAGTACAGTCCACACACCCTTTCACCGGCTACGAATACGTCCTCATGGTTTGCTGACTTTGGTGCTCCCCTGGTAAGGTGACAATTATTAATCTGTTACTTGGTACTGACCGAGGCACCGAACCCGTAAACTATTGACCGATATTGTCGAACCAACGATCTCTCTCGCGCGCGTGTGTGCGTGTGTGCTGTGCGTTTGCTGACCATTACTCGTACATGTAGAAACCATGGAATATCATTCGCAAAGATCGAGTTGGGATCATCCACACAGCTGAAAAGTCACAAAGCCAGGCCATTGGACGTATGCCGGGGGGCGGGCAATAACTTTTGTCCCAGGTCGGACCGAGTTATTTCGTACGTGCTGTGCTGTAACATTGTCTTTGAAACCTGACTCGTAGAAACAAGGGCAAAAAGAGAGACCATGACTGGATATCCCGTAATATCTATCATACCATGACATTTTTTTGCTTGCGGAGATATTGCATTTGTACTCCGTAGGGTTCCATGAGCTTTTCAATCTCGCCAACGAGATTTGAGAAGGTCGGACCGGTGTGCTCTACTACTCGTACTCCGTACCTACCTTCCTATCCTCCGTAGATACAAGTATGTTTGATATCCACACAAACCTTTTCAGAGTTGGGAAACTGGGTAAAGAACATTACTCCGTACGAACGGTGTCGGTATCCATCTACCTGGTGTCTACGGAGTACCAGAGGTGGAGTGTCCCCTGGGTCATTTGGGCTCCAAAATCCGTTCAACCGACGAGTCTGTTCTCGAGTTTCCCGACGACGACCCGAGTTCCATGGAGTACTTGGTTCTTCAAAAGGACAAGGCGGCCCGGGGAGGGGGGTCGGAGGGAGTTGAGTGACGAGGGGGTTACATCGCCTGTAAATGCCATCCAACGTGGCAGATATGGGCCCTGCTTTCTGACACGAGAAAGTTGTGCGGGATGGTAACCTCATGACCCTTGCACACGGCATACATTGTGAACCTTACAATCAAGCAAAAGCCTACTTTACTGTAGAAGGGTTGTATTCGTACGACCACAACGGCCACGGCCAGGAAGAAAAAAAGGGGGACGGGGAGATTGCAACCCGGCAGCAGCGCGGATCACCAACGTCCCGAAATGCCATATTTCTGACTTCTGGTGGGTTTTTTCGGCCGAAGCGCCACGATGCGCGCGATGCCGTTTTGGGCACTGGGTCTGCAGGCGTGATTTGGTCGATGTTAGTGCATGTGTACCGTATCCAGATACCCAGGGTCAAAGTACCAGGTTGTGGTCATACTCATACCTGCTAGGGGGGAAAGGGTGTGGTGGCCCCCCTCCTCGCTTTTTGGCCCCGATTTTGGGACCCTCGTATCGTCCATACCTAACAGGGTTAAGCTAGATTTAAAATTACAAGTGCGTCGCTAGTGCGTGTTAAAATGTGCCAAAGTGTGTTAAGTGCTCTCATCACGTGCCTTGACGAGATGTCGAATTTCTGCAATGTCCGATGCCGACTCGGCGACTTCTTTCAAACCACAGCCACGATTTGAAACACCTATCACTACGGAGTTACCACCTTTTATGTCCACAAGTACAGCACGAGTTAATAACCTGAGGGCGGTATGGCGCCGCAAGCCAGAATCTCGAAACAAGCCCCCATCATACTACCCCCTCTTCCTGCTTCTCAGGCAAAAACGATGTGGGCGAATGGAAACCCGAGGAAATGGGGAAATGTGACGACCCTTAGAGGTGTGTGCTGGCTGGCACCACCACCACCACCATCATCATCACCGTACTTGAGGACGCGTTTACGGTGTCGACGAACCAGAGGCACTGGGGTCCCGTGAGTACTCACGCGAGTAAGCGGGATACCCATTAGTGTTGTTGTTGTGGCGTGGTTGGAGTACGAAATCTTTGCGTGGTCTCTCGACGATCACCCACGAGTACTCGTTAGTACAGATCCATCACCGTTCGAGAGACGTACCTCGTTCGTTTGGTTCGTTCGCAACATCCCTGGCCAGACCAAAGGCCAAGACTGAATTGTGTTATCTCTCTCTGTGCCCTGTGTCTCCAAAACAGGTTGGTCAGAAACATCAATTCACACGTGTACAGTATAGCGTGTTTCGCCTCGTTGAGACCGACCGTCCTTGGCAAGATGAGCACTAGATGATAACTCCATACGGAGTATCATTGTTGTCTCTGTATGAAGGGACCTGTTCTTCGATGGCACAAAAGGGAAAACGAGTGTAGGTGAGAAATCGCCATACCGTGATCAGGACGACAGTACACCAAACTACTGGGATGCGAATCAACTAGGTATGGACTGAGGAGTACGGAGTTACCTTGACAGGTAGGATATTTCTGTACTCTTGTACGGAGTACCCTGCGGAAGAGTAGTCAGCAGCTTACTCAATGACCCCCGGCAATAGGCCATAGGACGTTCTGGAATTCCTCGAGTTTACTACTCCGTACTTCACGGCTTACATGATCGCCAGCAAAGTTACAAATCACAGCGAGACCTATAATGACTACCTAGGTATGTTCCCGGAAAGGCGGTACCGGCACACAGACACTCACATACACACACACACACACACACGAGACATGCCTGTATGCACTGCAATGCACGCATGCATGCATGAAAAGCTAGCCAACTATTGTACCCCTTGCGGAGTTAGGTAACAAGGTAATTTTTACGCTAACCTCTTACCTCGTTCATGCGAAATCCAGAAGGGGGGGGGCGAAACAACTTCTAGTACGGAGTTATAAACGATACGGAGGTACAATATAAACGATCCCATTAGACACCTACTCCGTATACCGAATCTCACCCTTCCCTCGAGATGGGAAATTTCGGTTGGCTCTGTATACGAATACGAAAAAAAGAGACCACATTACCTACCTTGTCTCCTGTAGGAACCAGACCTAGAGGTAATTTGGCACACCCGACTTAACCTGCGTTGGGCACGGAGGATTAGGACTTTGCCTCGAGCAAAACGCACTGTACCTTCATCGTATGATTGACTTGGGCTTCTTTTGATCGTCCTGTGATGAATCATTCTTTTTTTGACAACACAGAAAGGGAAGGTAGTCGTGTTTCCCCCCTCCATCTTTTGTTGAGGGTAATGAAAGAGTCGTACTTTTGTCGGCCAACCACACAATCCCTACCAAGGGCCCAGCACAGCAAACGATACAGAGTACGCAACAGCGCAATCATAGACACAGCTCCAGGCTCTTTCCGCATCATCATCATCATCACTTTGGCTGGGCCGTGCGAGGAGCAAAAGAAACATGACGCAAGAAGCAAAAGCTCGGGGTGTGGCAGCCAACAACAAACACTCTCTGCTCCTACGAACAAGCCTTATTGCACACCAATTTCCCTACGAACGAATTGTCAATTGTTTTGCGCATAAATTACACATATCGGACGCATACTCAATACATTGAAAGGCGTCGACACTGAATGTCTGTTCCCATACACCTGCATGCACTGTTGGTCTATGAGATTTGTACGGTGTATATATTTAGTACCTTTTATCTCTCTTCGTTCTCAACATAAAACCACAAGGTATGTACAGTCAAAAGCCTACGCTGATACTTTCGTCCAACAACAATCTCCCCGTCTGAGCAAGTAATGGATTTGATCTCTTGGTTATGGTGTATTGGCATTGACGACTTCCTCCAAACTATAGCTTCGCCTTGCCGTCTGAGGTCTTCATCAATCTCTCCACCAACCCATAAGCCCATTCACCATAGGGAGCCATTTGAGCGGCGTAGTTTTTGGCCGTCGTACCGCTGGCCTGTCTCCGTGCATACCTCGCGGCGATACCTTGCATGATGACGGCGCCCCTGAAGCCTCCAAAGGCCGTACCCCACGCCAGCTCCAGCGCAGGGTCGTAACCGGACATTTCTGCGTACCACTTGACGCACTCTTCCAAGCTCGGGAGTCCTGGGGTCGCACCGGGCTTGAAGGCCTCGTTGGCCCGGTCGGACAGACCGGACCCGTTGACCCTGCCGACCCACGACCAGGGAGCCGTGAGGTTGACGAAATCCGACAACGGGTGTCCGATGGTGGCCATTTCCCAATCCAGAATCCCAATCACTCGGGGTTCGGTCTTGTGGAACACCAGGTTGTCAATCTTGTAGTCTCCGTGTACCAGGGTCGACCGGTCCCTGGGCTGTCGGGATTTTTGTTTAAAAAACCCAACCATGTCGTGGAAATGAGGGATGTCACCGACGGGTTTCATGGTGTCCACGTCCTCGGCCTCGGATTGTGCTTTTGATAACGTCCCAAACGTCTTCAGTTGTCGATCATAGAATCCTCCATGCCGCCCGAAATCCGAAAGCCCGATTTTGTTGAAATCTAATCGATGGAATTTGGCAAGTGTTCGTACTGCGTCGCGCCACCTGTATTGATACACAATATCATCAGCTCCCTCTCGTCTCATTGTACTCTGCGCAGCCTCTCTTTTTTTCGAGGACAGAACCTACATCTCATATCTTTCTTCTGGAGAACATCCGGGAAAGTGGTTTTCGGTGATCATTCGCCCGTCCAAAAACTCCATTATGTAGAATGGCGTGCCAACCACACTGTCATCTTCACACAAGCAGTACGCCTTGGGCACAGGGACGTCGGTCTGGCCCAGCGCACTAATAATACGATATTCTCGATCGACTCGATGGGCGGTCTTACTGAGGAGGCGTCCGGGAGGTTTCTTTCTCATTCTTTTTCACAATGGTCAGCATGTTCTCGCTTTCGTAGACCCACGTCGTGGGCCGTACGCATAATGGGGGGAGTGTATGTTTATAGAAGAGGCGCCACGTACACATATTTCGTACCGGTAGAGTCGGTGATTTGATATGTCGGATTCGATTGACCGAAGCCAAACTATTCAAGATGTACTGTTAGCCCCTCTGCGGCGTGTCGAGACATATAACGGCTCTCCCTCACCTGCTTCAACTCAAGCGGCGTCTTGATTTCCGGTACATTGGTGTCGATATAGCGCTCCAAGGAGGCCAGATCAATAGGCTGGCGTACTGGCCCTGCCATAATTGTCCACGTACTATAACAGTCTCATCAGGTGTAGTGAAAGAACAGTTGAGCTGGCCCCCAGAGAAAGACTGCTCCTGTTCTGCACGGCTGCGGTAGAAACTCCGCCGAGGCAGTGATTTATGCCTTGGCCTGCGAGAGCCGTAACCTCGGCAAACGAAAAAGCTGGGGAAGGATCGATGGAAAAGAATGCTCCGGACTCTTCCTGGTGCCTAAACCAAAAGCTGCAAATTGCCGCGGCGGTTTGAAGAGGTTCGCCATATCATGAGGATCCTCTTCTGGTCATTGAAACATGACACTTGAGTAGGGACAAATTGTTGGTCGCAGTAGTGACCACTTCGACTAGAGATAGATGGGACATACTTCCAAGGGCGACTTCTTAAGCTTGCCTCGCCTATTTCTCGGGGGAAGGAAAGGAGCTTGTCACGTGCCATTATAGCGGTATCAAACTATATATTGAGCGGACGTGAAGGGAGGAGGTCTGTGAATTACACTGGGATAGAAAAATTTCCCTTTTACTAGAGCGTGACGAAATCCATATCAGGAGGGAGAGAGGCCTCAAATTCCTGCAAAAACCATAGGTCCTCATCCGTTGTCATGTTGCCGAAGTCTCCAAGAAAAGGTGACAGGCTAGAGAATAGTGCATCGTCAACTGCCGAAGGATCCCAGTCATTGTCACCATTGTCACCACCCGTTATATTGGGTAATGAGAGACCATACTCGTGGGTTCCAGCATTGACGTGGACGTTGGAGTTTGCAGCAGCACCTTCATCCAGCACTTCCTGATTCAGAGGCGTCGAGCTGACACCGGACATGCCGTCAAGGAGATAAAGCACTCCTTTGAAGCGTATGCCCACAAGACCCTTGTTCTCACCCTTGTTCTGATCCCTCACCACATATATTTGTGCTTTCGAAAGCACATGAGAGATGAGCGATGCGGGAACGTCGGCGCCAGAGTTCACCTCCTGAAGAACTTCGACAGCCTGGATGGTGTGGAAAAGCTGGTGGATGATCTTGGCCCTGCCGTCGCCCTCCGCAACACTGTAACCCAGATGCTGCACGTGTGAGAGGATGGCTGGCAGTTGGAACATCACGATCGGTTGCGGTCCACGTACAAGGAGCCCGATTCTGTTAAGGTCCCGCGTGATGGATGTGACTTGGTTGGCTGCACTTCGGACTCTGTCTCTTGACAAGATTCTTCGACCCTCATTGCACTCCGATGATGTAGTAAAGCATTGAGGGCGATGCAGTGCTGAAAGAAGCGAAAAATAGGCAATGCAGAGATAGCCGCGGGAGAGCACGACGCTTGCACTGACGGTGGCGCAAAGCTGCGACGGTCTGTACAGGCATGACCGTGGCAGATTTTGGAACCAACTTTGAAGCTTCTTGTCCAGAGTCCATACAGCGTCATCTCGAGGGTTAGAACGAGGGTAGAGCATTGGAGATGAGGTTGGCCCCCTTGTATGGACTGGTTTGACCCGTGGCATAGATGGTACCATTGAGAAATGCAGCTCGATGACCTCGCCTATGTGGACGCTCAGTTCAGCAAGCTTGACACAAACCTCGGCCAATTGCCGTTGATTGTCGGTATTTCCAACTGGCACATATTTGGACTCTTCGTCCGAGAGGACAGAGGAAGGGTCGATGAAGTCAAAGTCCACGCAACTCAACATTGGAGTGTCAAAATCCTCTGGGCGAATTCGAGAGGGTCGACTCATCGCTTGAACAAACGTCCTGTCTCGGATGTAGCATGACCACCAGAGCCGCCGCCTCTGCCGATGTTCTTTGGCGCTGGCGGAGTGCATCTCGTCTTTCCGATGCAGGCCTAGACCAAGTGCCAATGTGAGAGCGACACCCATCCAGTGCCAGCATCCCTTTTCATCGTCGGCGCTGTTCGACCACAGGGACATCAGCAAGACTGCCTGTAGGACAACACGCCGATCTTTTTCCACATTGAAATCGTACAGCAACTGTTTTCAATGTGTTTCAGCGGACCTTTCCAAGTTGTGGTGACGAAGGAAACCACCTACCTTGACTCTTTCAAAGTACACTTTTCGGGCTTCTCTTCGGGAAGAGAAACCAGCTCGATGAAGCTCAGCAATGTCGCCTGATGCACAGCCAGCGAACATCAACGCCTGGAAAAGTAGGATGCTAATTTTGGGAGTATTTGGGCCCGGGTGTGCTTGCAGAGATCCATAAACCAGCTCGAGATCTACGAAGGGCATCCATGGTTGAAGACTCTCAATGTACCCGCGCATCAAAGCCGAGCGGAGCGCGAGGTCGGCGATCTCGAAGGCGCCTTTTTGATTCAAGAAACAAACGTCTTGCCAATCCAGGTCCAAGGGGAGCGGACTCAGAAAAGTCGGCAATTCCAAACGACTGATTGGAACGTGACTCCCGCTGCCATCTGTCGACGGTGGAGATGGAAGGAAGTCACTCTTCCAAGAAGGCTTCTCCACGTAAGAAAATCTGAGCGCTTGCCTCTGGATCAGAGACGTATAGGATATTTCCTGATGCAAAGTATCTTCGGCAGAGGGGGCCAAACATCGTGCCGGCTGCAGGTGAACGGAGGTCGAGTCCCGAAGGCCTAGAAAGCTAGGTCAATGTTTGAGCTGATTCGCTAAGGTATCATGGCCCACAAGCTTTTGGATTGCTAGTATTGAGGCAGATGGGCCTTTTGCACCAGCTTGCTTGCTCGTCATGTGCTGTTTGATACGGACTAAGCCAACTTGCAGTGTGCTCAGCCCCGTGAATGCCTGAGGTATATGTCTGTCCATGCCTTGATCTGCGCTGTGCCGGCTGTTTGCGTGGTTTCCTGCAGGGCGTAGCGTTCACAGTCAGTGTCATCTTGATCCTATGCTGCTTCGACAGCTATCTCCGAGATGGAAAGAAAGACAGTTACGCACATTCCTCGTCTGCTTTTGGCCAGGTAACAATCAACACCATCCTGGATGCAGTTGTTGCAAACCGAGGTACTAGACTCAACAACGCATCTGACTTTGCGGTCGTGGCAATTCTGACATGCTTTGCGGCGTTTCACCATTGTATTCTGGCTCTTGGTACGTTCCATGATACACTGTGTTTCCATTCCTGCCCCTCCTGAGCAGAGGTCGGTTACAATCGTTCAAGAAAAGCAACAGAGTGTAGACATGCAAAGACAAACTTTGACTTCTGTAACATGCGTGACCGTTCGTGGCCCCCGAGCTGATTGATATGAGCCTGACATCGTTTTGCCAAACCCCTTCCCACGGGCGAGGCTAGCGATTGTGTCCATCGTGACTGGGGACCTGCGGAGGGGTGGTCATGGCCATGTTCACAGAAACCCCAGACCACGATAAATTTGGCCTCAATAATTGCCTAATACAGCAGTGATCAGGCTGATCTAGTTTTAGCGAGCTCCGGAGACGATCCCATGTTAAGCGGGGGACGACATCATACCGAGTACATGCTGTACAGACAGAACGGATGTTAGGATAGGGCCCAGCCCCTAGTAGTGAGTGGAGGCTTTGGCTGTCTCTTTTTCTAACCAGTTCGAGCCTAGATCATAGCGCGTAAAGAAGAGTGATTGGCCAGATTCAAATTCCACGTCTTCTGGGCTTGATTGACGACAGCTTTGGGGGATCGCAAAGAACTGCCATACTCCTGCAGGACCAGTCCCTTGACAAGGCTGTAACGTCAAACGAGTTTGGACGCCGACGCCGAATGCAGGGCGTGAAGCGAGGATTTTTATTGACAGCCCAGGCTCTTGTGGGCTTCACAAAGATCTCAGATGTCGAGCGGGTCCACGGTTTGGCAGCACAGAACAAAACGCCCCTAGGAGCACGACCACGTACTGTCGGCCGATCATGACGGACACTGTGTATCTGGATAAAACGAAGAGATTGGAGAGCGGAATCCATGACCATTTGTTTGCCTGGTGGGAGAAAAGGAGCCGTGCCTAACTAAGCCGTTACCGAAGATTTGGTCCTTTCGCTGTACCTAGCCTCCTCAGGCGTCCACATAAGCTTCAACCTCGAGCTCAATTACCGTACCCGGTAGCAACAGCTTTGGGGTCTGAAATGTCATCCACACAGGTCCAGCTCCGGGCTTCAACCGCTTGAATTGCTCAGTCATTGCCATCCCGGTCGCCTCCAAGTCCGTGTGGTACGACCTGACCTGCACCACGTTCTTCCATCCCAGGCTGGGATCCACCGCCTTTAGAGCCTTGTCGACATTTTCCACGCTTAGTTGGATCTGTGCTGCCGCGTCGGCTGGAACTCGCCCTTCCGCATCCCAACCCGCCTGCCCTGACAGCTTGATCAAGTTCCCGATGCGGACCGCTTGTGAGAATCCGAATTGCTGAGAGTAGGTGGTTCCGACACCAGCATAGTTGTGGTAAGTTGCCATATTGATGAGGGTTTAGAGGGAGAGAGAGAGTAAAGACCGTGTTGCTTGGGGCGATGGGAGTTGCAAATGTGTGTGCTTTGAATTGTGCAAGTCCCGGCTCATGGAGGGCGAGCTTTTTCGGCCTACATATCTCTTGAGAAGCTGAGACACTTTTCTTGGCCTTTGCCTCGGTGCCGACAAGCTTGCTTCATCAATAAAACACCAGCATGTCCGTAATTCGGCGACTGTGAGTGGCCCACACTGTGAATGGCGATATTCTCGGCGAGATGTATATTTCGATCCACCTAATATCGAAGGCTCCGCTCCTTCCGAAGATCATCTAAAGGATTAGAGAGAGAGAATACGTTTGGTCTTATGCGCCCAATAAAACAAGCCCATTCTCCCAAAATGCAGCTACAAGAAGGACAAGCTGAACACTCCTTCTTGAGCGAGCAATACATCAAATGCAGAGAATGAGGGATCATCCGTCGTTTCCGCCTCGTCGAGACCCCCCTCTGTCACGACTTCTCTATTTCGGGCCCAGGCGTGTTCCAGTACTGTCCGGACCCTCCAAGCGTCTCCGCAACGCGAGCAGCGCCAGATCTCGACGAGTTTCCTCTGAATGACCTCGATATGCTCAGGTTGCGTGACCGCACAGCCGATCACCAAAAGAGGCCAACAGAAGTATTGGTCGAAGCGGCCAGCAGTAGTCCAAGAGGTCAACTGACCCAAAGCTTCATCGACCAGGCTCTGAATCGAAGAGTGCTGTGCTGAGAGATCCGGTTGGGTCAACTTTAGAAGCAGAACTTTGGCGGCAGTTGAAAACAACCGAAGCTCACGATAACAGACGTCTTTGCTGTCGTGATTCCAAGCCGTGAGAGCCCTTGTGCGAATGAGATTGTCCTCGTCAGAGAGCCTCCACGTCAGTAGGCGTATATCTTCCTTGGTATGAGAACCGTGGCGAAGTCGAGATATGTCAAAAATGAGACGAAACAGGGACGGTCGGCCACCGAGCAGCGGCGAATTGGCCCACTGAGGAAGATCAGGAAATGCCCTCTTGTTGAGAGGTTGCGTCAGCTGCTGCCAACCTTCAACTGATTCCGTCAATTGCGCTCCTTCAAAGAGCGGAAGGATCGAAAGGTGATATATGACACTCTCCGCTAAGCAACGATCAAATATGAGATCATCGTCTCGGCGGTCGTCCTTCCCGTTGGCGAGGCGTAATTTGAGAATCTGAAACGCTCCGAGAAGGTGTGAGCTGGCTTGGAGGTGGCTAAAAGTATTCCAACGCTATTCGAGCTCGTCAAACCATGCCCTTGTGCAGATGAAAGGAATCCGAGGCTTCCAAGAGGATACATACCTCAAACAGACAAAAAATCACCGCCACTAAGACCAACCAGTCCTCTGTCCCATCGATCTCTGAATGATCGATCTTCTGACGTAGCATTCGGACGGCCGAGCTGTAGTATTTTAATGCCTGGACCTGCTTGTCTGACTGCCCCGCAGAGAGGTGTATGGCGGCAGAAGCAAGCAGCACGTCCATGACAATAGGCTCGTGTAGTGCAACAGTCAGGTGAGAGGAGAATCGTTCATAGTCTGGATGTACGTATGGTCTGGCCATGAGGGGCAGCAACTTGTCGATGCTATATGCGAAAAGGCTGTGGTCCAGGGCGGTCCTCAAGCCAGGAGTTTGTGCAGTGACCAGAGTCAACGGCAGTAACTCTGGACGCTTTGCGGTCCAATTCGTCGTCGATGCTACGACCAATTTGTGCTGCTGCTCTGGTAAGCGGGGTCTCGGCTCACGAGAGACCTGTCGCGAGGAAGAATCCGAAACATGTTGTCTTCTTCCCGAATCTGGTGATCTTGCCCGGTGTCGCCAGCAGCAACGAAGGAGGTTCCGATCACAGCCAGAACATATGGGCCAGCGCTCGTCACATTTCTTCCTGCGATCGCGGCCTATTTCATCTCATATTAGCCGAGATCAGCTCGATTCTGGTCCAAGGACTTGGTTGTATCGTTGTGTACTTACATGTCAAACAGCCTGTTCGGGTGCGAAGCCGACGGCCACTACCTGAAGATTGCTCGACTCGCGTGGTCATGGTCGGGAAGTGTGCTCCGTAGGACCTGCCACTTGAGGGCTCATATGAAAGAGACAGTCTTCCTCCGCTTCATCCCATCCCGCACAGCGGCTGGCTCATCTTCAGAACTTGAGTTGAGATTAGCGAGGTCTTCCTGTGGTTTAGCTAAATGACGAGTAGTTGGAGAAGACCACCCGGTGGGGTCTTACCGCCAAGCGGGTATGGATAACGACCACCGTCTCTGAGCCTGAACGAGATGATATGGCTTGGTACGGAGCATTGCAAGACAATACCTCATCAGGCTCTCTATCTAGGTGGAAATCACTCCATCCAGTATAGGTAGTCTGCCACCTGCTTCAAGGCCAGCGAACACCTTAGGCCGAGCTTCCGCCTAGGAGCACAGACATGCTGGACTAAGTAGCTCCTCTGCTCAACGGCGGCGTCTCCTTGGCGCGCAAGATTTGGCCGACGGCACCGAGGATGTCGATGTAGACAGTTTGAACAGTTCGTATGTCCACCTCGTCGTCCGTTTCAGGTTGTTGTCGCTGACTGAGCATCAGGCACATATCGCTGCTTAGAGTGGAGCGACCGGACGGAAGCTGTCCCGAAAGTGCCTACTAGTGCAAAGCGCGCAACGCACTGTGATTCGACACTGTCAGACTACGGTGCTAGTACCTGCGACTTGTTGTACTCTGTGTGGAATAGCGAAGCTTCATAGTTGACGGCACGCTCTGGGGAATCGTGCCAAGTATCTGGTGTTCAAACGAGCAGCTGTCGCGTCCCAGCTCCTATCTCGAATTGATGATTACCACCGGCCGAAGATGAAGACGAGGCCGAGTGTAGCCTCGGTATCTACCATCTGGAGAATGGTATTTCAAGACCTTGCAGGCCCAGACTATGCTCTCATGTTGTGAATGACTCTGGCTCGAGTCTAGCAAAAATCCCTAGGTATCCGATTCAGCCTTCAAAATCCTCAGAAATGGCCGCCGAATGGGAGATCATAAGAGACGAGTGTCAAAAGCGTCGTCGAGATGCGATCCCTACCGACTTCCTGCTTCACGAAAACCATGTCAAAAACCTCCCAAAGAACCGCTCGACTGTGGTGGAGACTACTGGTCACTTTACGGATACTGAGATTGAAATCGTCAATGCTCCCGCTCGGAAAATCGTCGCCAATATCAAAGAGGGAACTTGGACTGCCGTAGGCGTCACGCGAGCTTTCTGCAAGTCCGCCGCCGTGGCACAGCAGCTGGTCAGTAGTGATCTTGAGTCCATCATGTCGCCTATCTATGCCTCCAGGGTGTGTGTATTGTACTGATGACAAGCCGCCCTCCTCCTGCCAGACCAATTGCCTGACCGAGGTGTTTTTCGACGACGCTCTCCGCCGGGCACAGTTCCTTGATGATTACCAACGCGAACACAAACGACTCATTGGCCCCTTCCACGGCCTACCAATCTCTCTGAAGGACAGCTTCTTCCTCGCTCCCTATCCGACCTCCATAGCGGTGGCCAAGTTGGCGAGGGAGCCCACCATGACCACCGCACCATTGTGTCAAGTGTTGCACGACCTCGGTGCCATCTTCTACGTCAAGACCAACGTACCCATGACGATGATGGCGTGCGAGACCGTCAACAACATCTGGGGCGAAGCCGTCAACCCGTGGGGCTTCACCCCGGGAGGTAGTTCGGGCGGAGAAGGCGCACTCGTCTCCATGAAGGGCTCCCCGTTGGGTATAGGCACGGATCTGGGAGGCAGCATCCGCATTCCGTCGGGGTGGTGTGGTCTTTACGGCTTCAAGCCCACCGCGCACAGGATGTCCACGAGAGGTCACCAGTCTGCCTTGGCGGGGATGGATCTGGTCCCGACGACGTGTGGTCCCCTCGCGCGCTCACTCGACACCTTGGAGTTCTGGCTCGAAGCCATCACATCTGAGCCGCGATTGTGGGGTCTTGACAATACAGTTGAGTTATGCCCTTTCCCAGATATATCGAGGATTCATTTCCCTCATTAACCGTTCATTTTTCACCATAAAGGTTGTGCCAATGCCGTGGCACCCTCAAGACGAACAATACAACACCCGAAAGCTGAGGATCGGTGTGATTAGAGAGACCGATGGAGTGGTCACCGTCCATCCCCCGGTCGATAGAGCTCTGGGCCTGGTGGTTGCGGCCCTGAAAGCCGATGGCCACGAGGTGTTTGACTGGGAGCCGACAGGGCACAAGGACATGGGGGATCTGTTCTTCCAAAACGTCTTCCACCACGGCGATTCTTTGCACAAACTGTTGACCGAGTCCGGAGAGCCGTTGATTCCATCACTGGCCATGATCGTGGCCGCACACGAAGCGGGCGTCGGGGGCTTCACCTCGGAAATGCAACGAAACCTGACCATACTCCGTGACCGGCTTCGTGACGAGTATTTCGACCGTTGGGCCGCCACGGCGACAGAGTCGAAGCCGGAAATGGACGCGATTCTTTCCCCAATGTCCCCGTGGGTGATGCCGCCATTGAAAGCTTTGGACAGGGCACTCAATGTGACTTTTACTAATTATGTCAATGTACTGGGTGAGTTTTCTCTCTCTTTCTCCCACACCCCCCCCTTTTGACAATGTCATCTCCTCCACGAGACACTCCGGACAATTCGTTTTTAACAGCCACTGTCCGTCCGCAGATGCCCCCGCCTGCATTCTTCCCATCACCTTCGTCGACAAGAAGGTGGATAAGAAGCGGACCTCATTCACTCCACTCAACGAGCAAGACACAATCATCCAATCCGACTATGACCCCGAACTCTACGACGGGGTACCAGTATCTGTACAGCTCATGGGGAAAAGGTACCAGGAGGAGCGACTACTTGCGGTGGCCAAGAAGATTGACCAGTTGGTGAAAGCTCAAAAGGAGGACAGTTGAAAACAAGTTCGAAAAATAGCTTCTACATATCTAGAAAAGAAACACCCGAGAACAACAATTCCCATGTTGTGGAGAATAATTACATACGTGCAAAAATGTTTCAACATGGTTTGTTCCATTTGCAAAGCCGCTGTCTCTTTTACCTGAGGTGGATTCAAAATTCAACAGATCTTGTGCCTTTGTTTTTGAGTAATAAAACCCTTCAAAAGATACTGTGACTACCCCCGCGACAATGAGCCTGTAAAGCACTTGTAGAAGAAGGTGCAACATGCTGAGAAGCGACACCCATCGGCCAGTCGTGACGGGGCGTGTTTTTGACGGCGTGGGAACCACGGGCGCACCGCCACGGCAGACTCATCAAACGATGACTACAAGGCCATCACTCGGGTACTGTATCGTAACAGTGACATGAGCAAGGACTCACCGAGGCAGTCTCGGTTCGCCGAAAACGATCCAGGGTTTGGACCCGAAATGGCGAGTTGCTCGGCCGGTTCGGTGCGAAATGAAGGGGGGGGGGGGGGGATTTTCGGCCATCTAAAGAACAAATACGCTGGGGAATATTCGGCCCGCTGAGGTTTTGGTCCAGAATTCTCCTCAGAATCTGTAACTCGAACGGCTCCGGAAGTTTTCGAACTTCCTGATGGGTTTGGCGGAGGTGGTTGGCTTTGATGGGAGAGAAATCCCCAAGTGGGCGTACCGCATCACATGTTGGCCAATTGGCGGCTCGTTAGAAGGGCATTGTGTGAGAGTGTAGACACGCTCATCAGCTTCGTCGTAGAAAGGCACGGCATGGCAAGGCAAAGGCAGAAAGACATCAACACATCGGAGCTTGGTCTCTAGATTCGTAACACCTCTCTGCCGGCCCATGGTCTTGAAAACCAACCACTGTGAACTATGCATTTGAAGATGAAGCGAGTCAACAACAGAGACATCCAATCTATTTCCTTGTTCTTTGCCATGTATTGTCAAGACCGACCCGGGGGAAAAAGGGGAGCATTTGGTAGGCCACACACATACACACACAATTCACGGTGACGTGATGACATCCGCGGGCCTTTCACACAATTTTACAGTCTAGCCTTCTTGGTCTTCTTCGCTTCCAACTCTGCCTTGAACTGCTCACGGTAGACTCGCTTCAGAATTTTGCCACTGGCGTTCTTGGGGATGGAGTCGACGAAACGTACACCCCCCTCGAGTCTCTTGTACTTGGCGAGTCTACCTGCGACGTGGTCCTTGACGTCTTGTTCGGTGAGGGCAGCTCCTTCGGGGGTGTCTCGCCGCACCACGTACGCACGTGGCAACTCGGATTCATAGATTGACCCTTGGACACCGATGACGGCGGCATCGACAAGGTGTGGATGGTCCATGAGCACGGCCTCCAGTTCTGGAGGCGCGACTTGAAATCCACGCACTTTGATAAGTTCCTGAAATTAAAAAAATCAACACAAGAGCATCAGATATGAAATGGCTCGTTCCACGTCGTTTTTGGGATCGGACATTTTTCTTCTTACCTTCTTGCGGTCGACAATGTACCACAGCTTCGTCTTGGAATCGCAGTAAGCAATGTCTCCAGTCCTGAAGAAGCCTTCGTGGTCGTAGGACTCCTGGTTGGCCTTTGGATTGTCGAAATAGCCATTGATCAACGTCGGCCCTCGCACGAGAAGTTCTCCGCGGGTGTCATACGCCGAGATGTTGTTACCATCATCGTCGACCAGTTTTGCTTCCAGGTTGGGTATCAACCGTCCCACCGCGCCCGTATCGTCAGCTTCAGGATACTTGATCAAGCTGGCAATGCAAGTAAGCTCCGTCATTCCCCATACCTGTGTGACTGGGCTATCTGGTGCCAGCAGTGCCTGGAAGCGTCGCTGGGTGATCTTTTCCAGTGGAGCGGCTCCACACCAGGCTGATCGTACACTTTTGAGAGAGTACTTATTACTCAATGGACTCATGATGATATGAATGACGATCTACATAGCCGTGTCAGTTTTGGTGTGCTTGGCTGGTAAATCTGGGAGGACTTTCGGGAGTGTCGCAGAAGACTCCCACTGGCCGCGCAGAAGAGCATGACAATAACATACCGGAGGCACAACGATCATATGGGTAATGCCATACTTCTCAATGTTGGCAAGATACGCTTCGAGTTCGTATCTTCGCATGATATACGTAGCTTTGCCGGCCCGAAACGTTGAGAAGTGTAGCATTGGCACCGTTGAAGCGTGAAACATGGGTAGAGCGTGCATATATCGTTCCTTTGGCCACTGTCAGTCCTCTGAGGTGGCAAATGTAATGAATGACCTGAATCTCTCGAAAACTTACTTCAAATGGCTTAGCATACTTTTCGAATACCAATGTGTGCTGGGCAATGAGATTGGTGTGGCTGTGGTCGACAGCTTTGGGCAATCCCGTCGTCCCCGAACTAAACAGACGAGTGGCAGTGGTATTCTTTGCGCGCTTCTCATCGTCGAATCGTATCCAATCTTCTTCGCCGTGAGCGAGCAGGGTCGTCCAGGACTGATATCCCTCGGTGATCTTTTGGCCGTGGACATCGAAAATCAGTATATTGGAGCGTGGTGTGCCCGTTGCTGCTGCAGCTTTTTCGATGGGTCCAAGCAACTCAGGCTCTGAGATGAAGTACTTGACCCGGGCGACTTTGACATGGTGTACCAACTCCTGGTGAGTATAGCTAGGATTCGTCCCTGTAAAGATGCCCCCGACACCGACAACGCCGAGGACCAGTATGGTATAGTAGATCTGCCTCACGTCAGAACCGAGTGCACATATTGAATAAAGCTGCGGCACCCACGTCGTTGAACGAAGTCACACAGAGACAGTCTCCCTCTTTGAAACCTATAGCCCTTAGGCCTGCAATGACTTTACGGACAAGAGTCCGTACCTGCCGTTGAGAAAGAGACCGTGACGGGTTGGCTGCATCGAAATAGATCTTGGGGTCTCAAGTCAGTGGTTGAACGAGGAATATTGAAACAGGCCCTTACAGGTTTGTCGATATCGTACTTGGGCCCATCAAATATCCAAGAAAGAAGGTCTTTGTTGGGAATGGGAACGCAGCCATCACCGTGGAAATACATCGTAGTCAATCTGACTTTCCCACGGTGTATATTGCGCAAGATATAATCGGACAGTACTCGAAAGCTCCGGAAGACACTGCCGTGACAATTACGGAGCTGTAATGTTTTCGTTGAAGGGAGAGGTCAAATCAGAAGAGAGCCGAGCATGCAGACTTCTTTATGTTTATGATATGCTGGCGTCGATCAGGTTTGCTATCGAGGCTCTTGAGCCTCGGTAGCGTACTGGAGTTCGCCGAATTTAATAGTGGTACACGAGGTCACATCTGACACACTTTCCTCGAAATCTCTGTCGGAAATTAGGGTGGTCCAGTCCGTCGAATTGAACTTTTTGGTTGCAGGGCTCGATCACCATCGCGTTCCAGCGACTCATTGACATCGTGCAAGGGAGGAGTGGAGAGTGAGGACTAAGGAGCGAGGACAGTCGGTAGTGTCCTGTTCCAACCACTCACCTACTTCTTAACTTTCAACCTTTCGGAAGTAGTACTCGACCTCAGATATCACGGATAGCAGAGAACAAACAGATCTATGAGAAAGAAGTGCCGAAACTTGCCTTGTACGCCGGTGTCACATGTTTCGCTCCTCAGCAATGCTGCTTGCGATGGAATGAGGGTGAAGCGATTCCTGTATCAATTGCCGTCAATTCAGGAGTTTGTTAATCCACGCCAGTCTGACGGAAATGATACGGCAATGGTTGTACATTACCAGCATTCTGGTACGTCTTCCAGCAGGGTCGGGAATAAGGTTGATAGCTTGACCAGGGGGTACCCAGCCTACTCGTATAGAATGACTCAGCCTTCCTAGTTACCAGGTATAGGTGATTCGTTCTAAAGTGTCAGCTAGGGACGGTCGTCGACTAGTAAGCCGCAACCTAGAGAGCGTCATATCATGTTGAAAGGAAAACACCCGTGACATGTTTGTGGGCATCAAAGAATTGGGATCAGGGAGTCTGGAATATCAATATTCCGAGCATCCTCGGAGTTCTCCAAGAGTAACGGGTTTCTTAGGTAATCACGTCAACCGCATACCGCGTCTGCTCGAACGCGCTCCCTTGCACTTTACGCGTGTTTGTTCTCTCCACGTCCATGATTGAGCCACCTTTCTCTTCCACACTTTCAATCACCCACAAAGTATGACAAGAGCTTCAACACCTCCTCTAGAGAGCAGGAACGGAGATCACCAGGCACCGTCTCTACCTAATACACCCCTCGCAAAGCGCGTCAAAACCGACAACAACCACGACAACGACAACATGGCTTCAGAAGCCCCCGCCGTTCCCAAACTCACATCGACCTCGCAACCTCCGCTCCTGATCAAGAAACTCTCCGCGGATGCGACGACTCCGACGCGGGGATCGTCGTTCGCCGCCGGCTACGATCTGTACGCAGCCAAGCCCATCACCATCCCGTCGCGAGGCAAGGCTCTGGTCTCTACCGATCTGTCCATCGCGACACCCGAGGGCACGTACGGCCGGATCGCACCCAGATCAGGCCTGGCGGCCAAGAACTTCATCGACACGGGCGCCGGGGTCATCGATGCGGACTACCGTGGCGAGGTCAAGGTGCTTCTGTTCAACCACAGCGAAGTTGATTTCGAGGTGAAGAAGGGAGACCGCGTCGCACAACTTGTCCTCGAGCGGATATATACTCCTGAGATTGTCGAGGTGGAGAACCTCGAAGAGAGTGTCAGAGGCGCTGGCGGATTCGGGAGTACAGGCAGTTAAGAATCCCAGTATGTGATACATGCCCCATTCATGAGGTGGACGGATGGTGTTGTCATTGTCAATCACCAGAGGCGTCAGGATCAAGGATAGACAAAGATTATGGAGTCACGAGTGTGAAAATGCCCGAACCACAGAATAGAAGTCACTTTGCCGCACTGTACGGCGATGAGCTCAAAGAGAAAACGTCAAACTAAAAAGGAGTTCAGGTTCAGGTTTGAAGCTGTAGTATGCAAAGTGCTTGTTCTCCCAAGCATCTATCTACTGTATGATGCTCTATTTCTTTTCATCTCGAGTGCAGTATCCACATCTCTTTTTTGCTCCTGACCTTTTTCACATTTGATGCGTTATACCTCCATGGCGACGGCCTTGTACCTAGGTTCAGGATGGACCAAGTCCTTTGCGTTCCTCACGGCCCTGACCTCTGCAGCTTTCGTCTCTGCCAGGTATCTTCTCTTCGCCTCACTGTCGCTGTTCTCGGTGCCTAGTCCCTCCACACCGCCAACGCTGGCCCCAGGCGACTGACCAAACTTGCTAATCTCCTCGTCCCTCGCCTTCATCGTCTTCTCCAGCACCATGTGCATACTGCTCAGGACCTTTTCCGTGGCCTTGGCCAACGGCAATTCCGTCGCAGGCACATTGTCATCCGGCATCCAGCTCGCGCGGTCCAACAGGTCGGCTTCCGCGCACGCCTCGCGCAATCTCCCGACCATCAAACCCGCGAGCATGTCGCCGGTACCGCTGAAGAAGCAGTCCAGCCGGGGCACTTCGACCTTGAACAGCCTCGCGCCGCCGTCTCGCGTCTTGCTGCTGCCCACGACCGTCAGGATGTTTCCGTTCCCCTTTGAGCCGTCGTCGTCCTCGTCGGGTTTCGCGGCGTCGCCGGCCGTGACGCTCGTTACCACCACATGGCTGGTACCGTACATTTTGTGTAGGGCGCGGACCGCGTTCGCCACGCCGGTCAAACTCGAAATGCTCAGCCCGCTCAACAACTCGGCCTCGAACTGGTTGGGCAGGATCAAGTCCGCCTCACGAATCAGTTGCTTGTACGCCGGCACAATGTCCTCTGCGACATAGAGCCGGCCTTGGTCGCCCATGACCGGATCCAAGACCCAGAAGAACCGTCCCGGTTTGACGGCCGCACGGTATCGTAGGTCCCGCGCGATGAGTCCGACGGCCTGCACGACCTCGGCACTGGGCGCGTAACCCGAAAGCAGCACGTCAAAGTCCGTCAGGTACGAGTTGCGCAGTCCATTGTAGAGCTCGGTGATTTCTTCGGCGGGTGTGCGTCGGCCCTTGAATTGGCGATAACCTGTATGATTGCCTGCAGTGCAAGGAAAGGAAAAAGGTGTCAGTAAAAACATAGCGAGATCTCGTCGATCCAGAACAAGAAACGAAGCAGTATCGTCGCAACACGCTTTATAAAAGTCGTTGCGCAACGTAAACACGCGTACTTGGTGCCAGGAGTCGGAGCAAGGATGTCAGTTGACGTACTAAATTGCACAGTATTGATGGCACCAACATCACACCCTAGGCTTTGCATAACAAATGTGGCCATCGTGTTACCGACATATCTGCATCATCCGAATTTCTTGGATCAATAAGAGTTTTCTTTTGGTGCAATGCCTGCCGCCTAACACTGCGCATGGTGCCTTGACCTACCCATATACAACCTTTGATATATTCGTTAGCTACGCGATCGATTTTTCTCTCTTAGGCGAGACATAAGAAGCCATGTAGGGGATAAGTTTTTTGTGGTAGGGTTCGTACATGACTGGCGATGGCTAGCACTTTTGTCTCCGGTATTGACAACTGTGAACAGGCCATTTTGACGACTTCGGCATAGACGCAGATGTGGAATGACAGATATCCGAACACGAAATCAAAAGGCCGGTGTCTGAAAGTGATTGTAACTCAGGTCTATGCTATCATTGCTGTTATGTTGTTGTGGTTGGAAAGAGTCATAAGTATTTCATACTCGTACAAGTCTTTCATTGAAATTTGATCACGTTGGGGCTGCGCTCGGAGATGACGCAAAGTTCCTTATCTAAGCCGATAAGGCTGGTTAACCATGATAACAGCCTCCCTCATTACGCCGCCTCCGAAGCAACAAAGCACAGTTGATCATCTTTAACACATCATATCCAGCAGATCGACCATTCAGCAATCGTTCCAGATTCCTCTACGACTGGTCGGATCAATCGTGCCACATGAACCACGAATTATTCCTTGGCCCTGACTTCATTACGTCTAGCAAATCATGATCACGCCTTTTGTTTCATGCCACCATTCATTCATCATCGCCGATCTAGAGATTTAGTAGTTAGTATACCGTCGATGAAAGGCTTTGCACCAGTGCTACGACATACCTTGGGAGCTAGGTAGAACCGAAGGAAGCTGCTTCCAGAAAGGGTATATTCGACCAAGAGGGGCACTTCTTGCGAAAGGCAAAGCTTGACTCTCGATGAGAGCCCGCTGGCTTTGCAGAAGTTCACAAGATATTTCAGAGAGAAGGTCAACGAGACTGGTTCCGAAAGGTGGATCGAGACATTTTGTTCAGGCTTGTCAACGTTGCTGTGTGACCGCACGGTGACGCTGCCGTTACCGATGTCGCCTTGACATGCGAACCGAACACCATCCTTGCTGGCTTCGATAGAGACTGTCATCGTTAGAATATGTTTTGCGGCGGAATTTCATGGTTGCCCGTACCTGATTCTGACATGGCCAGCAAATCACGGCAGATGCGGGCGAACTCATTGCTGGGCATCTCAATCGTGGCAGCGTATTCGGTGTCTGGGATTCCCAAATGCTCTTGATCAATGTCCATCAACTTGATATCGTACTCGCTCAGTCTGTCTGTTTCACTGCTCTCGAACACCAGGTTGACGACGTCGGGTGCGTCCTCGGCCTTGAGGGTAAGAATGTCTTCGTTTTGTGCAGCACGGAGCACCTTGGTCAGGGAGTTAAGGTTGATACCAAGGGCGATATTTCGATCGCAGCGGTAGGGAGAGAACATTTCGGCCTTGAGCATCATAGACACTAGGGCAACGTGAGAGTTGTCCATTGCCTGCAAGGCAACACCGGAGTCATTGCAGTCAAAGTTGCAATCCTGGACGAGATCTTTGATGGCGTCGACGACCTGTGTTCTGTAAGACTTTTGTGGCTGGAAGTAGCCATGCTGTTCGTACCTTCTTCAGCATCGCCGCCTGTTCTAAACGTGCTTCCAACACTGCGGACGAGTCAGAAATCATCGAACCATGTAATGTGACACACTTACTCGTGGCGGCAGAGATAGGTTTGCTTTTCTAGTAGTCTGAACAACAACAAATACTCGTGCAATGGTGGAGGATGGGATTGTGTGCGATCTGTCTTGGGATCTTAGACGGAATTTGTAAATCAATGAGAACGCGGTGTCATGATTGAGCGCGAACGCGACGCGGTCTTGGGGGGTAAATTGATTTCTTGGCGCCCTAAGCAATGAGTTGAACGCTTCAGGCTTCAAAAGGCGCCGCTTTTGACTCGCCTCTTCTCCAGGTATATTCAATTCACTGCGTGCGTTGAGGTTGATTGATTCATGTTCTTGCCTCAGATCAATACAAGTCTTGCCAGATCGATATGCATTTGCCGGATCAGTATATGTATCTTCCTAGCGTCCCTCGAAAGGCCGTTGACCGCTTCTTGAAGGGATCACATCTTGCGGAAGAGGAAGTTCTAGCTAGAGAGGCTTCATCTCATGGTCTTGAACTTGCTACCCTCCAGTGCAAGTAGGCCGGACGATAGATGAGTATGGGTTAAGTATCTCGTCGTGCACTTCAAAAATCCTCCTCTCCTTGCTCATCTAACAGGGTGAGTGGGTAACAAAACTGTCCGTGACAAGTCTCCATCCGCATGCTCCAGCCTTACGCTTCAGGGTCACTGCTTAGTCGATCGCTTATTTGCCAGATCTTCAGAAGTTGAGAACGAATCGCTTCTCAAAAAAGGACTATATTGTTTGACGTTTTTCTACTATGAACAATCCCCCAGCAAACTCTACTGTCCGTGTGTGTATATACAATACTAGGCATGTTGATGGTGGAGCACGGTTCCGATGAGGGGCGGGATTAGGAGGGGGCGTCTCTGGGAACATCTGTGTCTCTCCCCCATGGCGTCGCTCGGGTAGGTTATGGCTTGAGCACAAAGGTGGTGGGTTCGGTGTAGACTTGGGGAACACAGCACGTCTATTCTCAGGAAAACTTCTATCTTATGCACAAGGCTGACCATCTACTGCATATCTACCGTCTCCAGGAGCCTGAGGCGACTGAGACCAGATTATGCGCTAGGGCGATTTGCCCACTGCCTCGGCTACACCGCCTGGGGTCCTTGCCGCCCATCTCTTCTCGATAGTCCCTCGTAACTCGACGTTCGACGCTCATCTCGGCTGAGACACGGACATCCAGGCATCGAGTACTCCATACCTATGTCGTCTTGGTCCACAAGTTTTGTGGGGTATCGAAAAGCACCTCCCCATGCTTCAACAACTTGCAGCTTTCCCCGCGACTAGTTAATCTGGTTCTCCTACGAGTCTAGCTTACCAACCCAGATCTCGCGTTATTGCAATAACCTGGCTCTGTGTTCTTGTCTAAGCATTACTCAGATACAACGAGACCACCACGTCGGTACTTGATCTGCTCACTCCTCCTTCAGACAATGGATTTCTTGCTCGATTGCTCTTGTAGCTTTTGTGGAGCCGTGTTCGGCCGACGAGACCACCTTCGCCGTCACCTCATGATACATGGACAGATTAGGCCTTTTCAGTGTAATCTTTGTGCCCGCAGTTTTCCCAGACAGTGAGTACATGCATTCGACAGGTGATGGATGATTATGTTGCGGCTAAAGCGAGACCTATCAACAGGGATGCTCTAGGTCGCCATTGCAGAAGTGTGCACGGGGTCCAAGCAGAAGACAACCAAGTCCGAATCACCAATACTCGTAAACGCATACAGTCTGCGTGTCAGGAATGCCGTCGGCAAAAACAGCGCTGTGACGGGCGCAACCCATGCGGTCGCTGTCGACTTCGCAGCAGCGTGTGCACCTACTCCAGACCCGCCCACCCCCCATCTTCCCAGGACATATCCCCTATTCCTTCAACTCTCCCCCCTTTAGTCTGTGATGACAATGGGCCCTCAATTCGACAATGGTACGATCGCATGGCCGGTCCCGCAGAACCACCTCCTGCCCAGAGTGAATCACCTTCAGATCATACCCCCTCTCCGTGGAACAGCATGATAGAGACTCCTCTGGATGTATCTCAGCCTAGATCAAGTTCCTCTTCTAGCAAGATGCTTCCTTGGTGTGCCGAATTTGCTGATCTCGAGATCGATTTTCTAATGCCTTCGACGAACCCACCGAAAAGTAACCATCAACTTCGACAATGCCAGAATACGATCAAACAGGGTGACGACAACGAGCCAACAAAGTCTTGGCTACCGCATGCGTGTCTCGTGCGAACGAGTTATGATCGACTGCATGCGAAGCTGAGCGAAGTCGTCTACCATGGCTCGGATACCTCGATCAGGGTCATGCTACCGTCTCAAGACTCACTAAACTCGTTCATTGAAAGCTATTTTGAGAATTTCTCCCCTCTCTTTCCGATCCTTTCGAAGGCCGGCTTCAACGCAGACCGCGAACATTGTTTGCTGGTGTTGAGTGTTTGTACAATTGGTGTGTCGTTCTTTGGGGAGACCCAGCTACAGACCCTGTGCTTGATGCGCTCGCTCTTGCGCAAGCATCTAGATGGTATTGTAAGTCATCCAAGTGTCTTTTCAAGGCCCTCTACGTTTCTTCTTCTGCCTTCATTCAGGGCTGACGCGGTGGAACAAGGTTGGGACTGAAACCGAGCTCGCTACAGAGCTTTGGTATCAGCAAGTCAGGTTCTTGGCCCACGTTATCTTCAGTTGCAGTGAAAGCTACGAGATGCTGGACTATGCGCAAAAAGCCAAAGGGGTATTCGTGATGTCGCAAGAACAACGACTGCGGGGGTTGGACCGTGAAAGCTTCAAACCAGACATGACGACGTGGATGCAATCCGAAGAGGAACTTGAAGCTTGGAGATGGAGAGAGTCGGTCAAGAGAACTATATTTGCAGTTTGGGTGAGTTTATTGATTCCCATCTTTAAAACTATAGTTTTAACGGTCCAATAGGCCGTTGACACGCAAGGGTCCCTTTTGTACGATTTGCCTCCCATGGTGACGTTGCGCGCACGTCAATTGCCCCTTCCAGCTCCAGAGGGATTGTGGGAAGCACGTACGGCGAAAGAGTGGAACGCAGAGCGTCTAAAGCAAGGTGCGATTTATGCCTGTCTTGCAAGGGTAAATTACTCACGCGCAGCACTACCCTTAGACATTGATCAAAATCCGCTCAGCCTTGACGACTGGGTCGAAATACTATACAGAGACGATGACGACGACGACATCCCCGTGATGACGACGCTCAGCAGCTTCTCGAGGTTCCTTGCAATTCTAGCCATAACCCAGGACATTGGAGAGTACGTCAGAGCATCTAAGAAGTTCGCTCGGCTACACCACAAACACACACACGAAGAAGAAACCCGAATTACTACTTCGGAATGGACGGCCCTCCTCACGCGGTGTCACGACGTCTTGTGCCAGACCCCGTGCTTCGAAGAGTCTTGGCCTCTCCACAGACAACTGATTTCGCAGGCGTACCACTGTACCATGATGTCCATGCAGGTCACCTACAAGGACCTTTATGGGTTCGTAGGGTACAAGGCGAGCAGTCGAGAGGTTGACGTGACGAGGTACCGCCTGTCGTCTTGGATGTTGGAACGGCCCGGTGGCATCCAGACGGCGTTGGTCCACGCGGTTCGCATCTTGGTGCACATGAGGATCGACAAACCCAAAAACCCTCACGCCGCGTTGATGGTGTGCATCGCCACCTTGACCATCTGGGTCTTCCTGGATCTCAGGCTGGGGTCGCCGTCGCCGTCGGACGAGGCAATGGACATGGGTCGGTGTCCGGCGTGTAGGGGCGACATCCGCGCCAGCCTCGACCGTTGCTGTTTGAAAGGGACGTTTGGTCACGACCTATCGACTTTCGAAATCGACTTGATCCGCGGCACCGTCTCTGTCGAACGTCTCGTCCACGAGAGCTGCGACCTCCTGAAGACCGTGACGTTCTGGCAGATCAGCAATGGCATCATCTCTTCCCTGACTTATCATTACCAGCTCACCAAAGGCTCGACAAACTCCGCGAGACTTTGAGGGGACCCACGACTATGCGGAGGGGAGGCCATTCACATCTCAGTAAATGTGTCTGTGCTCAAAGCGGTTGGTGTGTATATTGCTAGTATTTCTTGGTATAAGATCAAAATGGCTATATCTACCGCTCTCGGTCCTGGGTATACTATATATTCTAGCTTGACTACTTCAAAGCCGCGCCCTATCGACATTGTTCTCTTGTCGAAACCAGCTGTTGACAAGTTCCACTACTTTTCGAGCCGAGCCAAAAGAGTTCTGGTACCTATTTATGATGAAGAACATGATTCACACTCGAATTAGATACTGTGAATCTCATGCCCGGTGTTTTCAAACGAAGAAAGACGGGGAAAATATGAGGGATCGAGGGAGTGGGAAGAGAGACAGAGTCACAGTGTGGGTGAGGATGCAGAAGGGGGACATGAGATCCGACTTACCCTCCGCCAGCATGCCCATACTCGTGACACACCACTCTTGTCCTGATCTCTGAGCCATCCTCAGTTGCACCATCGATCACGATCTCCTCGAGCTCGACTCTCGGCCCACCTCTTCTCCCCGGTCGGAAAGCGACGTCCACGCTGACCACGTCGAACTCGCCGTCGTCGTTGAGCAACTCGGGCCCGAGAGCCTTGCACCGCTCGAGGATGGTACGGGTCACCTGTGGGTCCGGGTTGCGGTCCCAATTCCCTGCCTGGTAGGTACTGCCCAGCACCGACACTCCAGATCCGACGCGTGGGGTGATGGACGCATTCACTCCCGGGTAGAACATGGTCGTAATGTTCTTGGCTTCGCCGCGGACCGTCACGGTCTGCCCTCGGATCGGATAGACGTCTGAATCGGGCACGAGTGTGCGGGCACCCAGACCTGTCGCGTTGACGAACAGGTCAACGGGGTGCTGGTGCTGCTCCTGGATGCCACCACCTTTATCGGATTGGACGATCTCCTCGGCTGCCATAATGGCCTGCGCTAGGCCTCCTTCCCTGGGGAGCGAGGCACGGATGATGCGCCCGCCGAGCGCCCGAATCGTGGACACCAGGGAGATCAGGTAGAAGTTGGTATTGATGGCGATGCCGTCGTGGATGGCACCACAGACAAATGGTCGTGGCAGCTCGGCAGGTTCGAGGACTCGAAAATTCTGCACGTGTGGAGCGTACCATATGCTTTCGGGCCCGTCAGGGATGAACTCGTGTGGTCCGGTCCTGTAAAAGCAACAAAGTCTTTAGTTGATCGTCCTGTCGAGCTGCTGGAGGACGAATGGCCCAATTGCAAAAATTCAAGCAAGGGAGAATAGTCAGACCGGCGCCAGGATACGACAAGACGTACCAAAACAATCTCATAGGTACACCCTTACACATATCAGTATAATGCATTCACCAGTAGAATTGATTCGACGATCGTGAGGAAAGAAGTATTGAGAGTCGGAAGTTGGGCAATAACGGAGATTGCAAATTGATTGATCATCTAACACTCACCGTGATGCTGGATCCTTTCGGAGGCGTCGTTACGGTCAGCTTGTCTTGGGCGCTTGGACGGACGCAACTTCGTAACCAAAGCTGGTAACTCTCTCTATCCCATGCCTGAATTTCGTGCTCATGGGGGAGACCATTTGATCGCCACATTGCAGCAGCCCTGTAACGACGAGAAGCTCGTTAATAACAGCAGGGTCCTGGCTGGTGTCATGGTTCATATTCTGACGAAGACATTTGCGTTCCCCCTCTTCGGGAGACTGAGTGGGTATAGAATTGCTCACCATGGGGATGTGTATTCGACAGAGGTGTCGCCAGGCAGGTGTTCTGCCAGCACTGTCACATCGTAGCCCGTTTGAAGAAGAGATATGGCAGTCTGAAGGCCGATGACTCCGGCACTATAGTACGCATTTCCGTGCTCTTGTCAGTGGCTGCAAATGATGAAAACATCCAAGGATTCCAGCCAAGGGCAACAGGACTCCTCATCTCTCACCCTAGGACCAAAATATGCTTCTCCTCTGACATTTTCGAGGCTGGCTCATTCTCCTTCCAAGAGACGAACACCTGTTGTTGGTTTACCTAGAATTTGTGGTCGGACAAGACAATAGTATGTGCGCCGTCTTGATATTGCTGCACGGAATGGAGTGGTTGAATACAAGGCGCTCTCAAAGTACAGGCCTCTGTCTCTGTTCAACTTCGCTGAATCCGGCAACGACGGGCAGGACAGAATGGTTTGAGGGACGGAGCAGGGGGGCGGCGGCCTCTTCCGCTCGCTGGGAAGGCTCAGCCATGGGAGATATATCCCGTTGCGGGGAGAGCGGCTGGCCTTCCCGCTCTTAGTCATCTGGGCCAAACTCCGCAGAAAGGGGAGATAGCTGATAGTACTCAGTTAACGTAGACAGATATTGATTCTTTAAGTCTTGTCGCGGTCTGAGGGATGATCTTTAGTCTGTTCCGTTCCATTCAAGGTCGAGCATATGTTCACTCAGAGGCTGGGCAAGCTTGGAATCAGTCGCTCTGCACCAATTCCTTGTCCGCTTGGAACTACCTCGAGAAAGAAATATGAACCAAATGGATGTTGAAGCGAGTGTCTTTGGTGACATTGCCTCTGAGGAAGTCATCCGATGCGTCGACATGCACACATGTGGCGAGCCTGCAAGAATTATCTACTCTGGTTTCCCGAAGTTGACGGGCAGCACACTGCTGGCCAAGCGTGAGCAGGCGTCAAAAGAGTATGACCACATTCGCAGGAGGATAATTTTGGAGCCTCGTGGTCATTGGGACATGTATGGAGCTGTTCTGGTACCAGAGACAGAGCTCGTTGCTGCGGGCCAAGCGGATATGGGAGTCCTGTTCATGCACAATGCTGGGTTTTCAAAGATGTGCGGCCACGCGACGTTGGCGCTGGGCCGCTTTTTGGTTGACGCACCCAAGTCTATCTTCCCACAACGAAATAGATTGAGAGTAGACGCAGAAGGGTCGACCATCCAGCTGAGCATTCATGCGCCGACAGGGATCTTGAAGCTCACTGTGCCAATGTTGCCGAATGGCCGATCAGACCCATCCCGGCCCGTGTCGTTTGTGTCTGTGCCTTGCTACGCAAGTGGCATCTCGGTGCGGATTCCTATCAAACCCTCCTTCCGGTGGCCAGAGTTGGGCGGTCGAAGTTCAATCAATGCCGATTTTAGCTATGGAGGCGTTTTTTATTGCTTGATTGATGCACAGGAACTCGGATTCCCCCAAGGACTAGCCCGAGTCGACATTGAGAAGATGAAAAAGGCTGCAAGTTTGCTCAAAGCAGCCGTGAATACAAACCCTGAGATGTCGCCATACACCACAATTCGAGATGCTAGTGAGGCGGAGCCATTGTATTCAGTGTTGATAGTCGATAGAGCCAGGCGTATCGATGAACCCGAGCTTTCCAACGGCCACGACAGCGAGGAGACTGGACTTTGTTTCTTTGCGGATGAGCAGATAGACCGCTCCCCTACAGGTGGTGGCGTTGCAGCTCGTATTGCTCTCGCGTACGCCACGGGCGAGTTGAACGCTACACAAAAGCGAGTATACCATTCTTTGCTTTCCAAAGCCAATTCTGGATCCGGTGGATTGAGGGGCTCCATTACTGAGATTGTGAAGCCCAGTTCGAAGATATCGAGTTCCGATCTCCGCGTCGATAATCCTACTGTCAGAGTTTTGGTCGAGGGAAGCGCCTTCTATACGGGAACGATAAATATCCTAGTGGAAAAAGAGGATAACATCGCAAGTAGTGGCTTTGCGTTCAATCAGCTGGATAGTTGTCACATTGAACTGCGACAAGATATCGCCTAATTGACCCAAGTCGGGTGGTCTCTCAAATGGCAGGATAAGGATTTCCTGGGTCGTTCTGACGCTCCCACCACCAAGCCCACGGACTGGTCGCAGCCCATGCTCTATCCATACTGGTCAAATGTTCGGCCTGGTTTTCTAGTTGATCAGCAATGTTCAACATCTGGGACGGACTTAGTCCACCCTCTCCTGGTGCTGCACTCCATCCACTAAACAGTCCTAGATCTAGAGGATGCACATTAGGCACTTCATCATGATCGTGAGCCTGCTGGGACAAGCCTTGATCGCCCTGATTAAGAAGGGGCAGAATCATCTCATCCAAGCAGAGGAGTTCTTGCTTCCGGAATTGGGCCGGTATATTGCCCTTACGAATAAGGTAGTCCAGGATCCGGTAGCTGGTGGCTTTGAATGAAGCTACATCGGGTATCATGGATGGAACGATAGCAGATGCCATGGTCACGATAAAAGCTGCAGAGAATATGCTCTCGAGATCAAAGGGTAAAAATGAATCTAGGTGTCACGTTAGTAAGACTTGTTGATTGGAAACTCCCCCGGAGACAGGCTTACCCAACAAATGGTGCTCGTACAAAGTTGACAATACCCGGAGCGTCATTCGTGCAGATTGTAAGCAGGTATCAAGCAAGCCCTTCGTCTGTGGCAACATTGTCTTCTCTAAGTCGTTGGAACCCAAGGTTCCGCGAAGACGAGCGATCATGAGGTGTAGCAACAACGGTCGGGTGGCGAGGAGGATGCACTGTGGTGTGGATGTGAGACCGTGAGCTGTACCATGGTGAGTATGTTAGGAATACGTACGTGGTGGTAGGACAAATTGATGTGCGAAGCTACTGTTGAGACGGCCCCGATTTCCCCATGGGCAGCCGAAGTAAACACGGCATCCATCTCATGGGCCATTGCAGCCATGTCCCTCAGAACAGTTTGAATGATCTTAACGAAAGGTCGACTAAGGCGTTCAACACTGTATACGGCTGCATAAGGGATGAGACATGTTCCATCCTATAGACGAGACCAAAACTCACAATTTAATATCTGAGCCATCAGCCTCGATATTTTGACATGGATGTTCAGAACTCTTCCTCGCTGGGAATCATCGTCTATGCCTGGTAGCGGGCAGGTGATATCTGCGTCCTGTATGGAACTTGGTGCACCAATCATTGACGACAATCTTCGATCGAGAATGTACACTGTCCACCAGATATCTCGATAGTGACTTGCCAATTTTTCACCCATCGCCTGACGGGGCGTGTCGCGGTGTAAACCGTCTACAAGACAGAGGCGGACGGCTTGACCGATCTGTTCGAAGGAAAAAGTCAGTTTTTGCCGGGACAAACCAGGGGGCTAGGTGGAACAGAGTCGAGACACATACGTATCCATACGCAGCCTCTTTCATGTCAACTGATACAAGGTACAGTGCCACGAGACATAAAACCTGGATGGCAAGGGCGGACTCGCGCTGAAGACGCACAAAATCTGGCATAAGGGACATCGCACGTTGGAACCATAGTGAACCAGGAGCGGTAGTAGGATCCTTCACCGTAATGACCATAGCTTTTCCAAGGGCCACAATCAATAGGAATTGAACGAACCAGAGTCTAGAAGAGTTGATTTTTTCAAGTCCAAGTTGATGAAATTCGTACAAATTGCGCGTGAACTCTTCGTCATCGAACGGTCTGTACATCTGACATGTGTGAAATTTCACGGCATTCATCAAATAGAGAGTATAGTCAATTGAAGGTAGATCAGTAGTATCCACGGCAGCGGTCGGATCTACGGCTGTCCATTCGATCTGATACGCAGTCCCATCGACATTCATCGACACTGGGGATATTTGGTTTTGGGGGAACGCTTCTTTGAGGTGGTCGAAAACCCTCTGGCTGAACGTCCATGTCGAAGACGGACCAAGAAATCCTGAAAGCCATGTAAGCATGTGACAACCATATCGACAATGTTTTCGGTCGCCTCACGGTATCTTCCAACAGGATCTCGCACATAAGACGAGGTTTGAGACACCAAGGGGTTAGTGATTGAGTTGGACGCCTGATCGAGGGGCCTATCCTGCTCGACAGCAGCGCTCCCGGGATGGCCTTGGGCATCATCTTGGAGAGGTCAGCTCACTCGTCATCGCAAGGACAGCAACGCAGAAACGCGTTATAGGGGCCTGTTGCTAACTTTGTTGGTCTTGACATTGTGGACGTGTAGCTGATGAAGGAGAAGATGAAGGACGGCTCGATTGACCGTCCAAAGCACTGTGTGACTCGTTTCTATATCTCTCCAATTCCAACAAGTATCTTCGACCAAGTCAGAGGGGCTGCAGAACACGACAAGAGTGTACACCTGCCTCTCAGATACTACCACCTTCTTCCCCACATCCTCGAAAAGACAGGAGATCTTGCGACGGGTGCAATTGTCACATGGGTTCGTCCCTGAGCATTTGATCTTACGTCTCTTGCAGTACCGACATCTGTACCATGCCAATTAGGGGAGCCTCCTAAAAGAGAGGATCAGACATGCACAAGGGGTTCACTCACGCGGCAGCAACCCGCCTATGCAACTGTGGATCTCCGGCCGTCGGCATCATCTGCCGAGGACTACAGAATCGACATAGTAATCATCTGTTCGACCTCTGTTCTCTGTGTGGTGGAAGGGACTGCAGCTATCACGTCCAGCTGGATCTGAGAGCGAATATTGCACGTATGCAAATTCAATATCTTGTCACAACATCCCTGAAGCAGGAGAGGGTTTGGGACGGTATCGACTCAGCCCGTGACCACAAAATCGCAACAAGGACACCAAATACAGATTAACGATGTGGAAACGTTTCTCAAGATGCGTATCTAAGATGGTACGGTTGTCGTCTATGGCGGGAAGCGATGCCGCAAAAAGAGCCAAGGACATCACGTGCATCTATGTCAATCACGTGACTAAGTTTCTACGCCATTTCTCACTCCCTCCTCTCCACGGTCTTTTGACTCTTTTCACCGACCACCTTTCGTTCAACGATGAATGGTGTCGCGATGCCTCGATTGTCCCGAGTACTCCGTAGAATCACAATAATGATAAAGACGCGTTCTGTTGTTCCTCCCGAAGATCGTGACGGCAGCTATCTCCGCTCTCACACTTATCATTGAGACGGCCTCTGATACTGCGGCCCCACTTCCCACCGGTCTCTTGACGCTTTCTTCCGTGTCTGTGTCTTGGACACCAGGGTTGTCTGGCTTTGGCACAAGATAATCTGCCGCCATTGCATCTTTCCAGCAAGATGATTGCGCGTGACTAGATGCAATCCGGCAATGTGGACGGCTTCTACATCGCCATGATTTGCTTTCCATGGAAGTGATGAAAGCACTGCGATTCCAATTGCGGCGGACTTCCAGAAGACTCTCGTATCCGAATGTCGGGGACAGAAGTCAACTGTTTAGATACTTTATCTATTTAAGACCCCGAAGGACCACCCCATATTCTACGATCCCAAAACCCCTCTGTCACAGCACGGCAGCTTTTGTGAGCTACTGCCGGATAACGGGCCCGTGTCCCAGTCAGCAACTATGTCATTGGAAATGAACAACACCCTGAACGATATGCCGACAAAGGAACGGGCGATCGTCCAAGAGGATGGCGTCGTTCCTATCGACCCGGCACAAGAGCGCAAAATCCTCATGAAAACCGAAGCAGTCATTCTGACATTCATAGTTCTCCTCGCCTTCCTCATGTTCCTGGACAAAAACTGCCTGGCCTACGCCAACATTTTGGGAATGAAAGCCGACACACATCTCAAGGGTCAAGAGTACAGCTGGTTGGGAAGCCTGTTCTACTTTGGGTATCTGACGGGGATGCCCATATCGGCCTTTCTCATCCTTAAGTTTCCCGTGGGCCAACTGGTCGGGGTTGCCGCCGTCTGCTGGGGTATCACCATCATGTGCATGTCCGCCTGCCAGAACTTCGCCGGGTTGGCGACCGTGCGATATTTCCTGGGGTTGCTTGAAGCTCCGGCCTTCCCGTCCGCCATGATCCTCATCGGTAACTGGTGGAAGCGGAGTGAGCAACCCTTACGTACGGCACTGTGGTACAACACTTTCGCGGGTATTTTTGGTGGGTTGCTGGCTTTCGGCATCAACAACATCGACGGAAAGTTGGCCAATTGGCGCTACCTGTTCATAATATACGGATCCATCACCATCTTCGTCGGCGCGTTGGCGTTCTTTTTCCTGCCAACATCTCCGGCGACCGCGTGGTTCTTGACACCACGTGAACGGGAGATCGCCATTGCCCGACTCGTCGACACCCAGCAAAAGAACAACAATGACCGACCGGCCAAGTTCCAGCCGAGCCAGTGCGTCGAGGCCCTCATGTCTGCCAAGTTCTGGACATTGATCATCTTTGTCCTGGCCCAGGGTGTGACCGCGGCCGGCATTACCAACTTCAACCCACTCATCATCAAGGGCTTTGGCTTCTCCGTCCAGCGCACTAACCTTCTGGCTGCACCTCAAGCTGCCGTTGGTATAGTGGCGCAGGTTTTCTTTTCCATACTCGCCTATTACATCCGCAACACTCGATGCCTTTGGTGGGCGCTGGGCACGGCGCCTGCCCTTGCCGGTGCGATAATCATCCACTCGGTTGATGTCAACAAAAATCGTCCAGTGGCACTGGGCGGTGTGTATCTCATGGGATTCTACAACGTGGGTTTCGTCATGGCACTCGCCATCGCCACGGCGAACACGCGAGGCAGCACGAAGCGGCCCTTTGTCAATGCCGCGCTAGGCGTGTCACTGGCCGTCAGCGAAATATTTGGGCCGCAGTTTTTTCGTGAAAGTCAGGCCCCTTACTACCAGTTGGGGATCTGGGCTCTCGTTGTTTGCTACGCGATCATGATCCTGACTGCCTTTGTGTACTGGGGTTTGGCAATTTTTGCAAACAGGAACAGAGATCGGGCGGGCTGGGCAGCGGACGTGGATGAGGCTGCCACGGATGAGGATTTGACGGACGGCCAGAACAAGATACACAGGTATTCGTACTAGAGATGAGCAAGGGAAATGAGCGGTCGATGCCCCTTCAAAACCATGTTTCCACTTCTACCCTTAGGGTCAGACTGCAGATCAATACGAATGGGTGGCTCGCGAACGTTCACTTTCCTTCGGGCAAAAGCCGCTCTGTCGTTGACTCGCTTATTGCGACTTCATCGCTGTGCTGAATCAACCATTTCTGACACGAGCTCCGAAAAGGCACCGCTGACACAGACACTGATTGGTGAAGTAGATTCGGGTCGATGGAATGATAAAGTTTCTGACTCGTCGTCGCAAGAGTCATAAGTACCATTTGCCCCCCAAGTTTCACCCTCGGACATTCAACAAGCGCTGATGTGATAACCGGGGTACTCCACCTCCGCTCCTGGGGATCTCAGGGTTCTGGGGAAGCGAGGTACCTACTCGACGGGACAACGTCGTCTATAATAAAGAGGCGAGGCCTCGTTTTCATTTCCTAAACGATTTCGCAACCGTTAGACACAAAAGTGTACCATACGAGAAAATTCTTCCGACGTCAAGATGGCACATGACCATGAGCAGAAAGCCGTCAAGAAGCAAAGGATCAACACTTACAATGTGTTGTTGCTTTGTTTCATCGGTCTTGGCTCAATGACCTATGGTTATACTGCTTCCATCATTGGAACCACCTTGGGTACATACATACGTTTCTTCTCACCATCTCATTGGCACAACCTCCCCCCCCTCCGGTTAGCACTCCCTAGCTAAGTGGTAAATTTTTGCCTAGGACAACCTTCGTTCATCGAATACTTTGATCTTGCCACCAGAAGTAATGGAACCGATTTGATAAGTACCATGAATGGACTCTTTCAGACGGGCGGTACCTTGGGGACATTGATGCTCCCATACGTGGCAGACCGATGGGGTCGTAAATGGGCCATCGCCGTGGTAATGAACTGCCCTCGAACCCCCCCTTCCCCCCCTGATACCGTCCTGTGAGGTGTGAGCTGACCACTTTTGAAACGTCTGAAATTAGCCTGCTTTCATCGCCGTCGTCTCTGGAGCCTTTTTGGCCGGAAGTACCAACATAGGAGAGTTTCTACTGTTTCGGTTCTTTGCTGGAGCCGCGGCTTTCATGATCCTAGCGGCTGTACCGGTACGAATATACAGACCCCCCCCCCTGACCATTTTCGAGTCTTGCCATCGTATTCGAGTATCCAAGTCCTGAAAAAAAAACACTCACGTTGCCCGTGCCTCAGATTTGGATGTCCGAGGTTGTACCCGTCAATTTGAGAGGAGCCTTGGTTGATGTCCACGCCGTCTTTTTGATCCTGGGTTACACGGTCCAAGGTTGGGTAGGGTTCGGTTTCTACTTTTGGGACGGAGGTTCAGCCACATGGAGACCACCTCTCGCCCTTCAATGCGCTTGGCCTCTTTTGCTCTTGTGTGGCATCTATTGGGTTCCGGAATCTGTGAGTCACATTTCAATCACCTCTTGTTGATGGATGTTTTTTCCTCTCTTCTTGACGGTCAATTATACGTACTGACAGACCAAAAACCAAAAATAAGCCTCGTTGGCTAGTCATGAAAGGTCGCGTCGAAGAAGCAAAACAGATCTTGTTCAGGTTACATTCTGACCCGGACGATCCCGACGACGAGTTTGCCCACGCAGAGTACTTTCAAATCCAGAAACAACTCGCCATCGACAAGACTTTGGGTAACACCTGGATGCACATGATCAAGAAACCTTCTTATCGCAAACGATGTTTTCTGGCGATCGGCACGACGGGTATCATTCAATGTTCTGGAGTGTTGGTCATCAACAGTGAGTGACTTCAAATCATGAAGAAGGGAGATTCAGGAGATGTCAGAGGCTGACAGCTTGATTGAAACAATCAAAAGACTACGGACCGACATTGTATAAAAATCTCGGATTCAGTCCGGTCAAACAACTTCTCTATCCGGCCGCGTGGCTCACCTTGACTCTGGGGATCAACATCATGGCCATGGCGATTGTCGACTTGTTCGCTCGAAATCGATACATGGCTTTCGGGGTGTTGGGTTGCATGGTCACACTCATCATCGAGGCGGCACTGGTGGCGGAGTTTGTCCCTTCCGACAACCACTCCGCTCTGTTGGCTGCCGTCGCCATGTTTTTTATATTTCAAATCTTTTATGGATTTTGTTTAGACGGTAAGTGTTTGAGTTTGACTCGTTTGTGGTTTTTCTTTCAAGAGATCAGAGTCCAAAATCCAGAGAGTCACTGACTGACGATGTATGAAAAATTGAAATAAATCTACAGGAACACAATTCAGTTACCTAAACGAGTTGTTCCCCACTCACATCAGGGCAAAGGGGGTATGTTTGGGTGTATCAATGATCTCACTCATGAACATCATTTGGCTTCAAGCCGCTCCCACCGCTTTCGAGTAAGTACGACAATCACGTAGTTCCCAAGATCATGCCCAAGCCTGTCTGAAGTACATTTTGACTGATGACTTTCCAACAGAACCGTTGGTTGGAAATTTTATCTGGCATTCATCATCCCAGGGACCATTGGTGGTATCATCATGCTATTCTTCTTTCCAGACACAAAAGGTGTACCTCTCGAAGAGATTGCGGCAATATTCGGTGACGCCGATGAAGTTGCCATTTATCAGAGGGACATCGAAATCGATCATACGACTCACGATATAATTACTCATGACCACGACCGGGAAACCGAAAAGGTAGCTACAGGTGTCATGGAAGATGTCAAACATTCCGAAACGACCGACAACAATGTCTGAGGGGATTGTCAGCAGGCTTTGTATGTGCCAGCCATTGGCAGTCGACTCATTTTTCGTCGAGAAGAGAATTACCAAGTTTAGAAAGCTGATTTTACTCTCAGGAGAACAGAATCCCTTCCATGAGGAGCATATACTGTACTGTGGGTGGACTCTCAATGATCGCCGCGGAGATATATTCGTACCTACATATATATAGATATATATATATATATATATATGTGTCCAATCATGGTTTCCCATCATATACACTCCTTGAGTGCCTTGTGGTTCTTGTTTCTGTTATTCATATTGAGGCAGAGGAGTACCCATCAACGACGCTTTGATCTGCAAGGCCACGAATCTAGAAAAGTATCTCGCTTGTCCGACCGTGCCTCCCACGTACCATAATGCAGGGTCTGTAATTTTTTGTGGGCAAAGAGTCAGCATTTCAGCACATCAAATAACAGTCAAAGGTGGAGTGGTGGAGAGAAGACAGTAGACTTACGACCGGTGGGTTTATATGCACCTCTGAGCTCCCCTTCTTCGTCAAAACCCCAATAATCCGAGACCTTCGACGCGACGTCTTTACCAAAGATGCGAACCACGTCGGCCTTTGCGTCTCCGATAAAACCGGTACAAAAGACAACCACGTCCGCTTGAACCTCAGTTCCATCGTCGAAACCCAGACCTGTTGTGGCAAAGTGGGTTATCCTCGCGTCGGACTTCATCTTGATCTAAATGCGAAGGTCAGCGGGAGGAGACCGAGACAGACACACAAAGGTAAAATTAGACCAAACCCACCAATCCGGTCGAGATCAACTTTGAACATCCAACATCCATATAGTGACCCCCGGCCCTCTCACCGATCTGATACCAGATATCTCCATACCGTTCGACGCGAAACCCGACGGCCTCGAGCGCGTCGAACCGTGCAGGGTCCTGACTGGCCATGCTGTGAAAGGCCGCGTTGGACATCAATCTCAACACGGCGTAGGGCGTCGACATTCCCTCAAAGTCGGCCTCTGACGTAGGTATCTCGGTGTTGTATGAGATATCACTGACATATTTATAAAATTCCCCAGGGATGACGTACGTGCGGCTCTTTTGGACCATGGTGACAGACGTCAGTCCCGCCTTCACCATATCTTCAGCGACGTCGTGGGCCGTGTTGGCTGTGCCGACCACGATGCCCCTTTTCCCCTTCCAAGAGCCCGAGGACCTGTAGTCCGCCGAATGTAGCACGGTCCCTTGGAAATCGTGGCCGCCCGGTAAATTGGGCATGACCGGGATCTGGCCACAGGCACCGACGGCCATGATGACATGTCGTGAAAGGATCGTTTTCCTGGGACGGTCGGCACCGTGTGTGACCTGGAGCAACCATATCTTGCGTTCTTCATCCCACGACCCCGAGTCTAGGTTGGTATTGCACCATACGTGCTGGTCGACCCCGGTTCTCCGTGCCCATTCCCGGTGTCCTCGAGCGAGATCGTATTTGGTCAGGTACTCCTGATACCCTTCAAAAGTTCGACCAAATGGTAGATGGCTGTACTCACGCGGCGTGTGGAGCCTAGTCGAGTCGTATCGGTTCATCCAGCTGTCGCCGATTTTGGCGTTCCGCTCGAGAACGACGTAGGACGAAATGCCCAACGCTTGGAGACGACCCGCCGAGCTCAGTCCTGCTTGGCCGGCACCGACAATGACACAATCGTATGTTTCGGAGCTGGACGACTCTTCGAGGGGTTTGGCTCCATTGGTGGCGCCATTTCGACCATTATTGTCTTGATCTGAACTGACCACTCTTTCCTCTTCGGGACCAACATCGATCCAAGTAATCTCGTCAACACTGGAAACTCCCTCTAGATCGTCCAAAACAGTCCGAATTAGCCATATTTTCCATTTGCCTTGCTCGTCACATATCAAAGATAAGATCCCTCGACAGTGCGCCGCCGGAGTCCCTCGCAGATTGAAGGTGAATTGAACGTCAAGCCACTGATAGTGGCCCATTCTCACGGGCCTGGTCCGACCAGAAACAAAAGAGAAGCCTTCGCATTTTCGACTTGCACATGTCGAAGTCCAGACTTTGACAATTGATTCGCGGGTATAGAATGTTCTCAAAGAACCTGTCAAAGCAAAGCAATCGCGCCATAGAGGTTTCGCGGCCAGAATATCTTCGTTCAAAGTGCCCAATGCATTGACGAAAGATGTGGCTGTTTTGTCATCGAGTTCAGCCAAGGTGGTTGACGTCGGTAATTGCGTAAGAAGAGTTTCGAGACTCGTCCTCGGCGCATAGGGGCCAACTTCGACAGTCATCGTGGTTGCTCGAGCGGCACGAAGGGATACCAGCGATCGGTGTCGTCGATCTACGAAACAATCGGTTTTGGTGCTTCAGGGCACAAGTTCGTCAGAGAGGAAAGCAATTTGAGACATGTCGACAAGTTGGCAAGCCAAATTTATACCTCTTTGTAGAAGTTTCGAGGACTGTTGACGACTGACCCACCGCCCGGGGCACGCCTCTCTCATACGTTTCACCCGATCACTCGAGACTGGAAGTCCTTGAAGTCGAAAAATGTCAGGCAAACAAGTCCCGATCAGGGGCGGGCGGGGGGCCGCGGGCAAACTGATCTTTCCTTGGTTGTAAACCTGTCCTCCCGGCCCCAACTGGTTTTTTGTTTGGTCGTCAGCGAAACGATAGATCCAGCTTATGCTTTTAGCCTCTCGCAAGAGTATTGCATAGCCTGGTGTTTGGTCGTGTCTTGTCGGGAGCCGTCTTTTGGTACTCTTGCAAGGGTAGATTTATCGGAGTTGGCCCAAGGGGGCGGCGCCCCACACTCGTCTTCATTTGTATTCTAGACGACATTCAATATAGTCACTATTACCTATAATTTCAATCAACTTCGCCTATTATAAAGAATAAATTCCAAAGGTCAACTGGAGGTATCTGTCCACCCGGCCATCATTTCGTCATGTCTTCGGTACTGCCGATCAAGCAAATTTGTGCAATCAGGAGGAAGCCCTGTTTGACGCGCAAGGAGTATCTTGACTACCGTTTTAATGTCCATGGTGCAATTACGGACGGGACTGACAATAAAGATGAAAAACCACAGTGAGATGTCCTGCCTGGGAATCGACAAGTCAGGAAGAGTTGTATACTGACATTGCGATCAAAGTAAATATATCCAGACCCAAGTGTTTGACTCCGTTTTCGGGGCAAGACAAGGAGGGCCGTTCAATGCCAACCAGCATTGGGTCGGCCGTGACGATGTGACAGAGCTCTTCTTCAGGAACGGTGAACACGTGCTTCGATGCTTCACGTCCGACCACGTCAAGGAGAAGGTGGGCCCGGATGGTGCCCAATTCGCCGACTTTGAAACCAACGTTGTACTCATGGCGCACGAGAAAGTGGTGGATGTCATCGACACGAGACTCGCGAGTCGCCGTCTCGAGCCCGGCTTGTTCAAACCTGGAGGAAGTGCGACGGTAGCCCTGTACTTCATCTCCTCTGCCGATCATGGGACCGAAGGGAAACGACTCGAAGCCAGACTCACTCCTCTCCTCGTCGATGCCCTCCAGCGGCATTGCCAAAATGAGGTCTGGCGACTGGAAGCCAATATCGGCACCGCGTCAAAGGAATTTGACCTCGCTTCGTACTTCGGCGGAGGAGGGATGCCACCCTTTTGCTTGGTGTACAAGGCTTTCCTCAAAGGTCGTGCCTCTGTGCCCTTCTTCAGGAAGAGTCAACGTACCTTTGAAGCCACTGCACACGAAAACTTTGACGTGCATTCGTCTTTTGTCTTGTTTGGAGAAGAAGCGTTGATCATGGATATGGACGGGGAAATCAGAGTATGTTGAATTTCTTTCTTGGGCCTTTCCGAAAGCTAACGAGTTGTCCAGTTCGCTCCTGACCGTCAGCCTTGTTTTCCAGATTTACCTGGTCCAACACATTTGAGCATCTAGGAGCGACTCCTTTTCTGGGGGTTTCGTGAGCTGTCCAAGAATATCCAAAGGAGAAATGCAACGGAAGAAAAGTGACATCGGTAATATTTGAGCGCGGGAATGAAGAAAGCCACGCCACGTGCAACGGGGGGGATCAGCGAGATGTCTGTTACCTACCACTACTCATACAATTCCATCTTGACGATGCATCAAAAATATCTCGATCATGAGGTTCTCGACCTCGGTATAACTCCCGTAAGGATTGTCTTATCTGGTAATACCGTCTCCCATTCCCGATTAGTATCTATCGAGACACCAAGAAATATGAGTGGCGAGTAAGACGATACGATTTCACGTGATTCGAGGCGATATCTCGGAGCACACAGTATATTCCCCGTAATATTGTCGTCGCCTTCGCTCGTCTCGGGTCTCTCGCTTGCAAGTCTTTTGCACGAATCAATCAATACGGCTTGACGTCTTTCTGCACATTCTCACGAGGCTAGAGGTCTCCGGACGAGCGCAATGTTTCTGGATTAGGGATCGATGGTGGGTGTGTATGTGGTCTATGCGAGGGTCTTTCTGCTGGCCGAAAGCGAACAGACGGACTAAATAATCAGGGAAAAAACGGGTGTCAAAAACAACAAGGTCTATATCTGCATTTACTCTCTCTGTACATACAAATGATTTTCGCCACGTAATGATGATAATGATGATAACTCAGCCCTAAGGCCGCCATCATCATCATCAGAAACACACCAACCCACCCCCTGTCTGGTACTCAGCCTCGTAGACCTTTCCACACACATCACTTTAGCTTGTGTACTCTACGATATCTTGCCGGTACGTTCGCCACTCCGTTTCCCTAGCGTATCCGGATAAGTAAAAATCCGCGTCCAGGTCTGACAGGGTCAACCTGGGATGTTTTTTTTCCTTCTAGGCGTGTTGTTTTGAGGAGGATCCCGTTTGGCCGACGTCCAGGAAAAAGAAAGAACTGCCTTTTCGTTTAGTAAGGCCTGCTAATGCATGATCTGGGGGGACAGCAGACCGCCCCAGAGTCCAAACATATGTCAGCAAAGGGACCTAGGTATCCAATGGCTGCGCTTACGAGTAATCTTTGCCGCCTCGGAATCTGTAGGCCACATGCTTCTAGTTCACAACAACAACAACAACGTCCCTCTCCGTGCTCTTGGAAGTTCGGACTTTATGAGTTGAGCAAATGCCGAGACTATGAATCCTTGCAGAGTCAGAGAGTACTTCCCTGGGAACAGTTGGAACTTTTCAGTAGAGTTGAAATCTACAAAACAATTCTCCTTAATGAGAGGAACAGGCCTGTCGCGCCAGCGCGCAGATTTTATGTAAGCTAAGATACTCCACGAATCATCACTGCGATCATCACTCCTAAGGACGAATTTCCAGCGCTCCATGATTGCCTAATCGATCAGTCGTCCATAGTCGTCGAGATAACTAACAAGGTTGCATTAGTGGCGAATCTAAGAAGTACCAAATTCGACAGTTACCTTTGTAAATAGGGAGAGAGGCGAAAGTTCGGCATCCGGGTTGCTCTTCGCAGATATCGAATGGCTCTGGTGAAGTATTGTTCATTGTTGTGAGAGTAAGTCACATTGCCAAGGTGCATCAGCGACTCTGCGGCCTGGTGCGCATTAGTAAATTTCTATAGCCATGCGAAACGGTGGCAATGTGATGTGCGTGGCAACACTGACCTCTGAAAGCAAGTCACCCGTCAAAGTCCCATCCGCTTCAGTAATCTCGACAGCCCTCGAGAGGAAGTCGACCGCTGGAATCAGCATACCACGAGCTTCCACATAATCTGCTGTATGCGCCCGAGCGTCAGCCTCTACGTTGGCACGGTCGGCTTCTCGAGCCTCTTCCGACGACGAATATCCGATCCTATCATTCGTACTGAGTGGCCGACCACTACTGCCGCTAGACGATCCCCCTTCCTGCCGATGTATTCGCGAAAGGGCAGCCTGCGACCGGGCGAGCCAATTTTGGCCAAGGCCTATCGAGCATGAGCCAAAGTCATACATGGAGACATGATTCACTAACCTCGAAGGGCGCCTGCGTCTTCGGGGTTTCTCGTGAGTAGGAGAAGCCATTGAGCCATACACCAGTCCGAAATATCAACCACACCAGCACTGTCTACCTCGGGATATGCTAATTTCTGCAAGGCACAGATAACGAGGATCTGGTCGGCGGCATACTCCGGAAAGCGGACGAAGCCTGTACTCTCGAAAGTCGATATTGCTGCCCTGGCAGTGAAGATTCGCTGTTCCCAGGAAATAGTCCCTTGCGGATTTTCGGATATACGTCGAACATCGCGAATCGCTCGTTGATTTTGGGACTCCTGTAGTTGATTCAACCCATTCCTGGTAGGCATTGTCTCATCAAATATGTCTGCAGATCTCGGTTGTGTCGTTCAGCAATTTTTCTGACGGGCTTTTATAGCTTTTCTTCACACAGAGTTCGAAGGGGACGTTGCATCCTATCATCGGTTTTGAGCAATGAGGTGAGGAGGTTTCTTCAAAGAGAATCCGGCGGTTCCCTGTGGGTTCCACAGTCCAGGCAGATATCTCTTGAGGCTTCAGGATTCGATGTTAGAGTAGTGGCCTTACGATAAAAGGGTGGTGAAACGGCAAGGCCGTGCAAACGCATGAACGAATCACGTACCTGTCGCAGATTAACAGAAGCCTACTGAGCACGACAGTAAGATGTATGCTGGGCCAATATCAGGGCGTCTCGGACCCGCCACTGGCGTTCCCCCTGGGTAGAGGCTGAGAAAAGTCTGATTCTGCAGTCGGCATGTGGCGAAAGCGTCCATTGAGACCTTACCGTAGGGACGTCGGCGTTATGCGAAAGCGAGAAGCGCGGCTGCCAATATGATACGTGGACAGCGACGACCATGACCCGTCCGAAGCGGATCGACGTCTGAGCCCGCTACGGGGGAAGGGGCACCTTGCTAGAGTGAATTAGACTTGCCTGCAGTTCCATTGCGACGCCAATGCGTGTGCCTGGAGATGGGTGGCGAACAGCAAAGCCATGAGGCTAGAGAGCTAAGTATACCCATGCGCAGGAAAGGACAGATCACTTGCGAGGAACCTAGGCTCGAATCACCGTCCTTGCGTGCTGGGGAATTGCCAGCCCACGGCAGTGAAAGGATCCATCGGCACGCAGTCCCCCAGTTCATCGAGTACAAATCCGCTTTATCAGGAAAGGCGGAAATGTGATCGTGGGACTAAATCTGAATATTCCAAACACAGGCAAAGTGTGATCAAGTCGGTGGAATTCTCTCCCTTTCTCTGTCTCTCTCTCTTGGCAGGATGGCATGGCACTGCAGTCAACGAGAATACGAGCCAGGGCGACTGAGCGCGAATTCCTCATTCCAGTTCCGTCTGCTCGGATGATACGGAAAGAGAGTTGAGTTCTTTTTTTCCATCGAGAGAGAGAGAGAGAGAGAATAGAAAAGATATTAGGAGTTTGCTGGAAAGGGAGATGTCATAGCCCCGATCAGCACCAAAGTCCCCTAGCGAGGATGACCGGGCGAAGCACAACCGATTCGTCCGTTACGGAAAAAGCAGGAAGAGTGAATGTCAGATTTCGTAAGCCTTTTGATCGAAGTGACAAAGGGACGAAGGTCTAGAAAGATCCGTTTTGATGCCGGCGCGCGGAAATACAGAAAGGCCGAATCTACGATTTTATGATTTAGTAAGCCTCACTAGCTGGAAATACGCAAGCGAGAGACCCTGATGACGCGAAATCTACGGAGCAGCGGTCCTCGCATTCGCACTGGAGACAGACACCGACTCTACGGAGTACAAATCCCTAGACCGGGGAGCAGGCCTTCAGAATATTACTCGTATTATTGTGAGGTCAAGCTTAGGTATATCTGAAGCCTATATCTTGGCTGCTTATCGCTTTCGACATTCCTGACGGTTAAATATCTAGAATTCATATGATTCTCGGACTTCTCTCGCCTGGGACTGTGGCATAACCACCGACTCTCATCCTGGATTACAACCTCGACGGCACCAAGTCCTTGACTTTTTCCCCAGCTCTATCAAATGTGGACCGTTGCTCCCATCTCAAGGACATTGCACAGCAGGTGGAATCAACAATCTGTTTGATGATCGGATCCGCTGCTGGCCAAGAGAGGGCTAATGGACGGTCAAACCGTGCTCCAATGCTCAAATCGCGCTCAAGCCAAAGATCTAACTTTTGCCTGCTAATGCCGAGTTTGCTTTTAGACACCCTTATCCCTATTAGTATTTGAATTGAATGGTATGAAAGAACAAAATAACTCCCGCCTATGAGATTCGTGAATGTTGTTTACGCCTGTTGCCGACGTGACATTATGTGGGAGGCTGGAATGGAGAAAGGTTACACCTTGGAGGAGGGTAGACCGACTCTCAAGGGGCCAATGTGGACCTCATATCGAGGTCACTCGTGTTTCTGGTCGAGCCATATTGGGACGGTGTTTGATGACCATCTGCAGCTCGCGGAGCATGTTGGTCGTGTTGTCGGCATGCTCTTGCATGGTCGCGCGTTTTTTGCGGTCCTGCTGTAACTTGCTAAGTTTTTCTTCACGGCTCATTGGTGTCCATGACATCCTCTTTCGTGGCATGGCCACAGCCTCAAACACCTCCTCGTCTAGCCCACCGTCAGAGGAGCCCCTTTCGTCGCCACTCAATAGTCGGAACGCCTCCGCAGGACCGCCATCGACGATGGTCAGTCCACCGAGACTGCTAGGAGAGGGGGACCCAGGAGACCGAATGTCACTAGATGCTCTTGAAGATCTTCGTTCAAGATCGGCATCCATGTTGAGGAACATCGTATTCCTTCCCTTCTCCCATTGGCTCAACGTGCTACGGATTTCTGCACCCAAGCTCTCATAGCTACGGGTAATAGCCATGCTGAAGGTCGAGTCGTCTTCAGTCGCCGATGATCTTTGCATTTCCTCTTTGAGTAAATGTACTTTAGCGTTGAGAGAGCGGATGGAGTTGACGACGGCGTCAAAACGACGCATTTGCGCCATAGTGTGTCGTTTCTGTGGAGTCATAATTTCCAGGCCGGTCTCATTGGACGCGCTCTCCTCGCCGGTCCTGGTATGAGAGCCGTCACCAAATTCTTCTCGGACAAGAGCCGCACGAACTACGTGGGCGCCCCGAGAGATTCCTGCTTCAGATTCCTGCAGAAGTTGTAGTATTCTTCTCCACTGACGAATGTTGTACCATGTGGAGCCTGTGTGAAGTGCAAGTAGATCACAAAGGAAGACCTTTCTCGCCATTAGGTGTAGTCGGAATAAAAATCGTAATTCTTTCAAGGAATCTTGGGCTTCCCTGGAGATATTGTTGGCAAATATGACGGCGTCAGTATAATCTTGCATGGAAACTTCGTAAATGTCATGATAGCTCTTCAAGTCAAGTTCTCGAATGAAGGGCTGGATGAAATTGTGGGCATCCACCGACTGACTAATACTGCCAGTCAAGGCTGTCCCAAGTATGGCTCGGAGTTCTCGACAGCGAGATGTTGCATTGTGGTCTTCGAGCCTGCTGATAGGTGGCATAGGGTGACTTCTAGATCTACGTCAGCGACAGGAGCGAAGGAGATCAGGGCTGTACTCACATCTCGTAGCCTCGTGAAACCACTTCCACCTCTTGTATGAAGCGCAGTCCTGCGGAAGTCACGGTGTCAAGGTTGTATGATTCTGCAACCACTTTCGCCAGTGACAAACCCGCAGAACGCCTGATGAACTCCAGATATTGCCGGCGTGCAATGTACGCAGTCACAAAAAGACCCCCTAGGATGAGGAGCAGAGAGAGGCATATTTCAGACCACGCAACAGATTCTTGATTCTGATAACGCCGCCTCAGGAATTGTAGAAACCATGCTATCAGAAACGAAATCCCCGCGGTCATAATAGCACCTCTTGTCGAGAAGGCGGTTGTCTGAAGTGTCTGTTCATCATCTTGCATATGCCTCCTGGGCTTTGGGTCATCTTGGAGGAGTTGGGAGGCAACGATAGTGTAACGAAATCGCTCTAGAAACTTCTCGTTCGCGACGTCGGTGGCCGAACTGGCGGATTGACGAAAGGCTCGCAGGCGTTCTTGAAGTTTTGGAAGACCTTGGGGAGCGAATGTTCGTGGAGGAGTTTGAGGAAGATCGGCGGCTTCGAACGGCACAGCATCTGCTTCAAGATACTCGGCTATAGGCGACTCATTGTAGATTAGAGCTTCCATGTCATGGTCGATTCATTGAGTGATTGAAGAGGCGAGAAACATGCAGCAGCTAGTGAAACAGTGTGAGTGTTAATAAAGGTATAGGGCGAGGGAGGCAGGGAATGATGCGCGTGCGGTGACAGAAATGGGTATAGAGTACGGCAAAGAACAGCACAAGCCACAGTTGATAGATAGCACGGGATAGAATGAGCACCCTGCGCTTATCCTTGTCTTCAGCCCTGATTCTTTGTGTACAGTACTCCGTATGTGTGGATGACGCGCCGGCGGCTGACAGCAATTTCAAGGCCCAGTAATAAAAGTAGGTACCTATTGACATTCGCTGTGGCTGTGATAGGGGCCCAAAAATAATAAGCCCCGGCGGCTTCTGGGGTACGGAGATGATCCCTGGCCACTAGGGAGTAATGAATCCGATCGACGTGGCTTTTTACGTGTCCAAATTTCCGATGGTGTTGATGTTGATGGACCTTTGAAAACCCTCAGCCTTGTCATCGGCTTTGTTGTTGTTGTTGTGGCTGTTGATTGCTCTGATTTCAACAACCAGTCAATATGAAGTCGTTCTGTTCAGTCTTATGATACTAACCACTTCTATAAAAATATAAATTCACAGTAACAAGCTCCAACGTAGCTGGCACAAGATGAATCACAATCTATCTTCCGAACTACGAGGCCGGTCAAGATGGAATCGCGATACCGCCCTCATGATACGCGTCTACTCAGCATTCACTGCGCATGAATTTTCTGATGCCGGCGGTATCGCGACTCACCGGCTTGAACACACAATGTAGGTGCAAAGAATTCCTCAGGCAGTGATGCCACTCTTCATCCCTTTTCAATTCGTCACTTGTCAACAACCCGGAGAATCAGAGAAGAACAGCTTCATCAATATCAAATCACGTATCATGGAGCAATCAATCTTTGGAAAGACAGAAGCAGGAGATTCCTCTGGTGACACTGTCGCGACGACTCCTGGTGACACTATGGATGTCGATGTCAACGTGTGCGCAACTGCAGACACCCCAGACACCGCAGATGTTGATGTGGATGTGGATGTGGACATGGCTGACAAGCCACCAAACGACGACGACAACGAAGAATCATCAGACCGTGACTCTCTTCCTGACCTGACTGACATTGAAGCTCGTCATCTACGCAAAACCCCCAACCATGAGGTCAAGACAACGGAGCGTCAAGGTCTTTTGTACTCTGGCTTTTTTCGCCAATTACAGCTCAAACCTCAAAAGTATCTCGAATTCTACAATGGTGTCATATGGCCTCTTCGCTACAACCACATTGAGGAGATTCAGAGAGGTACACCGGCAGGCTACAGAGCGTTCACCAATCGTCTGTTGAGAGGTTATGGCTACATCATATGGCCCTCCAACTCCGCGCCCACGTCCGAATGGCTCATTGATGTAGAAGATCTCGACGAAGGTGATGTTCGCTTGACATATGTGAAGCCTACTGGAAGAAATGGCGCAAGCACCGTCCCTGAGAATGCCAGGTACGTACCTGCCTACCAACCACACTTGCGTGGTCCTTTACTCTTGGCCAAAACTACCACTACTTCTACCTCTTCTTTGCCCTTTGCCCTTTTCTTTTTTCTTTCTCTATCCCCTTTTGCGCTTTTTGCTAAATCATCAGAACAGATTCTGCACAATCTTGGACGCTTTGTGGGCGCGCATGAGGAACGCAATTTTCACTCGACGCACACAAACCACCGCTCCCAACCGGCGAGTACGTGCAAGACAAAACAGCAACAAAGCAAGATGTCGTCAATCAAGTTCATTTGTTGATGACAACGAAACCGACTACGACGACATTGAAGGTATCAGAAACAATACCATATCTCCTCAAACATTCTTGGAGCGTGCGCGTGGAAGGACTCAACAGACAGTCCTAAATTCACAGGCAACAACAACAACAACAATGGCCCATGCCAATGCCAATGCCGCTGGCAGTTCAAACCAAAAGTTGACCTACGAAGAACTCGATCAAGCCCTCGACCGACTCCAGGCCACACTGTCCGACATCCGAGAGCGCAGCGACCCCGACATGTTTGCGAGCCTGTGGGAAGAAAAGATCATGCGACTCGACGAGATCGAGGCTGGGCTCCCCCAAGACCCGGCTCTAGTGGCAATGTTTGACAGATCCATCGCTCGAGGCGACATGCCAGCTCCTCCCCCCGGACCGGGCCCCGTCATGTGCAACGAGCCCTTCAACAGTCGAGGCAACCCTTCGAGGGACATCAACCTCAACATCCCTCCCACCATCCCAGGCACCATGTCCGTTTGGGTCAACGTTGCAGACATGCCCGCCGTCGCTCTGAACGAGGCCGACATCATCACCACCGGTTTTGGCGATTTGTCGATCGGTGGTGGTGATGGTGGCTCGTCTCACCACTGGGTAGACGCCCCTGTCGATCAGCTCGACATGGAACGATTCATCAAAGGGGTCAACGAGAGAATCACTCCCACACCATCAAAGGTGATGGGTTATGTTTTGAGTTATGGATGGAATGTGAGTTTTTCTTTCTTTTTGTTTCTGTTGCTACACAAGACTAATAGAATCCCCAAAGGATTCCTGCCGATTTATCTCTACCGGTCAATTCGAGACCTGTGGTAGAATCTTGTCCTCTTCCTCCACCTCCACCACCACTGTCGCCTCCTCATCCTCCTCCGTCGGTCCTTCCTCCACCGACTTCCCACCTCAACAATGGTCGGTCATTCGTCAAGGATGGTCGAATTTCCGCAACGACCTCGAGCGAGCGGCCCTCGACGGTGTCAAGATCTGGAGGATCAAGGTGTGTGTAGTAGCTCTGCCATGAGAGATTGAGAGATCGAAAGACAGAGAGAGAATGTGTGTCTAAAACTTGGGTCCTTTGGATTGAGTTTAGTCTCTTGTCTTCAAAATGCAAATCAAAATGAATTTCAAAATCTTGTCACTTTCCTTTTAGTTTTGTCTCACTTGTTCTCCAGCCGTGGTGGTAATGTTCAGGGTAGGGATTGTATCTCAGTAGGACACCGTATGAAGTCATGGGGTTAGAAACACATGTTGGGTTGTATCTCGGTCGGTCACCATATTACCATAGAGTGATGAGTGTCACGCTTACTTGATTGTATCTCAGCAGTACACCATGTAGTACAGACACAACACATGGGAATGTATCTCGATGGTCCACCGTGGGCAGTGATGAGAGTAAAACGCACTCCAGGGATTGCATCTCGGCGGTACACTATATGTGGTATGACATCCGTACAAGCAGACTATAACCCACTTTGTACACGACAATGACCGTCTGATCTAGTCCTATTTCCTGTCTGATAACTCCTCCCCTACGGCCGACTTTTACCTATTTCCAAAACCATGACTTTTCCATACGGTGTCCTACAAGACCACACAAGGCGCTTGACCTCAAGAGCAAGGACGTACCTTGATACTACAATTGAGAACCGCCGTTAAATCCGACTTTTCATGCTACGAAAACCCTCCGAAACCAGGCCATACAAGACAAGGACAAAAACAAACTCCAACCTCGCTATGCTCGCGTTATTATAAACACAAGGTTTTCCATAAGAGCGGGCTGGTCACCGCAATCATTACAGGCCGTTAAAGCAACAACAGCAGCAGCAGAGAATTTGCAAGCAGGTGTTCAGTCGACAAGAGACCCCCAGCCGAAAACAAATCTCCTCTCTGCTTCTCACCCTCAAGCCTCTATCCTCGAATTCGCCCCATTACACACACACAACATCATCATCATCATCATCAAGGCCACCATCCCATCCTCTCGTAACTGGCAATCATCGCTCTGATCTCATCAGCCGTCAACTTTTCATGTTCGTACTTGAACCCGGCGACCCTTTCGAACAAAGCCCCATCCAGACTGAGGTCCGCGTCCTTGAGCAGTTCCTTCTCCAAGAAAGGAGTCAGTGGGCCAGGTTTGGTGATGGCCTTTTGCTCCAGCATATCGGCCCATGGCTGCAACAGATCCTCATTCAGCTCGTCGACGACACTCTCGAGATGCAGCCTTGCGAATTGAGAGATCATAGACCCCTGGAAGCCGGTCTTGATACCGAAAACTTGGGAGAAGATTTCTGCCATGTCACCTTGACTTGTTTGACCGTGGTCGACGATATTGAAGACGGGAACATTGCCAGGCCCCTCCTCGCCTTTCGAACCCAGCGTTGATCTCCTGCTGGTGGTCGGTGAGCCCGCGGGTACGACCGAGTTGGTTGACCTCCACACCGCAGCTTCCCACAACGCTCGAGCCATGTCCTCGACGTGAACGGTGTTGATCTTCAGGTCCTCGGTCCAGAGCCACTTCAGCTCCTTGTCCTCTTCCTTGTAGACTCGTGCCATGCACAATGCCTTTGCGATGAATTTGGAGTCGTACTCTCCATAGACATGCGCAGGACGTAGGATGACCAGGTTCAACCCCGGGATGCGAGACAGCTCCTGTTCAGCCTCTAGCTTGACCTTGGCGATTTTCAGCCATGGTTTCAGTTTGTCCTGCTCCGTGCGCGGGCTCCGGTTCGGGGCGTAGACCACGCCCGTGCTGACTTCCACAAAGGACTTCACCCCTCGTGTCGCTGCCTCTCTGGCCAACGTGAGGCTGACTTGATACGATCGCAATCTGTATACTTCAGGAGTCTGTGACCAGGCCGTCTCCGCTGCGAGGTTGAAGACATAATCCCAAGTGGCATCTGGTCCGTCTGGATGATCGAAAATGCGCGACATCGAAGTCTCACGCGAGGCATCGGCCTGTATGAAGAACTGTGGTGAACATGGTTCGCTGAATTCTGGCGCAAGGTGGGCCAACTGTGGAAGAACCTTGTCGACAATGCGCACGGAGGAAGCAAGATTTTGAGAATGAATGTACTTTGCTAGAAATCGACCGATGTAGCCGAGTCCGCCCACGATCAGCACAGAGGGTTTGGAAGTGGCGTTGGTGGGGGATGCGCCTGTCGGATGTGTCATGATGTGTCGTTGCAGGAGAGGTCCTGTTGATGACGGAGGGTACGAAGAGGAGAAGAAGAAGAAGAAGAAGAAGAAGAAGAAGAAGCAGCAGCAGGAGGATCCCAGCACTCCAACAACCAGCACTGACGCCGAAAGGAAAGGGAAAAAGGGTTGGAAGAGGTCTCTGAGTCCACAGGTCCTGAGAGTAAGTCAGTGGTTGTGCGAGGAGGGGAAGCAATAATGAAATGGGGTCTCAGCTCACGCGCGCGCAAAGGGGGGGGTAAGACGATAAAGCACCGCCGGTCCGTCAATTCCACTGGAAACAGGGATGCCGGATCTTATTAGAAGTCAAACGAGATCGCAAAGCTGGCACGGCCCGAATGGCAGCAGGCACTCTCCAGACGGCGGACTCGTCCGCACACCCACAGGAGGGCCAGTGGCCAGAGGATGGCGCAATTATTGACGGCCGGCGTCGAAGTCGTGGAGTGTCGCGCGAGAGATCGAGAAGTAGAATGTAGAGTCCGAGTTTGTCGATATTACGCTCGTTGGAAACAAGAACTTGTTCATATGCCGCTGGAATGCGGAATTGAATGATTGGCGTCCTCCGGGTGCATAGGCCCTTGCATTGGCGCCACTCGGTGTGCGCATAAGGTAAGGGAACCTGAACTCTGGTTCAGGGGCTCGTGGCAACTGTGTTGTCTGCATCACCTCATGCAGGTCCCAGAGCTAGCACTCAGGGGTGCATGCATCTTAGATGTCTGTTTCTGAGGCGGTAGCTGCATGCGGTGTAACGAGTATGGGATATGCAGGTTACACCATACCTAGAAGTAGCTGCAGGCGTGATTGATGGAGATTGGGGCATCAAGCGCACACCAGCAACAGGAGGCGGGATGAGAGCGGGACCAGACATACCACACGCCCCTCCAACGCACACTAGGAACCCACGAGGACGCTTCCCAATTTACAAGGAGGGTTCCCTTCTGGCGGTGACGAGGACGATGCTCATTGTATGGAGCTTGGGACATTTGGGCTGATGCCATCGTTAGGGTTAGGCTGGTCTACTTACCTAGTACGTGTTCGCAGCATATAGCGGGACAGAAAGTGATTACAGTTAGTAGGTACCTACTGGGTAGTCAAGCGGTGTCTCTAAGGCTACTGGTGCTGAGGTGATAGGGTTGTGTACACTAGGTGACCACGGGCAGAAGTCGAAAGATAACAGGCTACTTGAGACAGGGGTTTGGCGGCATCAATGTGACATTCTCGGGAAGAATAAAGGAATTGCCGTGCACGTTATTGATACAAAATCTATACTCGGTACTACATTAATCACTGACCCAGCTGTTCACCCATGGTGGACAGTATGCTGCCCAAACGGGGGTGCTTCATCGTTTGCATAAGGGCTAGTCTCCCTCGAAGCCCCGTCACTCGGGAACAAAGTCTTAGTACCGACGTTTCATGAACGATCAGACGACCTGTGTGTGGTGTCCTGCCGCCCCTGACCACCCAAAAGAAACTGCTTTCCCTTTTCTTCGCTACTTGGTGCCCAACGGACCCTCGTTCGGGTGTGAAAGATGTGGTGCTCTGTCAGCCCAAGTCGAGACTCCTCCTGGTGAGGAAGAGGCGTAGCCAACACCCTTGAATTCAACGTAGCAAAACCCCATTCATCGGTGTGGAATCGTCCATTAACACCGGACGCACAATATCTCACGCAGGCAATGCTCCGCACAATGCTTTCCCAACGTCGTGTCTGGAACCGCTCAAATTCGCTCACGAACAACCTCTCGAGAACGCTTGCAAATTGGTATCATAGTCGATGATGTCCAGCTCATCGGCGCGCGTCGGAATCCATAAATCAACCACTCATCTTCTACTCCTTTGGAGCCAGGCCTGTGTGCCATGGTGCTCACTTGGCTACTGCTGGTCGAGGTTGTGATTTTACATTCGTGGACAACCAGCTCTGCATACATCTGTCAGCGTCCTGGTTGTTTCTCAGTCGATTGGGGGTTCCTTACCAGCCCTTCAAGCAATCCTTCACCAGTAGTTGCGCAGCTAGGCACAACGTACCATATTCGTTCTTTCAATTGGCCCAGTCTTAGCTTTTCGGTAACTTCGGTTGGCGTCATAGAGCCCGGAATATCTTGTTTGTTGGCAAACACAAGGAGGAGTGCCTCTTTCATTTCTCGGTCCAATATTATCCTGTGCAGTTCTTGTCGGGCCTCATCGATACGTGCGCGATCATTAGAGTCAACCACGAAGATCAGACCTTGCGTCCCAGAAAAGTAGTGTCGCCAAAGCGGTCGAATCTTGTCCTGGCCACCCACGTCCCAGACGTTGAATTTCACGTTCTTGTACGTGACCGTTTCGACGTTGAAGCCCACGGTAGGAATTGTAGTGACATCTTGATTGAGCTTCAATTTGTAGAGAATAGCTTAAGGGATGTCAGAGTATTCCTACAACATCGAAGGCTTCTCTTGAACAGGGCATACTTACTCGTCTTGCCTGCGGCGTCCAATCCGAGCATCAACAATCGCATCTCCCTCGATCCGAAGATCTTCCCCATCATCTTTGATATTTGGTTACCCATTGTTCGAAATGCGCAGATTACAGACAAAAGATGCGATAGAATGGTCGGTCGCGTTCCAGAGGCTGAGGGCGCGCGCTTTGCGAATCGGTCACAATGGAGGCTGACGGCCTCTCGTATCAAGGTCGAGACGCGCGGATGGAGGTGTAAATACAGGTAAGGCGTCGAAGGATAACGTCCAGGCTGCGGACGGCACCAAGTCTGGCGACGGCTTTAAAGGTATCGAGAAGTGGAAAATCGTAGATTAATTGACAATTGCACGTCGAGCAACCAGGAGCTGCTGGAAATTATTCTTCCCTGCAATTCTCCGGCGCGCTTCATCCAGGCCAGACGCGGCTCACAGGAAAGGGGCTTACGGGGAAAGAGGAGAATTGACCAAAATGGCATTAGCTCGTGCTTATCTCCCACGCATTCTTATCGCCTTCGGTGTGATGATGTATTTTGTTTATTACCAAGTTAACGGAGGCACAAATACAGGAGTTCTTCCACAATTCCATGATCGGCCTGCTTGTCAGAGTCTCCTCATGATAGAGCTCTCTTTCCAATTATATCCCGTTTTTGATCTGACCATCCACATCAGTCTCATCAGGTGCTGTGAGCATACCGTCGACAAAACTCCAGCCTTGTCGTCGCATGTTACCCCATTTCTCGGCCACTTTGTTCGTGACGAGGTCTCCTGTCGCAACAGCATCCTCTTTGGAATCGTGCCCCGCTTCACCCGCTGTCTGAATTGACCTCGAGAGATACTTTTGGCTCAATATCCTAAGTCCATATCTGAAGGGCAAGCCACGAGGATGAGGGTACAATAGAACTGTATCTATAACCAAGGGGTGAATGACTCGGCAGACATTCAGATCATTCTCAATGGAGTGCCCTATCAAAGGCGTCTCCTGGCTCAGATGTTCGAACAACAGTTCTCTCGCTGCTGCCGGTGAATCCACTTTTCGTAGGACATGTGTTTTCCCCTCAGATGAGGCTATAACACCGTCCACTGACGCTGGGTGATACGATGGTGTAGCGGCGAAGTCGTGAGGCGTAACCCCCGAGAATCTAGTGTTGAGGTCCAGTATTTCACCATATGGGCGCACGAGGATGTCGAGGAGAAGTTCATTTGTGGGCCAAGCAACAGCTGTTAGACGAATGACCTCCATCCCGAGAGTGGTATAGCCCATTTCGCAATCAAAGGATACCGGACGTCTCCTTTGAACATCAGATTTGGTGGGGGTATGTTCGAATTGCAAAATGCTGGCAAGTCTTTTCGGGTCCTTCACATTGAAGACGTGAGTAGGGGCTTCTGAGCAGCCTTCACTGCCTTGAGACTTATTGCAGCAAGGATAGGCCGCCTCCGACTGTCCAACTACTCGGGTAGCCTTCGAACCTCCTGTACGGAACGGTTTGGCCCAGTGATAGCGACATTTTCCATTGCTCGTGAGCCGGCCATGTTGATCTCGCCCAAGGAAAACTTGGAATCGGGTGCTGCACCTATCGCAGGTTTCAAATCCACCAGTCGCCGCCGTCCCTGCCTTTGTCTTGGCAATGTCTGTCTCGGTTGGTTTGCTTGTCACATATCCGAATTGTTCCAGCCCTTCGAGGGGTGTATGTAAATGCTTCAGAATGGCAATTTGTTCATCGATAGTCGCCAGGCCAGTTGAAATAGCAATTGCTGGGCCATTTTGTTCTTTGACTTGAGATGGTTTTTGTGAGTCTGCTCCAGTCCACTGACCAACTATCTTGACCCATTCGTCGGTCGTCAATTTTTTGATACGGAGCACCTTTTGAGCCAAAGCATTCTTGTAAATGTTCTCTCCTAATTTGGTAGCTGCTTCTTCCTCGTCGAGGGCAAAGGTGATCAGTTCTTGGTCACTCAGGCCAAGCGACTCTCGACCATCTTTCAGAGCCGCAAGCTTGGAATTCTGTAGCTTCATCTGCTCATGTAGCTTTTGCAGCAACGCCAACCTCGTTTTCAACAAGGCCGGCGCAGCAGGGACCTGGCGAGGCATCAACGATTCAGTCTTGCTGGGACGTTGTTTTGCCACTTTCTGGACGGTGGTTTTGACATCCTTCATTGGTGGAGGCGAGACAGTCCTCGTAACTGAAGCGGGCGTCTGCTTGATAGCAGAGGTGGGACGTGCTTGAAGGGAGTTGATCCGAGGTTTGATGCTATCTTTGGCATATGAGGCTTCATCTGGTACTGTTGAGTGTTTCCCATCACTGAGACTTCTGGGTCGATCAATCACATTTCTGGTGGCTGCCGCCTTCACCGGCTGCTCGACATCTTGACGCGGTCCGGGAGAGTCCAGTCGACGTCTTTTGGCAGGGGGAGAATGTACTTCACCTGCACTGAAAGGATCATATTCTTGTGTCGATATGATAGCATCACGGGCTTCCGACGCCGCTCTTGGGACGGCATGCAAGAAAATACAGCTGGGGAGGCTGCAATCATACCGCCGCGGACATTCAACACTTTTGAAAAGTCCTAGAGCAGAAAACATGGCATCTGGCGAGATCTTAACCTTCGTCGGAGCCTCAGCTATGATATTCCAGTCGCAGGGCCTCGATATGGATGTCAGGGGCAAAGCTTCATTCACCCACGAACATATCCAGGCGAGTGCCACAGTCAGACTGCCGCAGAGTCGATCTAGGCCTCTCAGACGATCAACGCACGTCGGCTCCAAGTCACGCCCGCACTAAGCCAGCAGATTCGACACCTTTCAACGCCTTATCGTGACAACACGAATGGACGAGATAGCGCCTCTTGGAACGGAAGCTAGCAAGCTCAGCGCAAGAGTGGTTGGCTGTCGTCGATGATTGTCGAGGTAGGAGAAAAGATCCGGACGGCGTTCCAGGAGTTAAACAAGTACAGCTGCAATCGAGTGAGTTGGTATATGAACCCGCAGCACCCAGCCTCGGTGTGATAAATGTGAAGTTGTAATGACCTCAGCCTTTGCTGGGCTACTCTACTGCCACTGCATCATTCACCAATCCCAACAACCCGAAAAAACCATTCAAGTCGTGCTGAGGCTTCCCGTTCTTCGCAACTTCGCCGGATTAGATGACAGATCCTTGACCTGTGGGCAACAACGTCGACGAAGTCAAGCACATAGGCCTGGGTATTGGCAGTTCTCTCAGTTCACCGAGAAAGGCTAAGTAGTGAGAGGGGAGTAGATTGCAGAGACGCAAGGCTGCTGTTTCTGAACCCTCCTCGAGGCGTTTTGGGTACTCCGTACAGGAGGACTTAGTTGGTGGGTTGGGGCCTAAAAGTCGGATATTGCACGAAGCACAGCACAGGATTTCAGGCTCCGGCAGGCGTGGCCCAGGCACCTACAAAGCTCTGTAAGGTCCTATCGGCGTTAGCTTTCATCCGTCCCGAAGGCCAACACGCTCAGCCACCAGTCGTCACCGAGGCCGTCATCGGCCCCTGCATGCGCCAAACAATTTACAATATCAACAAGGGTTTCATCCACTGTTGGGAAATGCCCTCCCTTCCCTTTGACCTGCGCAGTATCGACAGACACACTCTTTTCTACACGTCGGATATGGCGGTGGGCACTTTGAAGTCGGGGCAATCTACACTAAGGAAGGCTCAGCATCTCTGTGTTTTGGTACATGGGTGCGTTTTAACCATTGCTCTAACCCTCGCCTCGTACGACGTCATCACTAATTATTCTAACGCAGGCTTTGGGGATACGCGGTATGCGCCCGACATGCAGTTATAACCCGCGCGACCCAGCTAACCATTTGCGTAGACTCACCTCAACTATCTCGCACAGGCTTTGCGCGAGAAGCACAATGATGACAAGCTCATAATTCTGGCCTGCCGATCTAATCCAGGCTCGCTCACCTACGATGGCGTCGAGGTCGGCGCCGAACGAGTTGCCAAAGAGATTGAGGACATGTTGGAAGAGTTAGAGAGAGATGGCTACAAAATCACCCGTTTCTCCATCGTCGGTTACTCACTGGGCGGTCTGGTCGCACGCTATGCCGTTGGACTGCTGTATCACAAGGGCTATTTCGAGAAGATAACCCCCGTCAATTTCACTACTTTCGTCACTCCTCATCTGGGTGTCCGAACTCCTCTGAGAGGATATCAGAATCACCTTTGGAATGTGCTGGGGGCGAGGACGTTATCAAAAAGTGGTCGACAGCTGTTCATGATCGATAAGTTTCGAGGTACAGAGAGACCGCTTTTGAGTGTTCTAGCCGACCCGGACAGTATATTCATTGCAGCCCTCCGCCAGTTCCAGCGACGGTCTTTGTACACCAATATCGTCAACGACAGGTATGTGGGACACAATCGAAACACAACATTCTCTAATAATGAATCAGGTCCGCCGTATACTATACGACCGGCATATCGAAAAGCGATCCTTTTACTGACCTCCAGAAGCTTAATCTTCACTACCTGAAAGACTTTGAGCCTGTCATACTGAACCCCGATCGGCCTATTGAAGTTGCACCCGAGGACCAGTTACCTTCATTTTATCAACGCATCCGGATCAGCAGTCAAACCGTCCTCCGTCGGACACCGATTATTTTGGCATTGGTTGTGCTGATCCCAATAGCCACCGTGGCCTTCCTTGCGAATTCTTGTGTCCAAACCTTTCGCAGCCGCCGCCGCATCCGATTGCACGAGACCGATGAGCAAGGAGTAGGATTTGGCATGTACAATATTCCCTGGATGGTGCGGGAAATGCGTGTGGGTCTTGAAGATGCATTCGAAAATGTCAACGCTGCCCAACAGCAGGACTACCTTCCCCAAGGATCAGAGGAGATCGCTACAAAGCCTGCTTCACCGTCCATGTCCACATTGACAAACACATCTGCCGAATCGCTGCTGTCTGAAAAAGCGGATAAGGCTCTGCTCCAGAAGAAGTCCTCACCGACCGAGAGAGCCCCAGATTTCCCCACCTTGGCCTTGACTCCAGCTCAATTTGCTGCAATCAACGCTCTCGACGATGTAGGATTCCGAAAGTACCCCGTCCACATCCACAAGAGCAGTCATAGCCACGCAGCCATCATTGTGCGGACACCCAAACCTGCATTCGAAGAAGGTAAAGTGGTTGTCAAACATTGGTTGGAGAAGGAGTTCCAAATTTGAAACCATCAGACACCTGTCCACAAGCGTTGTGTCTGTCACGGATCTGTGGGACATCCTGAATCATGACTTGTCAAAATATCATTGACTGACTGGTCGAGGTGTTAATCGAATATGGACGGCATCTCGATTACCTCACGGTAGAAGGGCCATCTTGGCCGTCCGGCGATTATGGTAAGCTACAGGGCCCTGCGCGACATAATGCATTCGTATTTGGCGATTGTCATATTTCTGCATCATTTACAAGTTCAGCATGCATGTTGTCATTTTCAGCGATGGAGTTGGATAGGTGACTCAGGTAGATTCTGAATCTGCGATCATTTGCACTCACTGATACGTGTCGATAACAACATGTAGTAGGCATCGCTCCTCATTCGCCCGAACAAAGTGTTATCAGGTTCTCTGTAAGCCTAAACGGCGTCATTGTGCTTGACCAGGCAGCCAAGCGAAGCCCCTGGACGGGTATGGCCGATGGCCCTTACGAGTTACTTTCTGCGAGGCTGCCCAATTCCATTGAAGCTTTTTGACCGCAAGAACGGAGAAGTCACATGTGAATTGTACCCGGTAACACCTCCAACTTCGCGCTTACGGAGGGAGGTACCTTAGTCGACTGTATTACGCGCACAGGAACGAGCCATTTGGAGATGTTGACTGGGGATCGACGCTCAGGAGGACGGATCAGACCAGAGCCTCAGCACGTACTGTACAAGTAGTCGTCGTAGTCGTCGTACTCGATTCCGTACTCGTCGCAGCACAGCGGCCGGTCAAGAAGAGGTTCTGACTAGGTATCCCGTGCATGCCGAGTTGCAGAAATTGATGGGGTGCAATGAGATCAGTGGCGTCCCGTGCGGCAAATGAAATTTTCACCTTGGAGGTCCAAACGGGGCCCTTGGCGTTGGGTGAATTTGCAGCCTCGGTCAGGCAAAAAAAATAAGCACGGCCTGTGGTACGGATCGAGCGTTGCGGGCGACAGTGTCAATGCCTCAGTGCCACCACTTGTTGAGTGTCATCCCCAAGTCACTTTTCGTGTGGACGTCTGCGTCTGACGGTGAAAATTCATTCCCTTTCTCAGCCTTTTCTTTGGGTTCGCCAGAGATCGTCTCTTTTTCCGCTGGAGCCGCCACTGCAGAAGTTTACACAAGCTCGCAAACCACATGTCGACAACGTCCTCGTTGTACTCCGTATCACTGACAAGTACTTCGACCCATCTCCACCAACCGTCCCAACGCGGCGTCTTTATTGCTCGCAATCTCATTGATAACTTTTCCAACCGCTGGAGTCCTTTTGACGGGCTTCGTCCCCCTCCGGCCGGCCTCATTCGTTGCTGCTGGGGTCTTTACCGTGTAGCGTCTCCGTAACGGCGACGTCATTGTGCAGTGCTATCAATAGGCCTCCTGATGGCAGTAGGTTCCGAATCTTCAAACAACCGACTCGGACTCTCGTTTTCGTGATACCCACTGTTTTGGTTACACTTGTCTGATATCTTTCCACTTTTCTCGCACGTGTGTCCATTGTTGCCTCTTGTTGCTACCCACCAGGGGGGCACGGCCTTGGGGTTGAGTATACGTATAATAAGCCTGGGTAACCCGCGTAGGCGCTATTTCTTCAAGGAGAAAAAGGCACCTCATGGTTCATTCGAATAGAGCACCGTCCTTGTTCTTTGCAGATAAACCGTTTATATCCTGAGTCCAAACGAAATATCACAACCGACATGTCTGCCAACGGCGTTCCTTCTGACATGGACAGAAACCTCCTGTCCCCAATCACCTCCAAGAGAAGAGATACACGGAGACTATCAAACCAGAGTGCCACTCGATCCGATCTGTTCGGAGGTCCTGCTGTTGTCGGACCACCAGACAGCCTCGAGGGCGGCTACAGCAATGCCCACGAAACGGCAAAGGCCATGGAACTGGCCAAACACCATCTGGCCGAGGGATCTGACCTGCCCACCCCTGAAGACTCTCAGCCTGTCACTCCGGATTCGTCGGGATTGAAGACCACAGACAAATATGCCTATGCATTTGATATCGATGGCGTGCTCATCAAAGGCGGCCACGTCATTCCAGAAGCCATTGAAGCCATGAAGGTTCTGAACGGAGAAAATGAATACGGCATCAAAGTGTACGTCGGGATCACCCAGTCCAAACTCTGTCCAAACCCATGAGATAACTAACACTTCCGATTAGGCCGTATATCTTTGTGACGAATGGTGGTGGAAAAACCGAGGAGGAGCGATGCATCCAACTCTCGAACCAGCTCAAGCTGGAAGTGTCTCCCGGGCAGTTCATTTGTGGCCACACGCCTATGAGAGAGATGGCGGAGAAATACCACACTGTCCTCGTAGTGGGTGGTGAAGGCGAGAAATGCCGCACTGTCGCAGAAGGATATGGCTTCAAGGACGTCATTACCCCCGGTGACATCATCAAAGATAACAAAGATACCACACCTTTCCGACAATTGACTGCCGAGGAGATGAAGAATTCCATCAAAAGGAATTATGGTGAAGTCGAGATCGAGGCGGTATTCGTCTTCGCCGACAGCAGAGACTGGGCTGGGGACTCTCAGATCATCCTGGACCTCTGCATGAGTAAGAATGGCCGGCTTGGTACCCGTTCAGAAACGTTCGACGAAGGGCCTCCAGTCTACTTTTCCCACAACGACGTGGTCTGGGCGACTTCGCACACGTACTCACGTATCGGCATGGGTGCTCTCCGCGCATCCCTCGAAGCCATGTTCAGGGCCATCACTGGCAAAGAGCTGAAGACCATTGCCTTTGGCAAGCCACAGCTGGGCACGTTCGACTTTGCAACCAGACTGCTGCAACAATGGCGGAAAGACACCCACGGCATCAACAAGCCTCCGGAGACGGTCTACTTTGTTGGTGACACTCCCGAGTCGGACATCCGAGGTACCAACGAGTTCAACGAGCATGGCGATCCCAACGTCGAGTGGTATTCGATCTTGGTGAAAACTGGCGTTTTCAGGGAAGGCACCAAGCCCGCCTTCATCCCAAAGATGACTGTCGACAATGTCCTGGAAGCTGTCAAACATGGCATGCAGCGCGAATTCGACAAGGCCTTGAAGAACATGACTATCGGCGGCGGAGCACCAGAACTGGCTGATGCCATCGCCGAGGATGACATTGACGTGTAAAGCATCTCTTTTTATTGTCCAGCCCCCTTTTTCTTCGACGACCTTTTTTCTTTCAAAGAACACAGTTTCAGCCCATGACTCGACCTGTGGACAGTTCATATTTCATTTCTTAGACCGTGGTGTTCTCAAAGCCTGCAGGCCGGGTATCAAAGTCAGGCAAACGAATTTCACCACCTACGACTTTACGAAAGCATTTTGGGATGGAGTTGCCGGTGCGGAAATACAAGCCGCGCCACCATTATATCGAATCACAAAGGCGGCATTGGCATGGCGTAAGTGAAATTGGGAGACCTCGTGATGTATGACTTCAACGCTACATAAGCCCGAAGGGCACGAGAGGGTGGACGAGGAGGCTTGTCATACATCGAGCACTCATTTGAATGCGGCTGAGACGGGGGCCGCACAGGAACGATTTTACTTGAGATCGGATACAATACATGTAGTTACGGAAGTGAATACGAAATGACAATTACACTCATGAGGAAAGCTCATCTTATGGTTAGACCCCAAATCCTGACCAAATTTATTTCTGGTTCTTCCTTTGCGGTTGATGAGTTGTCGTGTCAACAGGCTGTTTCGTGTACCAATATTCGTATGAACCAAGAAAGTACGGAGTATAGGCATACGCAATAATCATCGCATACTGCATTGAATGGCATATCCATACAATGCTCCATACATGCATCACATCATCTGTACCCAGTACCGGATACAGTAGAGGTCAGACATGGTAATCTTGGAAAGGCTCCCCAGGCTCAGCAAATGTCATCAGCCATTTTTCAAGTGGGACCCAAGCATCTGCATAAACAGCCCATTCGCACGTTGGTAGCCTTTTGGTGACGGTTTAAATATAGGAACATAGTCCCTTGGTCTGATCAAGGGACCAGAATTCTAAAGGCAGCAGAATTACTGCTGGTGACACGTATGAGACATGGTATGCAGTATCTGTTTGGTAGCTGCGGGTTATAGTTAGAGCGAGGAGCTGCCGGACAAGGCGTCTATCTCTGGCTTGTTGAGCACACTTCGTCCACCAGACAACGAACGAGTGGTTGATTTAGGTAGAAACCAAGGTCTAGATATGCTTTTGGCGAGGGAGAGGGAGTGCTTGGTTGGGCGTTGCGAGAGTCGTAAGGGGCAGGCTGAGTCCAGGTTTGCCCTTGCTGACTTGATGCATGAGACGGAAAGGCTTAATGGCCTCACATCCATACACTCCAACCCTCCCTTACACACTGCAAAACCAATCCCCCTCCCCCCCCCTGACCTCCGTCCAAACAACAACTCCTTCCTTGGAACTCTGTCGAATCCAGGTCAGGGCTTCGTTGATGTCCTTTCCAGCAAGTTTCTTCGCCCAAAGGACCACCTAGGAGAAGGTCAGAAGTCAGAATCCTGCGCCTACTGCCCTACCAACCTACCTGGGAAGCCTTGGTACTGATCGACATCGGACGCCCTGCTGCGCGCTACCCGGCCAGCCTCTTCCCTCTCTCTGCCCTCCAGCTGATCGATCCTCCTTTGCACATCAACTTTTCCACGGTCGTCGCTTTTTCGCCAACTCCTTCTTTTCGATCCTGCAATTCTCCCCATCTCATCGCATCTTGTGCGTTCGAGCGTGTGTGTGTGCTTCCTGATTCGTTCCCGGTGGTCTTTTCTCCGCGCGCGACCACGACATCATCGCCGTCACTTGCGCTTTATCCGTTCGTTCCAACAAGGGCTTGTTACAAGAGAAGGCATCACGCACAACAACCACAACGTCGCAGGGGACCTCCTCGTCCGACACCCGCTTAAGGGCGCATTGCCTCTGAAGCCGACATGGCGACAAATGGCGCAGGCTCAATAAGTCCTCCACAGTCCATCGACAGGTCAGCACAACGTGGTGCGCCTGCACCTCCTCCCCTAGCTACCGCATCTCCTCCTTCCAGACGAGAGTTGGCATCATGGTGGAAAAAGTTCCGAAAAACGACGGAAAAAACAGACGAGAAAGGTGAGGGAAAACAAAGCCAGCTATCTGACTGCAAGACAACTTGTGCTATCCTTGTGAGCCATATTTGCTAACTCTTTGTGTTAGTTGAAAGCGGTCCTGGCATCTTTGGCGTTCCGTTGGCCGACAGCATTAGATATGCGAATGTTGCAATCTCGTTACAGAATGAGAATGGCGAAAGCTTCATCTACGGCTACGTACCCATTGTGGTAGCAAAATGTGGTGTGTTTCTGAAAGAGAAAGGTATGCTACGCAGGCGCCCAAACCATTCGTTTAGCACCCGTACTGACGGTCCTCTAGCTACGGATGTCGAGGGTATCTTCAGACTGAGCGGTTCAGCGAAGCGAATCAAAGATCTCCAGACCGTGTTCAATTCTCCTGACAGATACGGAAAAGGACTGGACTGGACCGGTTACACTGTTCATGACGCGGCCAATATACTCCGCCGCTATCTCAATCAGTTGCCTGAACCCATTGTTCCTCTAGACTTCTACGAGCGATTCCGAGAGCCCCTCCGAAAGACGCAGATCCAAGGGCCAGATGGCGAAATGCATCCCAGAGATCTTAGCGTCAGCGAGCACAGCGCAGCCGTCTCTTCCTACCAGAAGCTCATCACCGAATTGCCACCTCTGAATCGACAACTCCTCCTCTACATCCTTGACTTGTTGGCAGTATTTGCCTCCAAATCAGATCTCAACCGCATGACTGCCGCCAATCTAGCGGCCATCTTCCAACCGGGCATCATCTCACATCCTTCGCACGATATGGCTCCTCAAGAATATAGGCTCAGCCAAGATGTTTTGATATTTTTGATCGAGAATCAAGATAACTTCCTCATTGGAATGTCAGGAACGGCAGTTGATGAGAAGACCCAAAAAGATGTTGAAAGTGGCCCACCATCAGTACGCTCTCCCAAGCCGGTTGGTAGATCTACATCCAACGCCAGTGCAGGCGCAGACAGTCTGAGAAAGTTCGGCGTGCGCCGAAATGTATCAGTGTCCTCCCGTGGTTCAAGAGAACGGAGCAGCCCAGGCGTCTCGAGTCCAGGCACACCTTCCGGAGTAACCTCTTTTGGAGGAGGCTCGGGCATCTCTCGCAGCAATACTGTCCCCTCCAAAAGGTCCCCAGCTATCGCTTCTGGCAGATTTCAACGCATGAACGACGTTCCAGATTCGAGTGTTCCTGCAGTCAGCTCACCAATTGCAGGCCCAGGAACACCTCAAGCGAACTACGAGACCGGCGGCGAGTCGAAGTCTTCAAGTTTGGTATCGAATCAACCCGATGAGACCAATGTTAAAGTTGCACCAGTAGCTACCGAAGATCCTACCACTCGACCACCTGATTCGCAAACTCAGACAACTTCGATTCCCCTGGCCACTCCTAGCCAACTTCAGCCTCTGCCATCACCATTAGCGACTCAGCAAGTCCTCACCAACGCACCGCCGACTGCAAACAAGGATCGCAAAATGCCGAACATATTCTCCAAATCCCCCATCTTCGGCCCTTCAGATCCATCTGGTAGACAGCCTAGAAAGCTTCAAAAGAGACAGAAAATCCCTGGAGCCGTCAACGAAAGTGCACAGAGTTCGTCGAACTCCCTACAAGGAGATGATGCGGGGACGTTCCATACCCCCCTCGTCTCTCCCGATCTCAATAGTGTACGTCAAGCCGATCCACTGGCAGCACCGCAAGGTCCTGCTTTGACGAGCACAGCTGCAACCCCAGTCAACGAAACACCAGGACAAACGCCGTTTGGCGCGAACGACGAACAGAACCAAGTTTCCGGATTAAGACCCCCTCCAAAATCACCACCTGGTTCCACTCGATCTCGCTCCTCCTTTACGGACCATTCAGAACCCGATGCAGGAGAAGACACGTCGACTCAGCCGGAGAAGGAGAAGCGTCGCAGCAAATGGAGATTCTCGTCGTCTGCCAAGAAGGGCGAAAACTCACCGTTGGCTCCTCCACCACCTGTTGGGCAAAACCAAGGTGCCCGAGGCAGCAATAGTTCCCTCGGCAGTGCAAGTCGACCACGAAAGAGCTTTACCGGAGACTCTCAACAGACGCAGTCGGCCTCCCAATATGGTGATGCACAGTATGGAAGCGGACAGCAGTCGTTGATGTATTCGAGTCAAGAGTCGAACGAAGGACACAACGCAGAAGGGGAGAAGAAAGGTTTATTCGGCAAGTGGAGAGCCAAGATCTCTCAGACAAGAGAAGAGAGACAAGCCGAGAAGGAAAGAGCCAAGAGTCCACCAAGGAACGAACATGGCGGCTCGAGAAGCAGCTTGAATGCATTCGCTCAGGAAAATTTGGCACAGAGAGGCCGATCGTTCGATAGACCTCGTGAAGAAGCTTTGCCTGGTGTGGTTGAAAAGCCCGTTGCCGAGAGCCAAGCTCAAGACCCCAAGCCAGCGATAGTGCCCGAGCAGGGAGGAAAATGAAAATCGAAAGCAAGAATGGTATTGACGACGTGATGACCACTGTGATTGTCTATTGGATGATTCTGGCGGTGTTGGCCGCATGGCGCTCAGGATTTTTTTTTGCACAGGAACTGGACACAGTACGTAAATCGGGGGAAAGACTCGGGAGGTTTTAATAGTATGGAAGTGAATGTGTCCTGCAAAGTCTGGGAAAGACACATCGGGTTTCACGAGGCAAATGAGGCAAAACAAGTTGGGAGCAAGAACAACCTTGAAGCTAGAAGAAGCATGTATGAGATGGAAGAACAGATCTAAATTGATGAGAATGTCACAGAGGCAAGTGACATGTGCAAGCATAAAATGATATCCCTTGGTGACTAGTAATCCGTCTCACATGAGAATTGATCCAAGGATCTCATCTAAGGTGTTGTACTTGGGCTCTGTCCTCCGTACTGGTGTAGCCACATATACACGAGCAATATTCACGCTGGTCGAAAGACGTAACTGCAGCCCCCTCCCATATATTCACTTCTTTCTACTCCTTCACCAACCCTTCTAGAAAAAAAGGGCAACAAAAAATCTATTCAGGAAACAAAAAGTTTGGACGTTCGAACCCCCTCCCGAGCTCTTCTAATACTTATCCCGACTATGACCCCTTCATACTTCTGTATAGAGATACTACAGTGGTCATGGAAACCAAGCCGACTCCCAGTTTAATCCCAACCAAGCTTGGTTTCCAAGGATAAGCCCAACCTCCAAACCAAGATGTGACAAAGTCACATTGCGACGCGGTGAGTTCTTGGTAGCTGGGCCATCAAGGCGAATACTTTGTTGGAAGGAAATTTCAGTCTTTAAATACATATAGATTAGCCTGTAGATTAATCGAGGTTACAGAGTATTCACTCGTATTGATGGAATCAGATACATAAATAAGTACGGGAGTATCCGTACTTCGTATGTTACGTGAATCTGCTCTTCCAAAAATGACTTGGCGTTTATTTTTTTTTACTGTACAGTAGTAGAGACGGATCCAATCAAATCCTGAAAGAAAAGCTGCGCAAAAAAAGTGCGGAGAGAACGAACAAATTTCTGAGATACAGTCTACTAGTCTGTCTTGTACTGTAACTTTGGTAGAGTCTTTCTCTCCTTCTTGACAACACCTTATCTCATACTACTACCCGTCCTCAGAAACATCCTAAGAACCAAGGAGTCTTTCTTTTTGGTATCTACCACTAACGAGCACGGAGTACTAACTCTCTTACTCTCGAGACTGCCGAATAACCCCCAGGCGAGCGGACCTAGTTAGCAAACACGACCACAACCCCAACCTCAGCCACGACTACGATTTGATCTCTGCGTGACGATCCCTTTCCTTCTGGTGCAGTTTTGAACGAGAGAGAGAGAAAGTGACGAGGTGGTCTAAGAAGCGGAAAGAACAAAACCCACACACACGCACGATACACAATACACCCCCCCAAAAAAATGGCCAAAGAAAAGTCGACGGAAAAGTTGGCCAAGGAAGAGCGCAAGGCAGCTCGCAAGGCGGAAAAGAGGGCGTCGAGGAGCAGCGTCGCCGAACAACCTACCGGTGTGACCAAGACCAAGAGCGACAAGAAGGACAAGAAGGAGAAGCGCAAGGTGTTGGCGGAGAAGGTGTTGAACTCGATCGACGACACCAAACCCCCCAAGGGAGACGGCGAGAGTGACGGTGAGGAAGCTGAGGATGTGGAAATGGACGGTGAGACCGAGGTCGAAGGAGGAAGGAATGTCCACAAGACTCAAAACGCCGCCCTCGCGACGAAACCGACCGGACCGCTGGTACCTTTTGCGAATCCTCTGGCCGACGAAAAGGTTGCGAAAAAGGTGTTTAAAGGTGTGAAGAAAGGTATGGCTGCTCTCTTTTCCTCCTCTCCCCGGTGTCTTTGCCACTTTGATTTTCCCCGGCTTTCCCTCCTTCTCCTTTCACTTCGCAAAGCTAACACCTTCGACAGCCGCGGCACAACGGACCCTGAGGAGAGGTGTCAAGGAGGTGGTCAAGGCACTACGCAAATCTCCCGTCTCAAACTCTTCCGAACCTCTACCCATCGGTGTCGTCGTCTTGGCCGCCGACATCTCCCCCATGGACGTCATCTCCCACATCCCCGTGTTGGCAGAGGACCACAGCATTCCCTACATCTACGTGACGAGCCGGGCGGAGTTGGGTCTGGCGGGGCAGACGAAACGACCGACCAGCGTGGTCATGATCAGTCGTGACGTGGGCAACAAGAAAAAAGGGGGCGACTCTGGAAAGGCGGCGGAAGACGACGGAGAGTCTTGGGAAGAGACGTACAAGTCTCTGGTCAAGGTCGTCGAGAGGGAGGGTAAACACGTCAAGATTTAGTTTCTGTTTTTGCCCACCCTACGCCCGTACTCGGTACACCTTTTGGGTCCATTGGCCGTGCCTGTCGTCTTGTAACGAGGAATGGATTTTGTCTTGTCGAAATTTCCAATCTCCTTTGTGCCTTTTTTCATGAGTGCTGGGGATTGAGAAATATGGTACAAAGAGGCCGATCAAAGCGAGGAACGAGAGACCATGATTTACATTGTTGGAGTGCCAAATGTGACTGGATTTTGTCTTTTTGGATGCGGGCGTTTTGAGGAACTGGATGGAAGACGAATCCGATCGAGGGAGTCAAGATGGAATACCAAGGGCCAGAGAGAAAACATCGTCAGCAGTCTAGTCATATGAGATCAAAATCAAGGGTGGGAACTTCACGCATCACAACTGTGTGCAGTTTGAGAAGTGGTATCTTAAAAATCTCGCCAAAGGCCTCAAGTCAAGACAGCATATTTGTATGAAGAATCGGAGCAATCGGACTTTGATATACACACTTCATTTTTCTGTCTTTTTCTTTTGTTTGTGCATCTCCATGACCACCGAGTTCTGTACAGAGCACTCAATAGCCCTTTCGTCCTTCGTTCTCGACCACATTTTTCCAAATCATTGCATCATACGCGTCATGTAATGGTCATTCTTCGTGTCGCTTCATTGTAGTAGTCGCTCTCGCGAGCTTCGTGAAAATCTGGCATGACATACCAAATGGCTGGTTGCCTTTTTTTTGACGTCCCTTCCAAGATCTACCGACGGCTTAGCCAACCGAGGATGCCTCCATCGGTGGAAAAACAGAGAGATAAAAACAAGACAAAAGTCGAACAATATACACTGGATACTCGGCACATCGTCCCCTCAAACGGACTCTCCGGAAGGTTTGTTTCCTTCGTCGTTCGAAAAAGACCTGGGTGGCAGCGTCGACAGACGCTCACTCAGTCTCCTCAACAACGAACGACCGTCAGAAGTGCCGGGGCTGCCGGGGCTGAAACTTCGTCCCCTGGTGGTCCTGGCACGAGGAACCGGTGTGACCGAGAGTGGAGGGCGTGCTTCGCTCAAATTCGGGCGAGATGGACTCAGCCCGGGGGACTCCTCACCTCCGAAGTGCCTCGACTCGACGACAACGTTGGGAGAGAGAAACAGGGTGCCTTGAGAATCGCCCGTGAGCTGCCTCGACGGTCCCAGTCCCTCCTTCTCGTACTCGGGCTCCTTCTCTTCCGCTTCGGTGATTTTCACGTTGGTCGGCATGTACTGAGGCTCTTCGAACTTGATCGTGCTCGATCGTTTCCGGTTCCTCGAGGCCGCCGCCACCTGCTGGGCGGCGGCATCTTCAGGCCAAGCACCTAAAGTGGACAGACTCTGGTCCGTCCCCGAGAACTGCGAGGCGTGTCTCGCGATGCCGGGGAGGTGGTTGAAGACACTCCGTGACATGCGCCGTGTGTTGGCCAGGAGAAAGCCTTGCGAGCCCCGAACCGACGTCTCCGAGTTCAGGTCCCGAGACAACCTCGCCTCCAGACTGGCATGAGGGGCCGGTCCCTGGTTGGACGCCTCCTTCGCGTCGGCAGACGTCGGTCTTTGTGCGATGATTTTGTTCTTCAGGTTTTCAGACCTCTTCGGGGCGGCGAACGATACGAGTTTGATGAAAGCCAGACTGATGCATTCGACCATTTTTCTGCTATTGTCGGGATTGTTGACCACCAGAATTAGTAAGTAAGTAGGGATACAAATCCCCACCACGGTCATGGCGAAAGGGACATAATTATCATCAACTGGCATGTTGGTCATTCCTGTTCCTGTCTGTCAGTCTTGTCATTGGTGGAATGAGCGATAAATGCTTACCGAATATTGAGGTCACAAAGGTCAAAGGAAGGTAGAAAAGTGTAACCAATGTCAAGAGTCGGATGTTGTAGCCCTGCTCGACAGTGATCTTGGCCATGTTGACAGCTTCCCTGCTTTCCAGGACCGAGGTACCACTGAACAGCCACTCCCTCAGGTTGCGAATTTCCTTTTGTTGCTGTTGGAACATTCTCAGCACCTCCTCTAGACGGACGATCTCCTTCTCGAACTGTCTTCGTGTATGTAGGAGCTTCTTCCTCCAGTTGTGATACTTGGGAGACTGATCCTTCGTGCCTGGAAACAATGTTTTGTGCTCACCGGACCAAAATTCGTCGGTAAATGTCTCCCGGTAAGCCGCGATCATTGCCTTGATCTCGTTACTCAGTAATCCAAGCGTCTGCGAGGCCCAGAAATATCGTCGCGAATATGTGTATTTATCATTCTCAAATAGGAGTTCGTCCCGCAAGCCTCTGTCAAAGATGGATCTATTGGGAGGTGTCGCTAGTTGTTGTATGCTCGCGAACACCTCCCTGAACCTCTTGACGGCATCTCTGTATTCCACCATTAGAGATGAAAGGAACGCGTCTGGCCCATTGACATAGTGATAATTGGTTTCATGGATGTCGACACTGGATCTCCAGTCCGGAAAACACTGTATTGACAAAACGTGCCAGGGCGCAAACGGATCGTACACATGACCAACAATGGACTTCCTCTTCCGAGAGTTGCGCCTCAAAGTGTGACTCGACTTGCCAGCTAACGATAGTGCCACCACGGACGAGCAGGTAGACAACGGAATGTGGTCATCTGAACTTTCCTTGATACTATCATCGTGATTCTGCCACGGAAGAGGTGATCTACCATCCCCAATAATGGTATGATATTTGAAAACGAAGACGACTGAGCGTTGCCGCCGGTGGTCCTTCTCCAGATACCCTTTGGTAATGGCTTTTGTCGGTGTCGTGTCATCGATCAACATGCGATATATGCTGTCCATGTCGAAATAGTCTCGCATTGTCAGGTGTAGCGCGGCAAACAAACTGGAAGGAGGCTCCCGGACAATGATGATCCGACCAACTGCCTGGTGCCTTTGGGGGTCAGAGTTTGTGGCTCGAAGAGCCTCCCAGACTGCCAGCGGACCTTCTTCTGAATCACCCCTGCTATACCGCAAAGGAGCCCCATCCGTAGATACATGATAAATATCCGCGTGCTGATGATTTGCGTCGATCTGGTGATGCCGATCCTTCAAAAATATCCCGTTTTCCAAGAGACTCAAGTTCCGAAGGAGATCTTGAAGGATATATTTGCTGTAAATATCCCAGTTATGACTCTTCAGATGGTCGATCAAGTCAATCTCCGAATACTCGGTCGTTGGGAGGAGTTCCTGTGCGAAGAGCGATTCATCGTCTTCGCTGTCTGAAGTCAAATCTCCCGTGAAAATGGAGTCTTTGGCGTGATGAGCTTGATTATGTTCCAAGATATAAGTGGCAGCCCGATGACCTTTGGTCAGGGCTTGCGGTATCGTCGGTGACTCTATGCCTCGCCCAGAGCCCGACAAAGGCAGTATCTTCGGAGACGCCACTAAAGGCTTTGAGCTGGAACCCAGAAGTGTGGTCTCTGACAGCGTATCCTCTTTGGCAGATCGGCCATTGAGTGCCTGTTCCAGAGTCTCATGAAATTTCTCGAATGTCGACAAATACGCCCTTCTGTCAGCCTCGAGCTGTTGAATAAGAAGCCGAATTGTGTCAGCCTCTAGAACCATAGTTGGCACGGCCTGTTGAGAAAAGGTGTCATGGAGGAAATGAGGCGAGGGAGGATTTGAATCCACAGGAGAGTCCATCAGGGCCATCTTATAGCGGAGTGAAGCGTGGTTTGGGAACGACACCGCATGATGCAGGCGAAGCCACTAATGGAGTCGTCCTAGTTTCCAGCCCCGCGCACTGCTGTAGTCCGTAATTATTCAGAGCCTCATCCGAGTGTTGCAAAGGGTGACTGCAGAGGTGGGTTCTAGTAGGTGTGCATACGAGCAGCACTGTGTCGATCGTGGAGGGAGGACCTCCACCAGGTTGTATCGCGCTGATCGAATAAGAAGGTCAACCACGGATCATTCGCCGAGACAGAAGCTAGCACAAAGTGAGAAGCGAAAGCAGGATGCTCTGTGTGTGAATTTCACGATGAGATTGAGTCCGTTAGCTTGGAAGAACTCACCGCCTCGACAAGAGCAGATGAAGGATATAGTAGGAAGTATGATCTCACCAATTCCTCCTCGAAAGATGGTAGGCACAAAGAGGAGAAGCACTGCGTACAAGTGATATCCGTACAGGGCCATAGGGCTCAGAAAGCAACGCCGGAGCTGATCAAATTTAGCGAGCCGTTCGATGAGGCTCATCGGCCTTGTGACCTAGTGCCCATGTTCCTTTGGCTCCCCTGTATGGTTTTGACAGAAACCTTCCAGGTCACCAGCTAATAACAAGGCCCCGTGGAACAAGTAACGAGTAATGAGGAAGGCAGAATTGGCTTCTTCTGCAGGGGGCGAACAAGGAGAGCTAGCACGATAGTGGCCTTCACCAGCCTGACCTGGGCCATTAGGATGTCGAAATCTTTAAAACGCTGACTGAAGGGAGTAAAAAGATGCCCAAGCCATTGCTCTCGGTACGGAAGCTCATTGGCAAGCTGTGTCGGTTAAGTTAGGCTTACCAGGCATTCCAGCAGGCTTACCATCTCTATATACGCTTGGTACGCTTGGCAACCCCCTGCGCCCTCGGCCTACCAAGTAGTGCCCGACTTTAGCATTACTGCACTTGGACCAAAAAAACCTGCCTAATATTGATGGGTGTACAAAAGTTCCTGCTTATCCACGCCCACCTCCCATCGGCATCACACGCTAGGCAAACCTGAGTTACAACAGATCAACCTCAGTTACCGGGAGAGAGGTCGGGGGCCTAGCAACACGAGTCAAACAACACAATTCTCTCGAATGTTGGTCGGATCTCGCGGCTCTTGTCAAGGCTCTCAAGGCGAATGAGAGGCTCTCAAGGCGAATGAGAGGCTCTCAAGGCGAATGAGAGGCTCTCAAGGCGAATGAGAGGCTTGAAAGTTTTCGTGATGTCCGCGCCTCAGTCGGAAAATGCCCGCGCCTGATTGTCCGACTGATTGTCATTACCTCGCTGTATCAACAGATTCAAGGCTAGTGCTGCATGTTCATTGCTTCCAAAGGCCATTCTCCTTGTTGTACAGCCCATGAGATCTTACTCGCTGCCGGACCTCGAAGAGTCTTGCTTGAGGCAGGATGGTGAGGCTGACTGAAATTCGAAATCGAAGTACATGGCCTCCTTTGCGGTGGATGTTCGTCCAGCCCTTCCTTGCACGAACTGCGACCGACTTCCTTGTCATGCACAAAGTTCGAAGAGGAGCTTGTTAAGACATTTGGGCGGAGTAATATTGAATGGCTACTTCGAACACACGAGACTCGAAGATCTTGGGCGCACCACTGGGGCTTGATTATCCGTGAGCCCAGACGGCTCTTTCAGTGTTGAACTCTGGTTTTGATCCTTCCTCCCTTCAATGCGACTCAGGCCAAATCTTACCTACGCACGCATTCAGCCCGACAGCGCACCTGGCGGGGGAAGTGTGGACTTGCGTTGGGAACACTTCACACCTTGAGCGGTCACCTCTCCGCGTCAATTGTGGTAAATTGAAACTACCCACTCGCAACCGATCGGTGGGCTCTACCGCTGGAACAGACGACTTCAGAGGAAATTCTATACCTCTATCTTTTCAATGAATCTATACATGTGTGGCCTCATCTATGCTTTCCCAATTCCAAGAGCAAACGTTTCAGTCATTTACTCCTTTCTGCGTGTGGAGGCTGATGGTATCTATGACCTCTTCATCGTCTCCGTCACCACGGCCAAAGACATCCTCATCATCGGTAGGTTCATCATGATACTCGCTTTGCTGGTTAGGAGACTCATCAAAGAAATCCATGGCGTCATCGTCTCGTTCCAAAGTAGTCGCGGCCGCCTGGGCTTCCGGATCGTCGTTATACTCAGGGGGTAAATGCCCAGTCCTTCGAACAGCATCTCGGACGTTGTTTGCTTCTTCAGCCTCTAGCTCCTTGGCCCGGGCCATCGTCTGTCGATAAATGTACAGTCCCGTCAGAATGCCAACGGTTGCACCGATGGCGATCCCGGAGTAATTGACCAGTCTGTCACCCATTGTCATCTTCTCCCTTGTCCTCGCAATGACGGCTAAGCGGCTCCCAATAAAAACGTGGATCAGCAATTTCGGAGAGACGATGGCCGTGGCCAGCGCATACATGGCAGGGTGAACAGTCGGAAATGTCGACATCGCACCATTGGACAAAGAGTAGGGCAAAGGACATAAGCGAATCATGCACAGAAGCTTGAGCCCGTCGTGTTTGAGAATGAGCGTGAAGGCGGCAAAGCGTTTGTCGTTTGCAATCATCCTCTCAACCCACTTTCGCAAGACAGTTCTCGAGAGGAGAAATGAGCAAAATGATCCTGCTACAGTTGCAGATGCCAAAATCAACCATCCCTCCCATACTCCGTATACAAATCCAGCCGTCGTTCCACAGGTCGAATATCCAATAACAGGCGGGAAAGCAGTTAAGAATGTGATGGCCCATAAGATTGTCCAGCCACCAGTTGTATGTTTCCAGCGTTCAGCAAGGGGCTCGAGCAGGCCAAAGATTCGTTCATTGAATACCAGGAAAAGGATGAGCAGCACGTTAACAATCACCAGCCCAACGACTGCTAGCACCCGCTGCAGCACACTCATTTTGCTCCATACTTTTACGACTCGTCTTTGTATCCGTTCGGCATTCCTCACTGCCTCATCTCGCCAGGCTGCCGATCGGCTTGGGGCGAAGGGTGAACTTCTGCCAGTAGAGAGAGACCTTCGCGGCGGTCGCCAGGGACTGAGAAGGCCGGCCCGCGGCGAATCTTCATCAGTGTCTGGAAGAGTGACATGGTTGGCAGTCATTATGTGGGAGGTAAAGAGAGTCTCAAATGATAAAGGCGTTGCAAAAGCTGGAGGTGGTTGGGACGGCGGAATCGCTCGGAGTTGTGAGGCAAGCAGACTGAGTTACCTAGGGCATTCTGGAGTCTTGCAGTAATTTACAAGTATGCAGGACGGAAGGGAAGATGCCAAAGTAGAAATGTGTCTGTAAGCAAAAAGGACTCGTAGGTAAGCAAAGGAGAGAGATTGTAGACTCGTAGGCAGAAGTGAATCGTGAGTAAGTAGGATTGATGAAACATGCACAGACTGCGATTTCTGGGAGACTCGTGCATTGTCAGCATCTTGCGACCGAAGCGGCTTGTTTGATAATGTGCCGTAGCCTTGCGCTCTGATACGTCATCTATTTTGGCCGCATCGTAGTCTCGTTTTGGCCTGATCCACGCCCCTGTCAAGAAGCCTATTATTCGCAATAGTGGCTGGTAGAGGTTTGGTTAAAGCTCCAGGCATGGGCCGCCCGCCCGTGATGGTCTCCAGGCTCTCACCTTCACCCAGAAGCGGCAACTTACACAACTCGCTAAGCCACTTCTCGGTCCCCAGACACGTCGTCGCTCCATCCCTCGTTACTCCGTATTTCGCTCCTCCCCTGCGTCTACCACTACCATCACCACCCAAACATCCCCGGTCGCCTCGTGCTCGACTTCACAGACTCTATCTAAGCGACGCTTCACTAACACGTTGTTGTTTCCCCCCTGCGCTCTTCAAGTATATCCGACTTTTCACTATTTCCTCCTTCGCCTTCTTCGTTCTCTTGTCGCAGCTTACCCCGCTGTCACTTGCCAACACTTCCGTTCCTCCTAGCAACTCATGCGCCATCCGGCATCGAAACGATCGCATGCGATCTCAGCTTCTTGACACGAGCTGTCTGATACCGTGCTAATATCGACCTCACTTCGCCCTCGCCAATAGACGACACGCCCATAGCGCGTCCGAGACATCGGTCACTAGAGATACCCGCCGTTCATGTCGAGCCTACATCTCAACCATCGCTGTTCTTCTCTGCTGTCCTGCTGACTCGATTCCCCGTAACGACCGAAATGATATCTGACGAACATTATGACCTCTGTCGTCCTATCCTGGACGACAGTACGATAGATGAAGAGGAGAAGACCGAACGCCTTGAGGAACTTCTCGCTAAAGAGGCTGGGTTAAGTGGTACTCCCCTGGAAAATGCCGTTCTGAACGCTTTGTGGAAACACCGGAATGCGCAACGAGGAGAGAACTCGGACACTCCATTACGGCATCAAGTCATTCGCAAGTCATCGCCAGCGCCATGGCAGGCCAGAGCTCCTACGCCGCTAGGTTCACCTCCACCTCTCTCCTCAAGCCCGGCTCTCTCAACCGGCTTTCCAGTCTCGCGCCCAAGTTTCTCTCGGCAAAGGTCCAGTGCGCCGTCCCCATTCGCTTCTCCTCGACCATCTCCTCGACTTGCTTTGGCGCAACCTATACCCCATAGTCCGAGCCTGAATGCTTATGAGTTTTCTGATGCCAGCCCTGCCCCGGATATTTATGGAGACTACGGCCATGAGAACGTGGACTGGCTGCTGGCGGATGAAAATGGAAGTAATGCTGCTTTCGGTAGCCTTAATGCAGTTGCACCAGAGTGGCTTCCTCAACCGGATATGAGCCCTTATGATATATTACGATCCGTGTTAGGTGACCGGAAAACCGATGAGGAGATCGAGGATGCTCTAAACAAGAATTCATACGACCTCGGTGCCACTATTGCTTCGCTACTTGGAACCGATAGTGGTGATGCTCAATATACGGGGGTACCCAGCAGTGACGCCAATGTCTTGGTTGGGAAGTCTATGGCGGTCAATCCAGTTCGACCGACGACGCCTGGATCATCCAAAAGCCCCATTGTCTGTAAATACTGGCTGGCATCCGGATCGTGTCTGCGTGCCGATTGTCGATTTGCTCACGACACGAGCGGCTATCTTTGCAAGTAAGTGGTGAACATAGATGATGAGCGCACAGGCTGACGTATTCAAGGTATTGGATGAGCGGCAACTGCTTAGCCGGCGATGCTTGTCAATTTTCTCACGATCCAGCCCTCCTTATCAATCAACTTAATGTGAATGAGAATGGCCAGACCGCGACGTTCCAACTCCAGGACCAGTATGACCAGTTCCCAACACTATCAGCGCAAAATGTAAGAAGCACACTTCAAGCTGGGTTAGCTGCAGGCAACACTTTCGTTCCGAGCAGTCAAAAATCTCGAAGTGCGTTGGGAAATTTTGGTACTACATCGCGACCACATTCGCGGCCCAGTTCCCGCCATCAGAATCGTCCCGAAACGCCATCGTCATTGGCTATGGATGACACAGATGCGTTCCCTGCTTTGGGATCTCTGAGTGCTAAAAGGGCAAAACATCATGGTCATCGGTCTAGACATGGCCATAGTGTCGAAAAAGAACAGCCATCTTCGCTTGCTGATGTCGTGCGCATGTCGCCCTCCCCAGTACCAGGTCAGGCACGCAAGGGTGACGCGATCCGCAAAATTCGCACCTATGGTGGCTCGGAGAGTGCGGCAGCGAAGAGAATACCTGAGCCACAGCATATCCCGTGGCTAGAAACGGGCTCGCGTGCTAATCAACAGTATTTAAAGTATAGACAGGAAGCTATTAAACATGGCAGCGTCCGCAACAAATTTCTGCAAAGGTAAGCCGGTCATTGGATGAGGAAGACGTTCGCTGACATGGGTAGTGCTGCACAAGCGTGGAATCGCAACGATGCACGGGCTGCGAAGGCATTGTCGCTACGAGGACAGGCCGAGAACGATGCGATGAGAAAGGCTCATCGAGAAGCAGCGAAAGCGCTATATGACGAACGAAACGCACATCTCTCATCAACAGATGACAGTGATGAGCTGTATGTCGATCTTCATGGTCTTCATCCTGAAGAAGCCATTGAATATCTAGAGAATATCCTTCTTACCCAATCCAAGCGAGGCAGAAGAATTGTCTACGCCATCACTGGGACTGGTCACCACAGCAAAAACGGCAAGGACAAAGTAGGCAAAGGCGTCCGAAATTGGCTTAACGAATGGGGCTATACGTTCCGAGAGTTCAGCGTGCCAGGGGAGCGAGGCGGCTATATTGGAGGTGTGCTAGGAATCGATATCACGAGTCACAGACGGCAGCCCATCTCACTGGAAAGTGACTCGAGAGAAGGAGAGACTTCTCCTCCGGCGGTTGTGGCAACTATTGGGGCTAAGATACAGGTGCTGAAGCGTGACGAAGTGCCCGCTTGAGGCGTCGCTCGATATAGGTGGTAATCGCCGACTTTATCAGCTCGAGTGAAATGATGTGGTCTTGAAATGATATTGGAAGAATACAAATAGCATGCCTGTTAGCTGGACATGCAGCGAGATCATCACCATCAGGATGACAACCCTCGATAGAAGAGATCCAATATATCATCTTTTCATGGAAGCACGATATCTAGATCATTTTTGGCTCTCTGCTAATCCCACCGAGGAAGCCCTTGTTGGTTTCGTGGTTGCCTCAGATTGGTGCCTTTGTTATACTGGCGGTTCTCTGCGCCGTAATGGAACAGTCTCCTGGCTCTACTCGGGACGTTCGAGGTGTGTCTTGCTCGGGACACTAGAGAACCTGACCGGACTACCGCCATTGCACCCCGAACATCTTGGCGACCTTGCCCTTGACGTTCCTCTCGGCCTCCTTGTTTTCCAAGTAGATCGTCTCGTGGCCCTTGACGGTCAGACTGAGCAGCTGGTACTCCAACCTGTCCCCGTCGCGCGGCTTGGTCATGTGCACGCTCACGACGCCCGAGCCCTCGGGCCCTGCCACGTTGAAGTGCATTCGAAAGTGCGTCGTCCCGTATCGGTCGGTCTCGGTCGAGTGCGCGAGGGGTCGGGCGCGCGCCCACTTGTTGGAGGTGGGTTCGCCGAAGGCCTTGATCTCCCTGGAAGGACCTAGGAGGGCTCGACACTCGGGCGACGATTTTATACGTGACACTGCGGCGTTGAATTGGATCGCCGACGAGTCCGGGGAGATGAGTTCTTGGTACAAGAGGTAGGATATCGTGGCCTATGTATTTTTGATCGATGGAAGATATCAGTATGTTTTGGATGAGGAGAACCCAGGTGGTCTCGGGCTCGCGAGCGGCACAATTTGAGGGAAACGAAGAGGAAGGAGAAGAAACGTACAGTCCCTACGAGACCTGCGGCGACGACAAGAAAATTGAACGTCTGTTGTGTCCCCCGGGCCGCTTTCTCGGATGTACTGAGTTCGGACCAATTGTAACGTCCGTCGTCGCTGGTCACGCTGATGGCTCGTCGGGGAGTGTTGGATGAGGAGGAGCTACTGGTGCTTGCATGACGGAAGGCTTGTCCGGAGGTGGGCAGTGAAAGGGCAGGGCGACTGACCATCCGAGACAAAGTTCGTATCTGAGGTCTCGATGTCGAGTTGTGAGATGCATAAGAAGGGGGAGAAGTGGTGGTCAAGAGTAGTAGGGTGGTGGTGGTGGCATCAGCTTGTGGGTTCTCGAATCGTATGCTCGCTGCGGCGGCGGGTTGAGATCGAAGACGACATGCTTGTTGGAATGCACGAGCTTGAGAGGCCATGGCGAACCGACGAGTACCTCAAGGCCCTTGAAGTGTAGGTCAACTCTTCGTCGCGAAGATATGCGCTTTGCGAAAGCAGAGAAGCCGCGAACCTCAAAAGGTCTAACAAACGAGCGCAGGAAAAAGAGAGGACGTTTTCGTTCAGCGAATGATTGAGGAGACGATGGAGTATCAGGCTGTTTTCTCTCCCCGCAAACTGAGCCCTGCCGAGGCTGTACATACGGTAAACATTGTCCTACATGAGTTGAACCCGCCTTTTTGGAGGTAGAGAAATGATACAGACTTCTCGGGGATTGCGAATTGCTTCTTTCTCCGTATAGTGAGCATCCATGGTTTTCTTACCAAGCAGACTTTGTCGAAGAAAGTCGTTATTTTCATGGTGGAAATATCGATCCCGAGGGAAGAAAATTCTCGGCGATAAGAGTTTCCAAGTCCAGCTTCACGGGTGACATCAGTATTTGGATGCCTGCTGCCTGCTTGTATAGAAGACATTGAAGTTGTAAATTTCAAATATCCAGACGAAGAATAAATGTACTCTGTAGTACACCCTTCCTCCCAGAATACCAATCATCAGTCCCAGGACAGCGACGCCTCAATAAATCTTCTATCAAAGATACGCCTGGAGCTCAACCAGCTCGAATTGACATTTTACCTATCTACGTGTTAGCTAGAATCACCAAGTGACGTACTCAAAGATGCCCGATGAATTCAACATCCAGCCGAACTTTGGCTCGACATTTCGCACCTTTTTGCACTCACAATTTCTCGTCACGCCGCCATATCCGGAGCATTCTTTTGCGGGGCAGACGGTGATTGTCACTGGGTCGAACGTTGGTCTCGTAAGTACATGACTTCTTCTTCAACCGCTTGAAATCTTTATGGTTCAAGGAGCGAGTCCAACTGTGCCAAAGACCTTGCATTGAACCGCTTCGTGCATCTATTGACACTTCACTTACTAGGGATTGGAAGCAGCGCGGCACTTTTATCGTCTCAACTGTGCCAAGCTCGTATTGGCGGTGCGTACTGTATCCAAGGGGCAATCGGCGAAAGAGGACATCGTCCGCAGTGTTCGACATCGGACGGACGCAGATGCTATAGAAGTATGGCCTCTGGACCTCACGAGCACGGCTTCGACGTTGGCCTTTGCACAGAAGGCAAAGACCGAGCTGTCTCGACTGGACGTCGTGGTGGAAAACGCTGGAATCAGTAATCCCACATGGCACGTCCACGAGGGTTTCGAGGCGGTCATCCAGGTCAACGTCATCAACACTCTACTGCTCGCGTTGAGTCTCCTACCCAAGCTCACCGAGACAAAGAACCGATTCCCAGACTCGACCCCACATTTGGAAATCGTCAGTTCAGAGGTCCACAAATTCACCAAGTTTCCAGAGGCCAATGCTCCAGATTTGTACCAAACGTTGAATGACGAGGCATCGTCCAACCTCTATGATAGGTGAGTACTTTCATGTTGGGCCTTTTTTATTCATCCTGCGCCCACTTTGGTCTGTTCGAACCGACGGACGGGCGTGACATGGGTCTGACAACTTTGAATCCCCAGGTACAATGTCAGCAAGCTACTGGAAGTCCTGTTCATTCGGGAATTCGTCTCGCGGCTGAGCCACTCTCAGCCGTCCTCGCAACCTCCGGTCGTCATCACGCTCGTCAATCCAGGCTTGTGCCGAAGCTCGCTGGACAGAGACCAACATTTCCTCGTCAGAATGACCACGGACGTCCTCAGGTTCATCGTCGGGAGGGCGACGGAGGTGGGCTCGAGAACGTTGGTCCACGGTGCTTGTGCGGGCCCAGAGTCGCATGGCATGTTCATGTCAGATGGGAAGAATCAGGACGTGGAACCGTGGATATACACCGATCAAGGCAAGAAAGTGCAGAAGAAGGTGTTTGAACAGACCATGAAAGTCTTGGACGAAAGACGCTTCAAGGGATCGAAGCCAGATTGGGGATTCGACGTGGGAGAATATTGATGGCTCGAGTGTCGGTGAGCAACAACTCGTGCCTACTTGCAGTATTCGCGGTGGTCTTTCCGCAGAGGGGCATTTGGGATACGCGCGGGAGCATTCGTCGCGAGGAACGGCAGCACGATGCTGTGTTCTGGACTTCAGCCACGAATGTTTTTAAAGGTCTGATTGTCAGGCGTAAAGGGGGAAGTAGCATCACTAGAGATGTTTTTTTCTCTCGGAGCTGTTCAGGTATATCAAGCTCGAGAACGATCGATGAAGGCTCAGAGTTTCAATCCGGCAGTTGTGGTGAATTGTTTACACGATCCCTAAAGGAGGTGGACAAAGCAGGTGCCGAGACCGGGACGGTTGTCCAATGCTCGTTTTTGCGTCGGTTCTGTCCATATCGGTCTCAAGGCGGCACAAAGCTATTTACATCTACACAGTAAGAGCTGCTCCGAGCTCTCCGGGCACGCCGCTTTCACAAGCTGACGACCTGCTTCGCAGCTCAACCACTCTTCTCATTCCCTCCAGCACTCTCACGCACCCTGGCAAGCAACAATCTGATTTTTGCTGCTGCAGGGCCCCTTGGTACGCCACCGTCTCAAGACACGAGTTCCCATAGTTGGCAACCAACAGGGTTGAATACATTCTTCTTTGAGTGCCTATGAAGAAGGGATGTGGAGGTGTATTACATTTAAAGGAGTTGTCTCGCTACGTACCGTGTACATACTCAACTCAGGTAGATGACGCTGGTCACCACTCATATATCAAGCATAAAGAACCGATAGTCCTGACCCTTGCCTGCTGGTATAGATATAGGTTGAACATCTCCCCAGCCTGGTTCATGGCGCCCTGGTGTTGCGACTTCCAGTCCTTCAATTTTTGTATACCATCGAGCTCGGCCGAGTCGATGTCTCCCAAAAGGACGCCAACCCCGCTCATGTCCTCGCTTTTGGCGGTTCCGCCATTGTCCGCGGAGAATTGTAGCTTCATGGGGTTGATGCCTCTCGTGCTCGCTCGCAGCAGATCGACCAACATCCCGTAGCTGCACTCCCTCATCCACAGTCGTTTCGAATGGGAGTTCCCCCAGACGAGTTCTCGGACCGGCGACGGAACGGCCATCATGGCGTCGACGAAGATGATTGCGGCACAGGTCGCCAGGCTGGCACCCAGTGTCGCGGGGAACCAGTCTGCCCTTCTGGTCGACAGGCATAAGCTCGACAGGAGGGAAAATGCGCGGTTGAGACGCCTCCGCAATGCGGAAACGATGCCAGCTATCGTTTGCGCCGGGGGGGCGGGTTCTGGATGGCCAGGGTCGTCGTCACACTTGATGAAACATCGATAGAGGTGGCATGTCGCTATGACCAAGAATCCACTTACTTGTAGGCACTCATTCTGTTGTGGGGGGGCCATGTCAGTAGGAGTGCTGACTGATAATCTCAGAAAGGAGAGGGGGGGCGGAGGAGGAGGAGGAGGAGGAGGAGGAGGAGGAGAGACGTCTGAGAAGAGGCGGCATACAGGCCTCGTTTGTCTCTGTTGGTACGCGCTGACAATGTCGACCAGTTGATGAAGATCGTTGCCAAAGATCTTGATGGACTCTAGATCCTGCTTGAGTTGTTCCCACAGCGTACCGGGTCGATTATTCCGCACATCGACAATACTTGCTCCAAGTTCTCCTGCCCGAGCCTGTGGCACCAAGTAGCGCCACGAGGGTACCTTGCACGCCAATTCTGGTAGATCAGCCAGAGACGCCTCAAAATTCGCTAAATCAAGTTTGGTTTATCGTCAGACTGCACAAGCCTTCATACGGTCGGTCAGAGGCACAACGACCTACTAGGTACGATACAAAGCGTCAGGTCCTGCAAACGTTCCCGTCGACAGCCCAATTCAGATGGCCATACCCTGAATGCCGGGACACGGCAAGAATTACAAATACCGGGGCCATTACACTGTCGAGGGCCGTACCGGCTCATGATCAGTTTGAGATAGAAAAACCGGTATTTGGCGAAGAGGGGGGGGGGGGGGAAGGGTTCCACTGACTGGCTTCTTGTACTTCCTGCAACGCCAGCAGGCCCCTATGTCTCGCTATTCTCTCACGTTAGACTTCGAAATGTAGTGATATGAAGGCAGCAAACGAAAAACTGCTACTCAAATCGACAACCTTTGGAAAAAGAGAGCTTTACCATGCTAACACCCCTTTTTCGCACCTTCTGCTTCAGCGGATCACTGCGGCGAGGCCGTATAACTTCAGACGACATCTGGCTGTCGCCCAGGTCGGAGTCGCTAAGAGGGTTCCTTGTCATCGGCAGGGCACGCTGGCTGCGTAATGGCCTGAGCGCGGTGGTTGAATGGTTGACGTCGCCACCCGGGCCTGAGTGGTAATGTGTCTCCGTGAAAGCTACATTATCCTGTGCTGATGTTGAATAGGTATTCGCGGACAACCACGGGGAATCGCCTGGATCGAAGTCTACACTTTGAATTGACCCAGTACTCGGCAAGAAACTTGGGTTAGGAATGTCGTAGAACTGGCTGTGGCCTAGAACCTCATTATGCTGTGTGATGCCCGGAGGCCGCTCACTGTCCACTCGGTGTAGCCGAGACCGGCCCAGAAACTGTGTATCTGTTGTTGGTGTCATCCATGGCTCTGATGGGGGAAGGTCCCAGCGTCCAGAAGGTAGGTCCGAGCTGGGCAAGGGTACTCCTGCCCTTTGGTGAACCTCAGGCACTGAAATCGCATAAAAATTTGCCGGAACAACCGATGATGGGTAGGTCAGGTTGAACTGCTTGTCACTCCCGGTTGTGCTCTCATCCATGGCGAGTGATATGAAACGTCCCGCGATAGGCCAGGTACAGCTTGCATGCAGCACGGGAGAGTTGTCAGAGGGACAGAGCGAGCGGTTTGGCCTTCCAGATAAGACATAACGATGCAAAACCTGCCTCATGGTCCTCGTGGACATCAACCCGGTGTACCCTGCGTCGGGACACCTCTCTTCCGACCTACCAGGTCTCACATTCCGCGATCGATGACCACGATTTCTGGTTCTGGTCCCTTTCACTAGCGTCTCGATGGCGTAGAGCAAAAAGCGCCGATCTTATACGATCACACCCTGAAGCAAAGATAAACAAAACTGGAGAAATGCTTCTGTGAGTAGCCAAAGGCTTAAACTTTAAGGTTCTTTTGAAAAACTTGACGCGATGGAACAGTGCATAAGTCCCTAGCGTACGTGAAATGTGCCTTGTAAGGCAGTGGGAACGGTAGAAGACGAGTAATAATATACACCCAATGACCAGAGTTGCTCCTCGACTCGATACTTTCATTCCCGGTTCAAGGCGGATCGGTATACCCACCCGCATTCGCAATCCCTACCCTCAGCGGCTCCCTTTCCGGGCTGTCTTCCATTTTACCCTTCCAGACGATGACCTCTAAATCCTTTCAAAGTCAATGTCTGACGGGGACGATACCCTTTGCGCCGCGACGCAGTTGCAGCACATTTAAAGTACAGTTTAAACTATAACTAATTTTCAGCGCCACCAGGATTCGCCTCCCTCAGCGCCTTGAGGCGGAACCGGATGTGCACTTCTCGCCTGTCTCTCGCTCGGGTCTTTGGCGACACCTGCTTGGCTAGGATACAAGTAGTGGCGCAGGGGAGTTACTGAGGCTCACTGTCTCACGTAGTTTCTACCACGTAACATCACGTGCTAGGCACGCCCCTTTTTTCGTGGTCGACCTATACACGACCTCACCGACTACAAACATCATGGTGACGTGGCGGAGGGGGAGGTGGTGTTGTCACAATTCATGTCAAGTACAGCTATATTTACATCCTGTTTCTGCCAATATCTTCAAGCCGACCTGCCCACCAACAGTCATAGCCCTCCGATGAAATGTTCGATCATCTGACAAATCAAGAAAGAAACAAAAGTCTCGTCGCTCTTGTCAACGAAGAATCTCATCCCCGAGCCTGATACGACATTCCTTGAGGTTTGGCATATCCAGCAGCAGCCTTCTCGGCAATCTCTCTCTCACGTACCTCGGCCTCCTTATCCTGCTGAATGATGGAGCAACAGGCACAGCAACACGACGTGAACAGATCGCTCAGGAAGTCTCCCTGCAAGTTGTACTTGTTGCGAACGTCGACTCGTTGGAACAATGTGGGTATGAAGTGGAGACCAAAGCATGAGAATCCGGTGAACAATAGACACTACATCACAAGTGGGCATGCCAGAGTCAGTCCAAGTCTGTCTCGGGGATCGCAAGGCCTCTGGGGACAATGGGGTTACCAAAAAAACTCACCGAAGCGTTGACGCAGTTGTAGGATTCCATGTCCCCGTGCTTGCGTACACGATGGTGTGTCTTGCCGAAGGTGATGCAAGGCACGCAGCAGGTTATCAGACCTTGAAGAATCAGTCCATGTTTGGTTTTCAGGTTGGCATGAATTTCACGTTACATGTGTCAATAGGCATGAAGCAGCCAAAGAAAGACTCGGCCCACGGCCGAGCGTCGGGGGCCGATGGCGCAGTAACCAAGGTCGAGTCCGCCAAAGTGGCGTTGAATCGATTGACCCAGTCGTTGACATCGTTCTGGTCGACCATGGAGGGCTGAGGCTGGCTCTTGTCTGTTGATGAAGCCATTTTGTGTTGAAGGAATGTGTCGAGCACCAAGAAAAGTTATATCAGGAAATGGCCAGTGGGAATTCCTCCTTTAGTGAAGTGAAAATTCAAAGAATGACTGTGAATAGAATTCTGAAAGAGCTGCTGCACGAAAGGAAGAAGACTCTGGAGAAGATATCGAGTAGACATGGCTTCGCTATAAACACCAAAGGCTGGGTATGAAGCTCAAGGGGCCCCTTTTTCACACATGGACGCATGGCACGTTCAATCTCCACGCTTCATTGCTCAATGACTCGACAGCACTACCGATTCGGAAAATTTGCAGCAGATCCCAAATTAAGATTGGACGACATTGCCGTATTGTGACCCGACTGGGGTATGATAGAGAAAGGGAAGATGACTTTGAAATTCTTACTTGCTCGTGGCTAGAAGGATGGTCAGAGAGTAATAACACAGGTGGGTCCACAGGTAGAAGATTGTTATTGAAGTGACCCTTGGCGTACTTCGCGCCAGAGAAAGGCCAAGGACGCGAATAGGAGGGTCTTCACTTACCTGCCGCACGGCGACTTTGCTTCGTGGTGCGGCGCTGCCGATCTAGGCAGAGGTTCATCGGGAACGGTTGGGCTCAGGGGTACAGAGAACAGAGAACCACACACGGTTGCTTCCTGCAGGGAAGAGGAAATCAAGGTAAAGGGCTCATTATATCGACCGAGTAAGACCACCAGCTGGAAATCTTTTAGTCCTTCAAGTTGGGGGTAGTATGAAGTTAATATGCGCCAGGGCTTGCGGTCAAGAAGTCCGTTAGCCGAGGGAGAGAATCCTCAACGAATGAGCAGAAACGGCCCCCAAAACCGTGGAAGACTGGGCCCACTGGTGCAATAACCAGAGGTGTATCCGTAGCAAATGTCTCAAGAGGAAGAAATCCTAGGTTTGGACATTGCCATGAAAAAATGTCCGGAGTGCACCACCAAAGGCGGAATTAACCACAATGCTGACTACATGAAACACGCGCCATGAGCGGTGATTATGATTGTTAGCACCGTAGCCTTGTTCCCATGCAGCTTACGAAGCTAGAGTAGAGTACAACGAGGCATCAAAAGTCACCACGCAGCCAATCGGGGCAAGCCCGATCTAGGCGCTACACCTTAGGATGGAATCGCCCATCTCCACTCTCTCGCACATGGTGCTGTGGTGAGTGATCCGCCTTTGTGAAAACGAATTCCGAAGTCAGTGAGAGCGGTAAGAGGCAAGACATTGATTGATCGACAGGCGAATACAGGGTATGGAATAATCATCTGCGGCCACTCTTTAGAAAAGGACTCCAAACAAAAACGAACAGAGCCCAACAACTTCGGACTTCGTGTCAAGGGGAAGGCGGCATCTTCTATCAGCAAAGTCTTCAAGTACGAAGTATTCTCGATACTAAATTTGAGCTTGTGTTATAATTCCTAAATTTGAACCACGCGATTGAGTATCGCTTCAAATGAATGCCAATAGTGTTTTGTAAATTGATCTAAGTACAAGGGCAATTGGTGAACTTGAGAAGAATATTTCACAGCCACCAAACGAACATTTGTCACCACCACGCTACCATGCCAATGATTCTCATTTCAAGAATTTGATCAGCTCGCGAGTCGATGACAGACGAAGAGAAAAATGTGAAGTTGCGTCCATGACTGATCAGATCGTCCCGACGCGGGTCAATATTGTCGAGTAGTCGACAACAGAGTGTTCGACCAGGCACCGCCCAATGGCAGGCAAATTGGTCTCGGCCGGAAGAGATGGAGGTGATCGAGCCCGGCTAGTCGTCAGCCGAAACGCAGGTCAACGTCGTTGAATCACAAGTCAAGTTGGTACTGCTGCAGCAGACGCCGACATTTATGTCGGAGCAATCACCGCCCAACGGCAAGCAATTTAGTCCGGTCGCAAGAGATGAGGTGGTCGCACTGCTGGTGAATGAAGGCGTAGTGCTGGTGTGAATTACAGTCGTCGCCGTTGTTGTGGATTTGGATGTAGTCAGTTCCAGGTATGAAGTCGTTGATGATGTAGAAGTGCAAGGACAGAAATACTCCGTCTCGGTAACCCAGACGACCGACTGGGATGCGGTGGCAAAAGAGAGTAGGCCAGAGCCAAAGAAAAGAATAGTGCTGACCCTCATCGTTGGGGATATATCAACGTATTCGATTGCGAGTGTTCCAATATAGACAACAAAGAAGTGAACTTGAAGAGAAATCGAAAGTAGTGGCGTAACGCTTCAAGCCATGGGACAACCAACAGATACTTATATGTCGAATACTACCTAGTATGGTCGAAGATACTCTTAGACTGGAGCCTCACCTATGAACCAGTTCTCAACTGCTCCCACCTGAGTGATTTGTCCGCCTTCCCCTGAATTGTACACAAAACTGCCACTTCACTTCGAACCATCTCCTAGTTTAATCATTCAAATGTGCTCCAATGGATCTGTTTAGATTGTCGAATCTCCGCTCATCGTCAGAGAAGCCCACGGCAGGATTCATCTCTCAAGCCGAAGTGTGGAAGTGTAGGTAAAGGAAAGAAGATCTGCATCGTCAGGGACTTACGCAATGTCCTTCTACGGACGCTACAAGCGGGAATCATGTGAATCCTTCGTAAACTCAGTATATGTCTCACCTAGCCGTCGAAGTATGTATGGAGCTATGTTCGCGGGACGGTATGAATGAGGGATGCGCTATGAGCGGTGACTTGAATTAACGCGGACGAGGCTGTACCCTGCTCCACTTCAAAGGGAAACTTCCTACTAGAAGCACAAATTTCTTCGTACCTGCAAAGTCGCATGCCTATGCCTGGTCGTAGTGTTCCGGTCTGCTACCAGGAGACTTGGACGGAAATTAAAGAAGATGCGGCCGGGATCCTGATCAACAACCATATCCTACAATTTATAGATATAAACCCGTAGGGAGTTGCACCGTGCTCATTTTGTAACTTGGTCAATTGTCTAGTCTTATCGACTCTTTGTTGTTGAAATTTATACTGACCCCCAGTCATTCATTGATCCTGCTTCTATTTTCCTGTCCTCTTTCCCTGTCTTCGATCTAAATTGTCACCCTCCAGCCGATCGCTCACTGAAATCAACATGCTGTTCAAAGCTGCTGTAAATGTTGCCCTGGGCGTCGCACTCATATCAAGGGTCGTGACCGGCCAAGTCACATCCACGACCACCACGACGATTTCGTCTTGCATTCCAGGTCTCAAGTGTGGTCAGACCAGCGTTGTTGGGCCGCAGACCTCCACCACCACAATGACTGTCACTTCTTGCTCCCTCGGTGCGAAACCCGCCTGCTTTACTACGACTGAAACGGCGAAAGACATCTCGACCAAGCCCTCGCAACTCTCTGTATCGAGTACCAGTACGCTGGTGAGTGCGTTGAGCACTTCTACTCCTGCACAATCAGCACCCTGGGATGACTGGACTTCGACGCCAACGACTTCGACACCTGCCTCCATCGTCTCTTCTTCTTCCAGCAACCCCTGGCTTGATTGGTCCACAATCACGAGCTCAACTGCGGACCCGCATACCACTACTGTGGTTTCCTGGGCTGATTGGGCACCTCTTACAATCACGACATCAACTCGCAAGGTCCATACTAGCACGATAGACGGAACTTGGTCGGACTGGGTGTCTTCAACGGTGACTGTTAAAAGTGACCCCACAATCGACTGGGCAGATTGGACCACCACATCAGAAATGATGGTTGAAGCTACTTCCACGACAGAGAATTGGCCAGATTGGTTATCCTTGACAACAGGAGTCGCTGCCAAGACGGACTCAACTTGGGAAGAGTGGGCATCATCTCTTTCGACCACAAAGAACCCTGCGGTGACCGCAACGACAATGAACTCGTGGTCGGCAATTAACGGTATAAGCACATCGATGGGTTTCTCGACCCCGGTTTCAGCAGCGAGCACATGGACCGAGGCTGAGTCCACCAACGCGGCTATACCATCCGTACATATTTACACCGGCAGCGCCTCGCCACGTGCTGTGCCATTCGGGACCGGCCTGCAAATCGTTACACTTGCTGTTATTGCGCTTGTGGTATCAGCTATGGCGTAGGGTTCCCCTGTTTCTGTGATTTCCAGGGGGGAGGGGGTGAACGGTCATCACAGAAGCCATTTGTGAGAAGGGTTCTAATGGGACCACGTTGAACATTTATAAGATGCTGGAAGTATTTTGACTAATCTATAGCTCCGCTGTTACTATTTTGTGAAGTGACCAGAGCCTTTATTTAATGCTGGTAACGTCTCGAAAAAGCTAGAGGACACGGAAGATATATGAAGGGTTGGTAGAAAAACCGGTAGTCACTTCCAGACTTGGAGCGAAGCCTGCTCTATCCACAATCTTCTATCCTGTAGCCTCTTTCATCGCTCGATTAGTTGCTTCGTTGTTGAGTGTACCAAGAGAATGTGTAGAGATCCAACAAACTTGAAACTCCTAGACGACCGCAGAGTCTCCGACATGGCTGTCGGTGCTGCCACCATCTGTGTATACGTCTTGCATCTTAGTCGATCGTATATCCTCCGGACCACGTATCGGTCTCTGCTGCATCTCCTTCCCAGGGTGGTCTTTCCCTTTACGGTGCCCGAGGCCAATAATCAAGGGGCTTCTGACACTCTCGGTGTCCACCTCGCGCGTCACCATGGACAAGGGTTTTTGGTCAGTAATTTCGTTACTGACCTTCGGGTCTTTGATCTTTCTCCTTTCCAAAGTTCTCTTGCTGTCTTTTGTGCTTCCTCCAAACGCTGTCTACTCATCTCCTGTTCTGTCTCCCATTGGGAGAAGCGTGCAGAGGGCTATATTGACATCGTGTGTCCAGACTCATTCTACCGGATGCTGGCCTACTAGTTAAAATCCACGGACTAGTGATTGGGAATTGAGGCGTACCTCCTAGCTATACTATCCGTCCCAGTTGCCGTTGTCTTTACTAACGTCTTTTACCATCGATAGTGTATCTTCGCCGGGATGTGTCAAAACATGAAGTCGCTGAGTGATTGAATCGTAGTAATTTGCGTGTCCAACCAGGACCCTGAGACGCATATCTGAACGAGAAGCTTCCTCCATAAGCTTCTCTTTTGCGATGTCAGCTTGGATTAGCAGGTCGACCACATCCATAATCCCATAAGAGTCTTCACAGGTCGACGCTCAGTCTGAACTGGAAAGTCAGGCTGGATAATAGCGACAGCACATCATCTACCCCTTCTTTGCCCCTGCATCTACATATAGCTCACTGGTCTCTTGCCCGCAGTGAGAGATTTAACCCTAGTGTCTATGTTGAGGAGCACTGTTGCCGGGGCCTTTCAGACGAATTTCGCATCGGCCCTATCTTCGAGCCGACGACACGAAGGCCGCTGGCACCAGTGCATTGCAAGTGGACGAGGCTGCAACAACTGTTCGTGAAGTACGATCCCGTTGTCATGATTTCTCAGCTTCGTACCTGGCCTGTAAAATGGTAAATAATACTGGGTGGTGACGTGTGATTCATTTCCCGATCGCTTTCGGGAATTCTACTCCTGGGTTCGGTTATTGAGGTTCCATGGTCTCCAGTCGATATCTACTGAGATTGAGTCCAATCAGAGCCTGGCTAGCCAACCTAGTTTGTGGAAATAGTCCAGGTGTACATTCAACCAGGATCTTCCTCACGATTATGGTAATGTACCCGATTCAAAGAAAGCATCGTGCTATATTGGTCCACCGGTACTTCCGGGTCGACATGGGTCCAAGTGGTAGATATGGTATCAAATAAAGACAGACAAATACAGTGCACCATCTTCATGTATCCTTGTCGCCTTGCACCGTACGAGCGAGGAGCCTCTTTTATCCTCTTCAGAGACTCACGACAAGGTCAACGACGATCACCTTGCAACCTCAAGTCTACGACCGGCAGGACATGATATTCAAGATGACAGGACGCCCTGGAAGACAGCATTCGCAGCAGCAGACCGCTGGCTCCAAGCCCGGTCGAGACAAGTCAAATCCATTGACACAGAATGGCCAAGAACGTACCGCAGAGAGTCACAGGTCTGCCAATGGAAATGCCAGCGAGAAGGTCGTAACACCCACAAACGTAAAGATCGTCGACTGGGATGGACCAGATGACAGGATGAACCCCAAGAACATGAGCTCGGCGAAGAAGTGGCTGGTGGTCAGCACTCTTGCAACCGGTTCAGCATGCGTTACCGCGACCTCTTCGATCTATACGACAACGTACGAGAAGATGGACCCAGAGTTTGGAAGCTCCAGGATTGTGGCCACCCTCGGACTCTCGTTGTTCGTTGTCGGCCTGGGACTGTCTCCCATGCTGCTCGGTCCTCTCAGCGAGTTCTACGGGAGGCGGCCAATCTACATCCTTGCCTTCGCCTTCTTCACAATCTGGCTGATTCCGTGCGCGGTGGCACAGAACATCCAAACCATGCTGATTGCGCGCTTCTTCAATGGGTTTTCAGGAGCAGCATTCCTTAGTGTGGCAGGGGGAAGTGTGGGTGATCTTTTCAAAAAGGAGAAGCTACAGGCGCCCATGACCGTGTACTCGGCATCACCATTTACGGGCCCATGTGAGTATACGTTCTTTGTTCATGAGTTTCCCTTGCGCCTGACGTGTGTCAAATCTAGCTAATCTTATGGAATTCAGGTTTGGGCCCCATCATCGGCGGATTCATCAACTACTACACTTCGTGGAGATGGACGTATTATATGCTTCTTATCTGGGCTGGAGTGGTCACCATGTTGATCATATTCTCGGTACCGGAGACGTACGCCCCGGTACTGCTGCGAAACAAGGCACGCAAGAGACGCTCGGACACCGGGGATCAATCCTGGCATGCCAATATCGAGATCATGCAGGGCTCGATCTGTCGCACCATACTCACCTCTCTCTGGCGACCCTTCATGCTGTTATTCCTGGACCCGATGTGCTTTTGTCTGTGCCTCTTCTCGGCCATTTTGCTCGGAGTTCTCTATCTCTTCTTCGGCGCCTTTGCCTTGGTCTTCGAACGGGTCTACGGTTTCAACCTGTGGCAAGTTGGACTATCTTTCCTGGGTATCCTTGTCGGGATGTTGATCGCCGTCGGTACGCTTCCTATCTGGCACCACCTGTACCTGTACCAAGTCGCAAAGCATCAGAAACAGACCGGTGAAGCAAACCCCATGCCCGAATTCCGACTCCCTTCGAGTGTCATTGGATCGTGGTTCTGCGTCATCGGCTTGTTCTGGTTTGGATGGACCATTTATCCTTCGATTCACTGGATCGTACCTGTTATCGGGACCGCGTTTTTCGGGCTCGGCGTCATATTGTCCTATGTCGGTATCTTCACGTATCTTGTGGATGCGTAAGTTTGTTCTCGTCCATGAGACCAAATGGTCTACCCCGGACTCACTGCACCAAACTCTTCGTGGCTCTGAGTCAAGAACCTCAGGCCGTTAAATGAAGGTCAAATGCTGACGAGATGAACAACAGATTTCCCCTGTATGCTGCCAGCGCTCTCTGCGCCAATTCCTTTGCGAGAAGTTGCTTTGCTGGTGCCTTCCCCCTTTTCGGAATCCAGATGTACAATACTCTCGATTTTCACCTAGCCACAACATTTTTGGCTGTCTTGACCCTCGTAACGGCACCGGCTCCGCTTGTGTTCTATATCTATGGACCACGACTTCGAGCTAGGAGCAGGTTTAGTGAACATAGATGACAGCCACTTGTCATCAAGATATTGACACGACTCGGTGACGCGGTATATCCAATCGCTAATTTCTATACTACTGATGCTGTAGTTTTACAACGGGAAAACTATACACGGAGCCGTGTCCACTCCAGCGCGGTTCCGCTTAATATTCTCTGATCGCTTCAACCTCTGCTCAAATTGACTTCCATCCTATGAGTTGAGTGAAATGGAGACGGCCCTGTTAGATCCGGGCAATACTACCATGATATGTCGGCCAGGTTCACGAAATAGTCTAATGCACCTCCGTCTAGACCCGCCGTAAGCTGTTATGAAACTTTTCGAGATTTGGCCTGAACGGTGGTTCTAGGGGGATATGCTGTCGGGAATCTGGTTGTCAATCCTGATATTCACGCCATAAGAACGACATCATTTGCATTGTGACCCTTGAGACTGAGCCCTTTCTTGTAATCTGGGCGTCCATGTAGAATACTCTGCGTCGAGATGAGATAACGTGGCTTAGAACCACTAGCTGAGTGAGAACCGTCCCATGTGAAACAGACGAAAAGAATTGATCCAGTCACGGTGAGAGAGCCTCACCATGTATCAATCTTGACTTTGTATACTGTGTGCACGGTTACCATGGTATCTTCCCACAGATCAAAGTCCGCACACGATTGTTTTGCAAGCATTGTACGAAACCTTGCTCCAATTCGGCCATCTTCGTCACAGGGAGCCAACGAGGGGTGCTTTTGTAAATTATGAAGCCTGTTGCCATATCCGGACTACTTGTGAACTTTCACAAAGTGTGAAGCTACCTGTATAAATACAGGCACAAAGTGACAAGGGCGAGATCGCAGACCTCTTCGGCCGCTCTTGAAAGCCGGTGGAATTCCTTCCGGGCTCTAGGTATGTAAAACTAACACATAATTCGGTATACCAGTCGTCAGGCTCAGCTCTCCATGACTGCCATATTCCGGTAGGCGCACCGTGTTGGGGCTATCGGGATAGTGAAGCGGAAGGTCGGCTGCATGGGACATCCTGATCACAAGCAGGCTTGAGTTCAAGGTCGAGGGTAGGCAGAATGTCGGGCGGCGATGGGTACAAAGACAGTGTAGTAATCGTTAGCTCGGGCTTGATCCAGGTACCTTGACCCAGACACGAAACACGCCCAGATCATTCGAGGTTAGCAAGGCAAGTATCCTTGCATTGCACGAGGAGAGCTTGGTGGGCACTCTGAGAAATGAGATAGGTAACTACCTATCTCATTTGCATACCCGTTTAGGACGATTACCCAAAAAGGCAAAGTGCTTGAAAGATGTCTCCACTCTTACCAAGAATTTAGCATTGGGGGAGCTTCTCGCTGGCTCATCCCTGGCTGCGATGAGTGGCTGGTATCCCTGATCT